TCTGGTGATACCTAATTCGGTGCTGTGCGATTTTCTTGATCTTGGTGGATAAAGTTCATCAGAGTCGTAGTTGTTTATTTTGGAATTCCTGTCGGCTCTGTCGTTCCCGTATCGAGAATTTCTGGCTCGCTGCAGGAGTGCTTTGCTGTCTAAGTCTGAAAAAAGTGAAACTAGCTGTAAATGGCATTTTGCATTAATAGGGTTGCCTACCTTGTGGTCTCGTTTTTAATACTGTTTTTTTGAGAATGGATCGTAGGGAAATCAATAATGCATTTAACTAGTTCGTTTCTTTTAGCATAAATTTTACTGAAATTTTATTGTCTCTTATTTGATTTAGTTCATGAAAGCCTCTTAAGATAATTTGCATTAACTTCCCGATGTGTTAATAATCAACTTAATGAATAAAAATTTCAACATGTGGAGTCCCACAAGGTTATATATCTATTATACACCAATAACGTTAAAGACGCGAAATTAAAGGGAAGCAACATATTATATGCAGACGATACTGCCATAGTATATGCAGATAAGGATAAAAAAAGACACGAAGATACTATAAACACGTACATGAAAATATACACCGAGTGCTTAACTGAAAATAAACTAACAATTAACATCGATAAAATAAAATACATATATTTCAAACATAGAAAAAATACCGAGAACATTAAACTAAATAATAGAGAAATAGAAGAAGTGGAAAGCATAAAATACCTAGGACTGATAATAAATGAAAAATTGACATGGACAGAACATATAAACAAAATAAAAAGAAAGATAGGAACATTAACCAGGGGCATTGAAAAGAATCCACTCTTTCGGCAAAAAAATAAAATACTAATTCTTGAAACGCAAATAATACCTATAATTTTATATGGAATAACAACATGGAGCCAAACAACTAAAGCTAACCTAAATGACATACAGAGAATAATGAATAAAGCCATAAAAATAGCATATAATTTTCCATATCTAACACCCACCAAATACTTACAGAGAGAAACAAATAATCATTCACTAAATAACACAATTAAAATAGAGAAATGCAAACTAATACAAAATGAAATTTAACCGAATTAAAACAAGCGCAACAATAGACATAAATCAAGATATACATGAACACTACACTAGACAACCCAACAATTTTCACATTGAACACAATAGAAAGAAGAATTTGAGAGAAAATGTCATAAGGAGTGCTAGCAAAATATATAATGAATTGCCAAACGATATTAAGATGACCAATGATGACGATAAATTTGGAAGAAAAATAAAGAAATACTATAAGGAAAATGAATACAAAGAAGACTGAAGAGTTATATATAAAGATAGAGAGCTGGACCAATAAAAAGTCAGCCTTATTAGGTTAATTCTAATAACAAAAATCATCAAATATGGATGGATTAACCATTGGGTTACCATCTAAAAATACGAAGTAAAGAGAAGTTTCAGCCCAACAGCTCATAGGACGTAAGGTTCTGATTGCTGTTAAAAATATAATAAAAAAAATTACTAGAGTGTTGTAAAGTTTCAGAACAGAAACTTATATTTTAACTTGAGAAGAGCCTGAAATATTTTCTATTATTGATTACGGCTTGCTTATGAATAAATAAATATATAAATAAATATTTGAATTATAATAGATACTATATTAATGAAATAGATATTATAGTCAAATGAGATGTATATATAAAATATGAAAACTGTTTTTCATAATCTCTCATACCAGGCGGCACCTCTATCTGACTGAGATATGAAAAAAAAAGAGATTTAAATGACTGATAACATTTTCCACTATTTACTTCGAAAATTTTCTTTGACAAAAAGTGATTTCCAATTGATTTCTTTAATTAATATTTTTTATTATCCTAAAAGCGCTGCCTATTATTTCAAGCTTTAATAAATGTTTAAAATTTAATGTAGAAAAAGTTTGGCAGACAAACAGACAAGACTTACAATGTTGAAAAGTTCTAGACATATAGATAAGAGAAAATGTTAAGAAAGTTAAAAGTTTAGGTAGGTGGACAAGACAGACTTTGTTGAGAAAGTATAAGCAAACAGACACCGTTGAGAAAGCTTAGGTTCAAAAACAAATTGAAATTTTTTTGGCAGACAAAGTTCAGAAAGTTTAGGAAGACGGACAAGACAAACCATTTTGATAAAATTTAGGCATTAGACAAAACGGATACTGTTGAGAAAGTTTAGGCATCGGGCAAGACAGACAACGCTGAGAAAGTTTAGGCATACATACAATGTTGAGAAAGTATGAGAATACAGTCAAGACAGGCAATTGTAATGTTTAGGTAGGCAGGCAAGATAGACACTGTTGTGAAAGTTTAAGCAAACAGACAAGGTAGACACTGTTGAGATAATTTAGGTAGGCAGACAAATCTGAGATAATTTAGGCAGAGACAGACGGACAGCCAAAGTTCAAAAAGTTTAGGTAGACAGACAAGACAATGCTGAGAAAGTTAAAAAAAAATACACAGAAAAGACATGTTATGTCTGGAAAGTTTAGGCAAAGAATTGTATTGGCTAATTGGCAGGAGTTCAAATACGTGCTATGAAAACAAACTCTTTTTATATAAAACAATAATTATTCCAATCTGGACATACGGCATTGAGCTATGGGCGTGCGCAAGCAATTCAAATATTAAAAAAAATACAAGTAGCGCAATTGAAAATTTTAAGATGCATTGTGAACGACCTAAAAATAAAAACTATTAATGAAATGATAGAAGAAAGGAGCAAAAAATACCACGAAAAACTACCAGGTCACCCAAACTTGTATTTAAAAGAATTAAGCGAGGAACATTCCACACGAAGGTTGAAGAAAAAATGGCCTTACGATCTTAAATAAAATGTCAAAAAATAAAAAAGAGAGATATCTCATAGGAGATAATCTTAAGAGATGCATTAACTTTACAGCACATTGTCTTATAAAATGTTTATTATTTTGATTGACAATAAAACCATGCAAAGAAAAAATAGACACTGTTGAGAAAGTTTAAGCAAACAGACAAGATAGACACCGCTGAGATAATTTAGGTAGACAGACAAAAGCTCAGAAAGTTTAGGTAAACAGACAAGATAAACAATGCTGAGAAAGCTTTTTTTTATAAAAAGATAGAAAGGAAATGCAATATTTTGAAAATTCAGGCAAACAGACAGATACTGTTGAGAAAGTTTAGGTTTAATGACAAAGTTGAGAAATTTTCGGCAGGCAGACAAAGTTCACAAAGTTTAAGAAACTAGACCAGACAAATAATGTTGAAAGTTTTTAGGCATCAGACAAAATAAACAACGTTGAAAAAGTTTAGGCTTCAGATTAGACGGATAGTGTTTAGGAAAGTTTAGGTAAACAGACAAAACAAATGATGCTGATAAAGTTTAGGCATTATACAAGAACGTCACTGTTGAGAAAGTTTAGGTAAACATACAAATCAAACTTGGTGTTTTGTGTTATCGAGTAAATTTTCTAAGAACTATAAGAGATTTATTTAAGAAAATATAATTGTAAATCAATTTTATATTTTTGCAAAAATTAAACAGTTCTGTAAGATCTCTTACGATTTGAATCTTATGATTTGGTAACATCGTACTTTGTTTAATAATTAAATAATAATAATTATCAATTGGATCATTCATTTAATTAATTATTACCTTTACTGGCTGACACTCCGCTGCCTCTGCGTTTTCTTCTAAGCCTCTCGAGATGCTCATCGGAAAACTCCTCCAGTATTCGATTATTGTTGTATCGAGACATTTTTACGGTTTGCTATTTGTGTTATCATGAGATTTTTTTTAAATTAGTTTCACATTTTGTAATTTTGAAATTGAAATCTGACAGGAGATTTTGTTTTGTCTGAGTGACGGCAGGGGAATAATATTTATTTATATGATACATCTATTTAACTAATAGTACTAGTTATATTATTATTTATGGGCAGATTCTGCCGCATTATAGAAAAATATTATGGCAAGGCCATGTTACGCTCCAACTTGCATACATTATGCTACAGAATCATACATAAATACTGTCAAAATGTCATGTATTTGATGTGCATTCAGGCGTTTTGCACATAAACTGCAACGTCATTCGTATGTTATGAAGCTGAGTCAGAACAACTCTGTTAAATAACATTTTTATTTTTTTATTTATTTATATATATACATTATTTTCATATATCTCAGTCAGACAGAAGTGCCTGGTATGAGAGATTATGAAAACAGTTTTCATAATATTTTTCTTTTAAATTTATCGACATCATTGGTCATCTTAATATCGTTTGGCAATTCATTATATATTTTACTAGCGCTCCATATGACATTTCCTCTCAATTTATCCTTTCTATTGTGTTCAATGTGGAAATTGTTTTGTTGTCTAGTGTAGTGTTTGTGTATATCTTGATTTGTGTCTATTGTTGTACTTGTTTTAATTCTGTTATATTTCATTTTGTGTATAATGTGCATTTCTCTATTTTTATCATGTTGTTTAGTGAATAAATATTCGTTTCTGTTTGTAAGTATTTGGTGGGTGTTAAGTGTGGAAAATCATACGATATTTTTATGGCTATGTTCATTATTCTCTGTATATCATTTAAGTTAGCTTGAGTTGTTTGAGTATTTATTCCATATAAAATTATGGGTATTATATGCGCTTTTAAAATCAATATCTTATTTTTTCCCCGAAAGAATGGATCCTTTTTAAAGCTCCTTTTAATGCCGCTATCTTCTTTTTAATTTCATTTATATGTTTTGTCCATGTTAGTTTTTCGTGTATTATAAGGCCCAAGTATTTTATATATTCCACTTCTTCTATATCTGTATTATTTATTTTAATGTTTATTTTAGTAATCTTATTACATTTTTTTTGTTTAAAATGTATATACTTAGTTTTTCCAATGTTGATCGTTATTTTCACTTAGCCATTCAGAATATAATTTCATGTCTTTGTAATAATTTCTTCTAATAGTTTTTCGTCTTTGTCTGCATAGACTATGGCAGTATCTACGGCGTATAGGATGTATTTTCACATTAATTTTGCGTCTTGAAGATTGTTTTGTATATGAGATACAATAAAGGTCCTAGAACTGAGCCTTGTGGGACTCCACAGTTTACTTTGCGCCTGTCACTTGCCACGTTATCAACCATGGTCCTTACTTGTCTTTCTGATAGGAAATCTTTGATAATGCTAAGTGACAAACCTTCTAATACCAGCTCTTTTAGTTTCATAATCAATATATTAAGATCCACCGTATCAAAAGCTTTTTTTAAGTCTATGAATATCGCTACTGTTTGCTTATTCTCTTCAAGGTGCTCACTTATGGTATTAGTTAAATCCAACAATGCACCTCGAGTATTTGATGACGGTAAAAAGCATATTGATTTTTGTCAATTTTCTTAATGAGAAGATTAAGTAATCTTTCTTTTATTACTTTTTCATATATCTTGGAGAATGTGTTTGTTATTGTTATGGGTCTGTAGTTATTTGGATCTGTTTTATTTCCTGTTTTAAAAATTGGTTTTATTGTAGCCATTTTAAGGCACGATGGAAATACACCACATTCTATGTATCTATTTATTAAAACAGCAAGTAGTGGAGCTATTAGATTTATTATTTTTTTAGTGATTCTTGCTGTTATCTTGTCTTCCCCAAACACCTTTTTTTTTTGTTGTTTGTGCGGTTTCTGGGTTATATATTTTATCTGACAACCTGAGAAAAACGCCTGACTCTGTCCAGCAACCACATTGATTAATTAAATATTTAGAAAGAATAAAGTCAATATTTAGAACGAATTAGTATGGAAAGTTCTTCATAGCATTGGTCTGCTATGCGATCCATTAATTTTTTTTTATTATGTTAATGGTTAACTTTTCCTTTTCAGAGAACCATTCCCAGTAGTAAAACGTCTCCAGCCTGATCTCGTTCTGCATTTGATCAACCGAGGACTGGTTGTCACGAGCAAAGTTCTAGCCAGAGTTTCAACCGACAATATTATTCTAAATGCATTTTTACCAGAAATTCACCAGAGTCTGCTCAAGACTTTAGATGCACTTCTGTTTTGGTAATTAATTATAATAATAATAATCCATGTTATATAATTATTATATAATATCAATTTATGCTGTATTTAAGAAAAATTGCTGGAACTAGCCAGATAAATTTATGATTAGATTGAAATTATGGTTAATTTAATTTAAAACACATTATCTTTTTCCAGTGCAAATGAACATATGTTAAGCTACGCTCCAATAATCTGCAAAATTATTCTGAATGTTTTGCAATGGACACAGGATATTGATACTCCAACGCACAGGTAAATTATATAGACATCACTTTTATTTATTACTTAAGATATGTTCGTTAAAATTAATAATAATAATAGCATTAATAGATGATATTTAATTTTTTTTAGGATAATTCGTTTCTCAGCTTACGAGACGTTAATCAGTTGGATGAAAGTTTCAAGTTTAAGCAGTTTCATAGAGCAACACACTACTGAAATAATCCTATCTATATTGTTTGATATAACACCAAAGGAATCTAAAGTCAAATTGGAAAATATGAAAGCTGCCAATAATGAGAAGAGAGAAGAACATCGAGGTGTTCAGGAATTGCACAGGTAGGCAAATATAAATACAAATAAAATTATATATATATATATATATATATATATATATATATATTGTAGAGTTTCGAGCAAGAATCCAAAAATAATACAAAATAAAAAAACAAGAAAAGTTTTTAATAAACAATTTCTTTATTTAATTATTTGTTTACTGTCAACGTTTCGGAACTAGGTACGTTCCATCTTCAGGACATCTGTCAAGAAACATGATCTTGATGAGATTTAAGCAAACAATATGTTTAGGAATAGAAAATAGATTTTTCTTAAATAATAAATTAATTGTAACAAATAATAATGTACAGAAATATGATAATATGATCAAAATGAAAATGGTAAAAATATATGAGTGGATTATCAGAACAGGATATTAAAAATGATAGAAATTTTTTGAAAGTTATGGAAAAAAATTTTTAAAGAAAGGATTAATGATAAAATTGAATTAATTACCTGTATGTTTGAATATACGTTAGCACTTTTTCACTAAACAAGAATTTTTGACAAAAAATGAATTTGTGAGTTATTTTTCCGCCGAATAGTTAACTTTTGTAAATCAAAATTACTAAAAGTGTTGTCTTTTTTTACAATTATTATTTGAAAACAAATAATATTGTATTCGATGTTATACTATTGGCTTTTGGAAACGAACTAACCATATGAACCACCAAATACAGTTAGTTCGTTTCCAAAAGCCAATAGTATAACATCGAATACAATATTATTTGTTTTCAAATAATAATTTTAAAAAAAGACAACACTTTTAGTAATTTTGATTTACAAAAGTTAACTATTCGGCGGAAAAATAACTCACAAATTCATTTTTTGTCAAAAATTCTTGTTTAGTGAAAAAGTGCTAACGTATATTCAAACATACAGGTAATTAATTCAATTTTATCGTTAATCTTTTCTTAAAAAAAAAAAAAAAAATTTCCATAACTTTCATAAAAAATTTCTATCATTTTTAATATCCTGTTCTGATAATCCACTCATTTATTTTTACCATTTTCATTTTGATCATATTATCATATTTCTGTACATTATTATTTGTTACAATTAATTTATTATTTAAGAAAAATCTATTTTCTATTCCTAAACATATTGTTTGCTTAAATCTCATCAAGATCATGTTTCTTGACAGATGTCCTGAAGATGGAACGTACCTAGTTCCGAAACGTTGACAGTAAACAAATAATTAAATAAAGAAATTGTTTATTAAAAACTTTTCTTGTTTTTTTATTTTGTATTATTTTTGGATTCTTGTTCGAAACTCTACAAAATATACACAAATCCAAGACTCTACCATTCAATATATATATATATATATATATATATATATATATATATGTATGATTCTCACTTCCAGTTTTTATGGTTTCGGAGAGAGCAAAGAAAAATTATGCTGCATAGCATTGCAATGCTTCCGAAAGGTGATGTCTTCATCTGGAATATTCATGAAACCAACAATGCAAAAGGTAAAGAACATTTCACATATTTTATTTAATTAATCTCAATATACTCTATAAAGTTTTTGCCAAAAACCCCGCTTCAGCTAATTTTTTGTTGCTAGATGTTTTTCAAAATATTGCAGGCTTGTGATTAAAAAAAAATTTATTGAAGCAATAATGATTGCCTGAAGGCAAAATAATGAAAAAGATTTTTATAAAACATCAAACACAAGCATTAAAGAAAAACATAGAGTAACTAATAATAATAAATTAAATAGACATTAAATAAAATAAATTTATTATGGAGATTCCATTAATAAAAGAAAGTACTAAAAAATGTATAAAATATAATATGTAGTTAAATGTTATGTCAGTTATTTTCATAAGTCTCATTCAAATTATATATCTCAATATATTATTAGATTTAACATTTTATATACTAATTTTTATATAAGGATTTACTTTTTACTTTTTAAAGATTGAAATAAAAAAAAAATACAAAAATTAATAGTCAATGCATAATTTAATTTCTATTTCGTGTTTATTAAAAAAAAAAATTCAAAGGTAAAAATTGTTTTTTTTTTTTTGTTTTCAAATAATTAAAAAAAAGTGAATAAACATGTAAATTTTTACTTGTCGAAGGAGGAAAGTTCTTGCGTTTCTCTAAGTGATTTTGAATCGTTTGTGACCCAATTTAGTAAAAGTATGTACGTATGTAATTTTTGACCTTTCGTCGACGTTTTTGAAAGAACGGATGAATCAAATTCAAAAATTTTAAAAGCCTTTCGATGAAACTGGATAAGAACTATTGTTTGTCAGTTTAGAACAAGTTTTGACTATAATTTTCCAAACTTTGATGATTTTCAAAATTAAACTACTTGTCGTAGAACCGTAATATTTTATAAGACCATGACATCTAATGCCAAAAAAATTTCATTAGTTAATTACAAGAAAACGGCTCGGTAGATTATCGCCTAAAACTAATCAGTATCATTCCTAATAAATATGTTTCGAACAGTTCTTGATTTTTTAAAATCGATTCGGTAGTTTGAGGTTAAATGTGGACGAAAATTTTAACACTCTTTTTTAAATTACGGCTCAGCAGATCGTCTCACAAAACTGACAAACGAAAGTCTTTACTGAGATACATCAAATGGCTTCTAAATTTTTGAAATCGGTTCAGGCGTTTTTAAGCAAACGTCGATGAAAGTTATAATTTTGACAAACGCCAAAAAAAAACGATAACAATTTTTGCAAACTTTGACGAATTTTTAAAATTGAACGCCTTGTCGTAGGGCCGTAATATTTTAGTATGATCTAGAAGACTATGATATCTACCGTCAAAAAAATTGTCGAAAAAAAATGTTAACACTATTACAAGAAAACGGCTCGGCCGATCTTCACCAAAAACTAATCACCACGATTCCCAACCAATATCTTTCGAACGGTTTTTGAATTTCCAAAATCGATTCAGAATTGCGGGTTAAAATTTTTTTCACTTTTTTGCTATTTACAAAGAAACAGCTTGGCTGATCGTAGCGCGAAACTGACAAATGATAGTCCTCGTCGAGATACATCGAATGGCTTTTAAATTTTTGAAATAGGTTCAGCCGTTTTTGTGAAAACGTGGATTTACGACAAAAAATCTATTCACATACACACACACACATACTTTTTCCAAATTTGGTCTCATTCGATTCAGAATGGCTTGAAACGTCCGGAAGAAAACATAAAATTAGCGAATCGGATTTTTTTATGAAAACATAAACTTCTCATGGAACTTAATATTATCAAGGCCTACTACGTACACGATACCCGTAATGGTGCAGTCGAACTAATTTCATCTAAATCTCAATTTTGGTTGATTAAGTCAATTAACTTGCCTTAAGGCAAAATGGCCACTTCCACCTAGTTGTCTATCCCTTCATCTTTCTTTCACAGAATCTCCAAAGAACACTTGCAGACCTATTACTACGACTGCAAAACGGCCAAAACAACGACACAATCTACAACAAAAGTGTGAAATGCCGAAAACTACTTTACCAAATATTCTTCAGCCTAGTTTTACATCCAAGTTCACGTTTTCCTCCACCGACACACGAAGCCGTCATAATATTTTCCCAAGGAAAAACTGATTGCGATCACGACATTTCGGATTTGTGCTCCGAAGTTTTGTGCACAATCAAAAAAATAATCCAGACGAATAGTTTGAACCGGGACGAAAATAAAGGACTTGTTTTGAACAACCAGGAGGAAGAATCTGATAAAATTCCTAATGATACATTTTTGGTACCACCGGTGGAAGAACCTATAGTGCTAGATAGCACTGATTTATCAGCCAGTGATGCTGAGATGGACACAAAAGAAATATGTACTTCCCAAGAGTCCATCGAAACCCTGAACAACTCTGATGTTCTCCCGAACTCCCAAACCTCTGTATCTTCAGCAGAACCTGTGATTATAACATCAGTCAACAATTGCAATGGTACGGCTACAAATAACGTTGAAGAAGATGATGATGGTCCTTTACTGGTGATTCCAAATGATGATGAAGACACTGCCAAAAAAGTTGACGAAATTCCTGAAGTTCCAATTAAAAGACAAAAGTTGGCAGAGGATGTGGTTTTGCCGAGTTGCGAAGAAATTGTGGCGGCTGTTAAACAGCAGAACCATGATAAGGAAAATGATGTCCAGGAAGCCAAAGGTGATGAAATGGTGCTGGAGAATAATAGTTTGTTTAAGATCGAGAAAGTTGAAACAGGTAAGATAGTAATAATAGTCAATTATTACTTGAAATTTATATTTTTTAACATTATTTAAGGGCACAACTAGTGTAACCGCCTAAAAAGGTGATTTTTGGGAATTTATATTGAAAAACTACTTTATCAATCATTCCAAAATTTTAGGATTATATTTATACATGTTTTAAGAATACATAGTAAAATTTTTGAAGAGAAAAATTAAATATTTTTTAAGTTATCGTCGATCTCCAACGGCGCAACAAAAAAGGCCATTCACTGCTGCAGTGATTCCGGCCTTCTACGTGGATGAAATTTAAAAAAAAAAAATTCTCGTTAAACTAGATAATATTGTCTGTAAAATGAACTACGATAAAGAAAAAAAATCAAAAAGTGACAAAATGACGGCGTTTTTTAAAAAAAAGTCGAATATAACCCAAAATTTTGGTCGTTTTTGGACTGCTAAAATTCGATTTTTGATCCGATCAAAAACATCGATAGTTTATTTTACGGAGAACTATATATAGAACATGTAAAAAAATTTGATAGTGATCGGATCATTTGTTTTTGAGTAATCGCTGCAGCAAATTCGGAAAATGATGTTTCGAGGAAAACGCGTTTAAAGATAAAATCATCGTTATACTATATACTGTACATATACTCTTTAAATGGCTGTGACTCAAAAACTATTTAAGATATCGATTTAAAATTTTGGTATGTTATTTTGAAAGTTATAACCTATCGAAATATGGAAAAATTGAAAATTCGATTTTTTGAAAATTTCACATTATTTGTGCCCCTTAAAGCCAGAAACATTTCAGAAGTGGCATATATTTTTTATAGTTCAAAGAACATGTATGTTAGGGGGTGTCCTTTAATCACATCAGGTTACTAGGGCGGGGGGGGTGTTTGACAAAAAATCACGAAATATCACGTGAGGGAGGGTATAGTAGGATATCACGTGTATTTACCTGATTTTTTTTTAATAAAAAATTTTAGAGCTTTTTCTCATAAATAAAAATACACTTGATGTTTGGTGGAGGAGCGGGGTAATATTGAATATGACCAAGGGAGAGGGGGTCCAAAAAAACTTTAAAAAATCGATCACGTGATTAATGGACGCTCTTTAGTTGTACAAAAAAATATTCTTAGTGGTTGACTTTGAAAAAAATTATTGGTTTATAAATTTTTGTGTTAAGAATTGAAATTATAGGTACAATTGTTATTATTATTTTATAAAAGTAGAACTTTTTTCTCAGTAAAACTTTTTCGTTAAGTTTGCTTGTCAGTATAGTCCACTTTTTATATTTTCGATTCATGTTCAATTTGTTCATTGGCAGAATCCAATTTTTTTTCTAGTTTGCTTGTCAGTAGAGTTCTTTCTTGCAATCTTGTTTGATTTTAAATTTATTCGACAATATTTTGCTCTGGTTTGCTCGTCAGTAGAGTCCTTTTTTTACTCTCTTTGTTGATTCTATTTTTTTTTGTTAATATTTTCTACTAGTTTGCTCGTCAGTAGAGTCCTTTTTTATATTCTTGATTGCTTTTTAAATTCATTTAATAACTATTTTTTAGTTTGCTTGTCAGTAGAATCCTTTTTTCCTGATAGATTTTATATTTATTCGACAATATTTCTTTGCTTGCACGTCAGTAGAGTCTAGGTTGATGTTAAATTTATTTGATAATATTTTCTACTAGTTTGCTCGTCAATAGAGTCCTTATTTATATTCCTGGTTAATGTTACGTTTATTTGATTTTTTTAGTTTGCTTGTTAGTAGAGTCTTTTTTTACACTTTTGGTTGATCTTAAATTTATTTGACAATATTTCTTCTGGTTTGCTTGTCAGTTGAGTTCCTTTTTTATATTTTCGGCTCTTGTTCAATTTGATTGTTGATAGAATGTTAATATTTTTTAGTTTGCTCTTCAGTAGAGTCCTTTTTACATTCTTGGTTGTTTATATTTCCTTTTAGTTTGCTCGTCAGTTGAGTCCTTCTTTGATATTTTTTTTCTAGTTTGCTAGTTTTGATAATATTATTTTCTTCTGGTTTGCTTGCCAGTATATTCCTTTTTTAATATTTTTTTTTTTTAGTTTGCTTGTCAGTAGAGTCCTTTTTTGAGAATATTTTTTCCTTCTAGTTTGCTCATCAGTTGAGTCCTTCTTTGATAATATTATTTTCTTCTAGTTTGCTCGTCAGTAGAGTCCTTTCATAATAATATTATTTTCTTCTGATTTGTTCGTCAGTAGAGTCCTTTTTTGATAATATTTTTTTCTTTTAGTTTGCTGGTCAGTAGAGTCCTTTTTTAGAATCTTGGTTTATGTTAAATTTGATATTATTTTCTTGTTTGCTTGTTAGTAAAGTATTTTTTTGTTCTTTTTTTTAAATTACCTAATCAGTAGAATCCTTCATTCTAGTTTGCTTGTCAGTAGAATCCTTTCTTAGATTATTTTTTTTGTTAATATTTTCTTCTAGTTTGCTCGTCAGTAGAGTTCTTTTTTGCGATTTTGGTTGATGTTAAATTTGACAATATGCAGCTAAAGCAGTACCGATTGCTTTGAAAAAAAAGTTCAAAATTGGTTGTGAAAAACCATTGGTTGATGAGTTTATCTTTTTTTTTAATTTGCTCCTCATAGAGTCTACTTTTTAGACCATTTTCCATCAAACTTATCATATTCTGTCTGTAAATAACTTCTATATAAAGACTTTGATTTCTTCACTAATTCTTTTTTTTAATTTTTCAGTGTCAGTTGCTGCTTTCGACGATTCTAAGTCTCGTCACGACTCTTCGACGATTTCTGAAAAATTGGCAGATAATTCAGTTGGAAATTTGTCAGTGGAAGAGATGATGTCCAGTTTTGTGAGTGAAATCAATGATGATATATAGATAAAATTAGTTGTATCAAACATCGTTAAAATGCTAAATCTTAGATTTAATTTTTATATTTATATACATTCTCTAATCCGATGGGAATGAATGTGATCGAGAGGTTATTTTGGAGGGTCATTGGAGATATTTGGAAGAAGAAATCAATTATAAAAATTTTCTTTAGGTTATTTCTATTCCGATATCTCGTGTGCATATTTAGATTTAAGGATAAATGTTTGCTTTCCATTTTTAATAACGAGATTATTTAGTTCAAGAATTTCAATGTGATTTTGATTTTGAATATTAAATTATTAAACTCCATGACTATACACTAGATAGAAAGGAGGTCAATGTTATCAAAGTTGATGACATTTTGTAAAAGGTTGAAATACTTTAGCTCTATTATAAGGACGATGTATTTGAATAATTAATAATAAACTGTAGGATTTGAAGATCTTGAAATGAGTATGATTCATTTGATTTCCCTGCAACCCATATATGCATTTATTTGTTATATTGCTTTTCTTTTCTTAACCAATCAACTGTGGTTGAAGAATGTACTTGTTAGGAAGAAGTGGCTCAATTTTGTGTATTGACGAGTATATTCGCGTATAAAACAGTGACCATTTTGCTAAAAAATATTTTTTTGAAATGTCAAGATGCTCTAAAGCTATGATTGTATGAAATAAGTGGTCGTAAGTGGCATTTTGAATTGATGTGTTTTTAATCGTATCTAATTTTCCTGCTACGCATTACGCATTTATTTGTTATTATTATTGTGGTTGACGAATATACTCGGCAGTGAGAAGTGGCAGAAAAAAGTAAAAAGCATGTTATTCGACAAAATGTCCCTTTGATCGATACCAAATTTAGGTTCTGAATTTAAATAACATAAATAAAAAATAATATAACCTAGAAAATGTTTTATAAATACCAATGATTATATAATTATACAAATGAGATCTTTCAGAGCACCGTGTTTGAGAAAAATATGCCAACTAGACCTTTTTAAATTTTAACCCCGGACCTTCATATATTACTGTCTATTCTTCGAAAAATTCTGGGAAATTATGACTGGGAAAATGTTATTCGACAAAATGTCCATTTGATCGATACCAAATGTATATTTGTATCTATATATTTGTATATATATATAACCTATTAAAAGTTTTATAAATACCAATGAGTAAATAATGATACAAATGAGAGCTTCCAGAGCTTCGTGTTTGAGAAAAATATGCCAAAAAGTGCATTTTCATATTAACATTTCAAAAAAATTGATATTTTGAGTTTCTAGTAACACTTGCGGCCCGTTTAATAACGTTTTCGTGTATAAATATAACTACGAAAAAATCAACAAGTTAATCATAATTAAATAATATTCACGTAAAACATCCTATTAAACGTAATTGAAATTCATCTATCAAAAACGTTTGACATTTGACGTATTAGCCACCGTCCATTGTTTTATTTAAATTACGCTTCTACAAAAATTTTCAAATTGAAAATGTAAAGTTTCTACGCGATTTTGAAATAATATCTCACCTTTCCGACAACCTTCTGATTAGCACGAATTTTTCAAGATTAAGACTGGCCAAATCGGTTAAGCCGTTTTCAAATTTTACCGGATCATTCGATCGAGAGCTCCACTTTTATATATAAGATATCTTTACGTTGATTTTTCATATTTTTTTTTTAAATTATTAAAGTTTCAGCAATTTGCCTTAAAGCACAATACCATACACCAAATAAATATTAAAATTGTATTTTTTTTAAAGAAAGAGTTGAAAACGACAATTTTGAGATCAAAAATTAATATTTGATATATGTGTATAACATTCCTTTTAATCTCATTAAATTTTATTATGAATTTTATTTTCCAAATTTCGGGTTGATATCAGTCATATCACTAAGATATTTTTTAAAATTTCTTTTAAGATTCAAGTCGAAGGCTTATAATATTCACATTAACTGACTTACAAGAATCCTTTTAAGCAAACATTTTGATTTAATACAAAACATCAACTTGGAACTTTTAGATGTTTATAATGATATTTTAAAACTAATATTTTTTGCTTCGTAGTTTTGTATTTAGTATATTTAGTATTATGATATAAGCAACATGTGAATTTAGGGCATTTCTTTACATGTCTTAAAATTTTTATTTCGTACATTTAAATTCGTATACATTAGAGAAAACTAGATAAAATTTATTTTTGAAAATTTTTATTTATTAAGCAATGTATTTGAACTAGTGGTGTGTTTGTATTTAAATATTTTTACCGATGGATCTATAGAAAGCCATATACAGTATTTGGTTGTTTGTTTGGCGATTATTCTTTAAAAGTCTTTAAGGCCTTAATCCGTACGTTACGGCTCCGGTATTAAGCCACAAATATTCAGATATATATGTATATATATTTATATATATATATATATATATATATATATATATATATATATAATGTGATATGCGCAAAGAGGCTGCGTTCTACGTCACGTTTGGACCTCATACCTCTTCCTAATGCATATGTATATGTTTATATGTATATATATAACAAGTATGTATTTATGTAAGTATGTATATATAAATATTGGTGTCTGCACCCCCCACACACCTCTCTTTTGGCGCCTATGCCATTAGTGTCTTTTCCACACAGAACTATTTCTAATACATTCATTCTAATTCGAGTATTTTTCAAATTTTTCGACTGCTCACCATAAAACACGAACAAAAACAAAATATGTACATGATAACTAGAGGGGCGCATGGCTTCGTGCCTTAAGGCAGATTGCTGGAACTTCCCGTACCAAAAATTATTGTTTCTAAAAAAGATTAACATTATTGAAAAAAAATTACTCTGAAAAAATTAGATTTTTGAGAAACTATAAATTTTTGACAAAAATTTACTTTTTTTTTAACAAAAAGGCTTATTGAAGAAAAATTTATTTTGAAATATTTTGAAAATTCTGAACTTTTTTTCAAAGCAATCGTTCTGCTTTAACTGCATACAGACAAAATATCGAAGCGCGTAAGCGCCGCGCCGCCGTCTAACGGATAAGCATTGATACGTAACCCATAGGAATGTAAACAAAATTTATATTTATTGTTAAAATTTCTATAAAATATCTAATAGTTTGACGTGCATATGTCTGATGATCATTTTTGACCGCCAAATGGCATCATTTTTTACTTTTTTTTACTAGATCTCTGAAACCGCTGGACCTGCCTTCATGAAAATTTGACCAGTTCTTCATCTTGTTAATACAAGTAAAATGTTTTTTGAATTATTCAAATTGGACGCTCCGTTCTCTTAAAAACTGAGTTACCGTTTATGGCACTTTTTGCCCCATATCTTCGGAACGGCTAGCCTTGCCTTTGCCAAAAACTAATCAGCACTCGTCTTCTTATTAATACGAATCGAATGTTTTTAGAATTATTCAAATTGCTTCATCTGTGATTTCGAAATCGTTGACGAAAATTTGTATCCGCACACACATACACACACGCACACACACACATACATCCATTTTTTCTAAGGTATGCCAAAATATTCAGAAACTTCTGAAACATAAAGATGTATATAAGTTTTTATTTTCGATTTTTTTGCGATTACTATAACTTACCCTACGGGAAGTTAAAAAATTAACATACATTCATTGACTGCTTGTATTTTTTTTTTTACTTTTTCGCTGGCGATATAATCTCATTCTTTGAACAGCTGTAATATCTGTCTTGCCTAAAAAATATTTTTCGTTTTAATAACTTCAAAGATTTATAGAAACTACGAATAACATAGTAATAATTTCTAACCTTTAAAATAATTTTCAATTAACTTACGTTTAGTTTACGACACAAATGTTTACAGGGTAAAATATTCTTCTGATTCAGGCATTTTTCATTAAATCAAGATTTTTACTACGATGTAACTTTAAAATGTTTGTATGATCCAAAAAACATTCAGTTCGTAATGACGACCAAAAGTGGTTATTAGTTTTAGTGGCAAAGGTATGCCCAGCGGTTTCGGAGATACAGAGCTAAATGTTAAAAAATGGCAGTCTTTGAGAGAACTAAGCGTCCGATTTAAATGATTCAAAGAACTTTCTCGTTTCAACAAAATAATTGCCTTCGGAAAAAAAAAATTGTTTCTAATTTTTTTTTCAAAAAATATTTTTGTAATAATGGATTAAAAATTCAAAAAATGACCCAGGCTAAGCACGGTCTAAGCGCCACTCTGGTACAAATGTTTAGCCAAGTGCGTTTAAACTGTTTATGTACAATTTGGTGAAAACTATTGAAAAACGTGAAAATGCCGCCAAGCTAAGCACAGTATAAGTGAAAATGTCGCACAGAATTATTTGCAAATGCGTTTAGACTGTGACTTTTTCAATTTTGTGTAAATTAGACAACTATTTTTTTTGAAATTGAATTCGGAATGAAATGGAATGGCGATTTTTAATGTTCTGGGGATAAATTGATTTATGATTTTACATTTGATTTGCTCAGATATAACAAAATAGGAAAAATAATGAAAGTTACACAGTATTTGTATAATAATATATTTGAAAACGTTTAAAATTTCTCGAATATTTCATTCCGGTACGGAAAGTTCCAGCAATTTGCCTTAAGGCACGGTGCTATGCGCCCCACTAGATTTTTTTCTTTTCCTTACGGGAAGTTCCAGCAATTTGCCTTAAGGCACGATTCAATACATTACTACTTAAACATTAAATTCGTATTGACCAAATTTATCCACCAGCCCTCAGTCTACTCACACATCCACCCTCGCACAGCTACCCATACAACTCCATCAGGGATGCTGTTTATATTATATATATATATATATATATCCCGTAGCCGCGTAGCTCTACATCTCTCTTCTACGGTCCTCCACCGTCTGCCGTCCTCCGTCGCCTATTGTTTGACGTGCGCGTTGCCTCTACTACGAGAGAGAGGTGCCCTCTCGTCACTAAACGCTGCTCTCTGTGCCGTCTCTGTGCCCTATTTACAACTAGTCTCGGAGGTCCTGACGAATTGTAGAAATAAAGGGCGGTGGAGAGAACACAAGTCACAGATTTACGAGAGAGAATTTTTGGATACGGAGTATTATTAATAAGTGTGGTGGATTTATGCTGGTGGTGTGCTGTTGGTGGTGATGGTGGTGATGGTGCGTTTTTAATAATAATCAAAACGATCAATAGTAAAGTGCATAACGCGAAAGTTTTGTGGCGAATGTTTGGATGGTGTCGCGGGATATGTATGTATATATATATATATATATATATATATATATATATATATATATTAACAAAGTCTAATAATCGGGCATAACATCAATAAAAAACATATTTTTTTTCAAAAATTGTTTTTAAATCCATACGTTTCGGCTATAATCCTAGCCTTCATTCAGTGGAAACTAAAAATAAAATTAAAAACTAAAACAATTGAATTGGAGTGAAAAAAATAAAATAGTACTTACAATTAGTTGATCTTAGTATTAAATTGAAAGATTTTAATAATCCATAGTATCAGGATATGGTAATTCACTACACTATGTATTATAAACATTAAACTTATAATTATACAATATTTTCACAAAATACTAATTTAAAAAATCACAATTGGATAATGTGTTGTTCGTAGACTGGTTGAAGATATAATGGAGAAAGGACTTTTTAAAAAATATTTTTACCAAGATTCTTTACATAATTACAAGTTTAATGTTTATAATACATAGTGTACTGAATTACCATATCTTGATACCATGGATTATTAAAATTTTCCAATTTAACACTAAGATTAACTAATTGTAAGTATTATTTACTATTTCATTTTTTCTTTTCACTCCAATTCAATTGTGTTAGTTTTTAATTGTATTTTTACTTTCCTTCGAATGAAGGCTAGGATTATAGCCGAAACGTATGGATTTAAACTAAATTTTTGAAAGAAATTCACGTTTTTTATTGATGTTATGCCCGATTACCAGACTTTGATAATACATATGTCAACATGAAATTCAGAATCATGCAAAATTTACTATTTAATATAATAATAATAATTTTGTGATTCATTTATGGTCTTTGCATAAATGCAGTATAAGAAATTCAGAAAAAAATAATATAGTATCTGCGGTAAAAGAACAATATCACACTTGATTTTACCACACAACATAATTGCTTCAATAATTTAGTCTATAATTTTCATAATCCCGTACGATATATTAGTTGCTCTTTGGCAATTATAATTTCTAAAGTACATTTTTCTTACTAATAATTTAACTAGTGGGACGCATGGCATCGTGCCTTAAGGCAAATTGCTCGAACTTCCCGTACCAATTTTTTTTTTTTAAAAAAAAAAGATTTACTCTGTAAAATTAGGTTTTTGAGAAACTATAAACTTTTGACAAAAATTTACTTTTAAAAAAAAAAGACTTTTTAAAGAAAAGTGTATTTTGAAATATTTTGGTAATTCTGAACTTTTTTCAAAGCAATCGTACTGTTTTAACTGCACAGAGACGGAATATCGAAGCGCGTAAGCGCCGCGTCGCCGTCTAACGGATAAGCGTTGGTACGGAACCCAAAGGAATGTAAATAAAATTTATACTTATTGTTAAAATCTCTATAAAATATTTGTGCATATGTCTAATGATCATTTTTGACTGCCAAATGGCATTTTTTTCTTACTTTTTTCACTAGATCTCCGAAACCGCTAGACCTGCCTTCATGAAAATTTGATCAGTTCTTCATCTTGTTAATACAAGTAAAATGTTTTTTGAATTATTAAAATCGGACGCTCCATTCTCTTAAAAACTGAGTTACCGTTTTTGGCACTTTTTGCCCTATATCGTCGGAACGGCTAGACCTGCCTTTGCCAAAAACTAATCAGCACGTCTCCTTATTAATACGAATCGAATGTTTTTTGAATTATTCAAATCGCTTCATCCGTGTTCCCTCTTTTCGTTCTTTGAAAAAGTTTCGAAACTTAAATTAGAAATCAGCAATGTAATGTAAAAATTATAAATTTCTAATTACGCAAAGATTTTTTTGAAAAGTATGATAACAAAACCAAACCTGTCAATTGGCAAAATGACGCTTTATAAATTTGATTAAAAAAAAAGTTATATATCTTATATATGAAATTCTTCTGTACGTGTGTATTATTTGATATACTTCTCCTAAACGGTTATTGAGATTTTTATAAATCTTTTTAGAGTTTTTAAAAAGATTTAGATTTAAATTTCTTAAAAGAAATTTTTAAGATTTAATGAACGATAAAACTGTAGTAATATTGTAGACATAAAAAACCACTTATCACTGTTTGACATTGAAAACATTTGAACTATCATCTGCTGAAGAAATATTATAGAATTTATTATTTAGCAATTACTTCATTTTTCTAACGCAATTTCTCTAAGGTTCAAGTTCTAAATGCTTACTACAATGATAAACCCATCATGTCGCATTTGAAGTATGACTTTAATTACATTGTCTTCAAATATTATAAATATTTTTACCGCTATTATAAATATATAATTTATTATAATATAAATATGTGTAATGTTTGGCATTAAAAATTTGTGTATCGCGAGTGTTACCTTATTACTAATGAACATTATTTTGACTTTTTTGATTTGATCTAGCGGTCAAAAATGATCATTAGACATATGCACATCAAATTATCAAATATTTTATAAAGATTTTAACAATAAGTATAAATTTTGTTTACATTCCTATGGGTTTCGTACCAAGTTCAGAATTTCCAAAATATTTCAAAATACACTATTCTTCAAAAAAAAATCGTTTCTCAAAAATCTAATTTTTCAGAGTAATTTTTTTTCAAAAATGTTAATCTTTAAAAAAAAACTGGTACGGGAAGTTTCAGCAATTTGCCTTAAGGCACGATGCCATGCCTCACTTTCACTTTCCACTTAAAATTAGAACTAAAATTATTTTTTTTGAGCTTTGCAGCATTTTTATAAAAGTTTTTTTAGAACATTCATGAAAATTGAATTTGAACGCAAAATACATACTTTTTTTCTTTATGAACAATATTTAATAAAGTATATTTAACTACGAAATTTCAGAACTAATTGCATTTCATCATCAGATTTTCCTGCGACATTGACTTATAAATCGATATCACTAATTAAGCACTTGTAAAGAAATTATTTAAGAATATTTGATTTTTAATCAAAGAAAATTATTTATTTAATTTGGTTGTTAATTTTACAACCAAATAATTCACTAAAAGAAATTAAAACATTTGTACTAATTATAGCATGATTTAAATACACGCAAAATTACTATTAACACATTAGGTTTTAACATATTTTATTATACAATTAATCAAGAAATTTGTTTGAACATACCAATGTATTTAGATTTTTTTAAATACACCAAAATGCCAAGAGAAAAAAATTATAACCGAATCAAAACATCCAAAATATTTTATATCGATTTTTCTATCATTCATCAGATTTTTCTATCATTTAGATTTTTTATTGAGTTTTGTTTATAGATTTACTGTACCATTAATCTTACTTGCCACTGGGCAAAATCCACAAATGTATTAAACAAATAAATTAAACACTAGTGTTGTTTTTAATATGATATTGTTGCAGGAGAAATAATAGTGTTTTGTGAAATAAATAAAAAAAATATGACAGAATTTTAATTATAAAGTGCATAGTGTTTGTTATATTGATGTGTGTTAAATAATAAAAGACTTTGTGGACATTCTTTATATTGTTGATAGGAATATATACAGGTAAATGTCATATATAGTATGTATTATATTAGTAATATATAATTTTAATTAATTTTCCCACATTATGTTTCAAGTTTTAGATAAACTCTGTTTTAGTCGATAAAAGCACAAAAATTAGTTTTGAACAAAATTACAGAAAATTTGAATAAAATTTAGATTTTTTTGTAATAACTTTTTTTTAGACAAATCAATAACAATATGTTAAAATTCAAGGTTAGTTGGTGATACCAAAAACTAACTAAATAAATTATGCACGATGTTAGAAATTGTCTAATACTTTTCATTTTTATAAAATTATTTTAATATGCAAAAGTATTCTCTCCAATTTTTTTGTAACTGAAAAAATGAACTCACTTTAATTTATTTTTATTTTGATTACTGTCTCATAATTATTTGTTGAAGTGCTTGAAATAGTTAAATGTTTACTTGTAAAATTAATGATAAAGATATCGTATCAACAAACAAAAATTTATGAATTAAATTATTAATATATAATATTTTAATTTATTTTTAGCAAAAATGACGATACACGTCCTGAAACTATCAATATGGTTTGCTCTAATATCTCTTGCGACTTTGAGAATTATTGAAGAAGAAAATGGTAAGATTATTTTATAATAATTTTGTTTTATTTATAATTTTATTTTATTTATGTAAGTTATAGTACCAGCAGAAAAATCGAAAATGAAATTTTTTATATATCTTTACGTTTCTAAACTTTCTGAACATTTTGGAATGCCTTAGAAAAAAATTATGAGGGTGTATGTATGTATGTATGTACGTAAGTAAATGGTAAGATTATTTTATAATAATTTTGTTTTATTTATTATTTTATTTTATTTATGTAAGTTATATCAATCGCAAAAAAATCGAAAATAATATTTTTATTTATCTTTACGTTTCAAACCCTTTTGAACATTTTGGCATACCTTAGAAAAAAATTGCATATCTTAGTGTGTATGTATTTGCGGTTATAACAATCGAAAATAAAGTTTTTTATATATTTTTACGTTTCAAAGTTTTCTGAACATCATGGTATGTATGTGTGTGTATGTATGTATCTACGGATACAATTTTTCGTCGACGATTTCGAGAACATGGGTCAACCGATTTGAATGATTGATAATAACATTCGATTCGTATTGATGAGGAGACATGCGGATCAGTTTTTAGCAAAGGCAGATCCAGCCGTTTTGGAGATACTGGGCAAAAAGTGTCAAAAATGGTAATTCAATTTTTGAGAGAACGCGTCTGATTTGAATGATTCAAAAAACATTTTTGAAAGTAGATTGAGGCGCGGCGCTAACGCGCTTCAATATTTTGTTTCTAGGCAGCTAACGTATCGCGATTGCTTTAAAAAAAAGTTCAGAATTTCCAAAATATTTGATATAGTCAAAGTATAAAAAAATCCGATTTTTCAAAAAGATCATTTTTTTTTTTAAATTAAAAATTTATTTTTTTCAATGTTTTTAAAAGAAATTGAATCTTTTTTAAAGATTATAATTTTTGGTACGGGAAGTTCTAGCAATTTGCCTTAATGCACGATGCCATGCACCACTAGTTTACATATTATCATTATATCTGTGTATTCTTAAAGACCTTAGATTTCAATTTTTTTATTTATTTTTGATGAATCGAATTGCAACTTGTCAAGCTATAAAGCCACTTTTAAATTACATATCAAGAACTATTGTCTTTTTTTTAACATGGGACGTCACAAGTCTGAGCGAACATTGCCGACGACAATTACATGTCATATGTTACATACCTAACATAGGCCTTATAATATATAAAACGATTTTAACATGATTCGATTTTATGTACATTAATAATATTATTAAAATTATTTCTTACAAATTGATCAGCCATTACAATTGCCATTATATTATTGAACATATGACATGTAGAACATATTTATTCAATCGGGAGTGTTCCACGATTGTCGGCAACTCTCATTCACTAAGTGACGTCACAGTGCATTCTATGTTTGAGCATTTATTTAAAGTCTATGGTCTATACACATTTCTACTTTATTCTAATCCTTGATTTTATGTTACTAATATATTAATAATATATTATTTCCTATTATCAGTGAATACCGTGACTACCGAGGCTGTCCAGGGCGGCCTTGCCCGTTTGCCATGCGATTTGACTCCGACTGTTGCCCAGGACAAAGTTTATTTGGTCATTTGGTACAAGGAAGGACACAAGTCACCGATTTACAGGTAAAAAACTATAAAATACTGAAAGACAGGTAGACAGATACAAAAGTAGACAGATAGAAAGACTATAGTAGACAGGTTGATAGTACTAGTTCTGAGTTTCTTATAGCACGCTTCCCATACAACGCGATAGACGGTTTGTTTGAACGCCCTACGAATTAGTCGGTAAATTATTGTTTAATGTTTTTTTATCTTCCCTAAAGAGAAGTTTATGTTTTATTAAGGGGGTATTCTACTGTAGAAGCATGAATTTTCCCCGGTTTTTGAAGCGCTGTATAAAGGAAACAATTAAAATTTTTACTATCGATTTTTTATCATTTGTTTATTGATATTTTATTATTACATAAAAAAAAATTATTAAAGAAAAAAATTAGAATTCACAAAGTTATGAGCAGTCAAAGTGGGGGCTCAAAAAAAAAGAGGGTGTCCTGGCGTGCACGATTCCAACCCTCCTGGTGATCCGAAACATAAAAAATAGATGGATTCTCAATTATTATAGATGCCGCTATCGTATGAACCTTGGATAAGTTAAAAAATTTTTTTTGTTCGAATGGCGGCAGTTTGAAAAAAAAATTTTTTTTTCAAGTTTTTTTCAACAATTCCGAATTTTTAAAAAAATTTTAAATGAAATGTTATAGTTTTGGGAAAGGTCCATGCGATAAAGCGATGTATAGAGAAGATCCTCTCCAAATTTGAAGTAAATCGGTTCATTAGAACTCGAGATATCCTTACCGCCAGCTCGAAAAAAGTAGTTCCGAGAAAAACGCGTTCAAAGTTTTGAGACTCGGTCGGACCAGAACCGAGGCCACGTCCCTAAAACAGCTATAACTCAGGAAATAATAGTAATTTTGAAAAATACTTTCAATGACATATTTTTGAATAACTAAACTTTGAAAATATGAAAAAAAAAATTTTTCGATTTTTTCAAAATTCTACACTAGAATACCCCCTTAATAGATTTACTGAATGTTTCATCTGTAAATCATGGATTTATGTATTCACTGTCTCAACCAATTTACAAGATGTTGGTTGTGTTCATAAAATATTTATATTGACAATTAATATATTTCATCAAGCTATTTCAACTTCGATTCTACAATATTTCGTTTTCTACTAATCACATCAACTATCCCTACAAGTATCTGTACAACCCTATCAGAATAATAATTAATTATAATATATTTCTTTTTATCATTTGTTATTTTTCCATTTTTAGTTTCGATTCGAGAGATGCCCGCGGCAACAATTTACCAGACAAATCTGTCCATTGGGCCGACGAGACCGTCTTGGCGGGCCGAGCCTTCTTCCAGGCGACCCAGAACCCTGCCACTCTGGCCATTGAAGGGGCCAGAGACTCCGACACTGGCGCCTACCACTGCAGAGTCGATTTTCAGAGGAGCAGGACCAGATATGCGAGGGTTAACTTGACTGTTATAGGTAGATAAATGTCATATTTATAAAAACCATTTTTCATTTAGAGCAAATTAGTTTTTAAATATATTTATTAGAGATGGGCTTATCATATCCGAAGCCGAATCGGTTATTAGTATTTTATTATGTCGGAGTTGTGGAGTTGTTAAGTGGATATAACTCCTCTCTAATGCGGAGTCAATACTTATGTTTATTTTTGACTCCGCTTCAGAGAGGAGTTATATTCACTTTACAACTCCACAACTCCGATGACTTCGAAACATAATACTTGACACAAATGTATTTTCTAGTGTGTTGTTAACATATCTAAAGATTTATTGAGACTTCGGAATTAGTCTACAAATAGTTCAAACATTTTTGTTCATTTTATTATAATAATTACTATTTTATGCATTTCAATATGCATACAAATCTCAAATTGACAAAAAACTTGGGAATCATTAGTTTTGAAGGGAAAATATAGAATTTTTTTAATATGTTTATTTTTATATGAAAACTAGTGGGGGGGTGTATGGCATCGTGCCTTAAGGCAAATTGCTGGAACTTCCCGTACCATAACGAAATATTCGAGGACTGAATGTTTTCAAATAGATTATTATTAATATTGTAACATTGTCTAATATTTATAAGAATTATATAAACTGAATTGCAAAGTTGAAATTATTTGTTTAAAGTATATTAGAACTTTAGTCAGAATTAAAAATAAAATCTGAATTATTTTCGATATACAAAAAGTTTTTTTTGAAAAAAAAAAGTTGAGACAAAATTTTTTGTTAAGACAAGCAGAACGTTCTTTGAATCATTTGAATCGGACGCTTAGTTCTCTCAAAAAATGCTATTTTTTACTTATTTAGCTCCGTATCTTCGAAATGGCTGGGCCTGCCTTTGCCAAAAACTATTAAACACTTCTCCCAATCATTACTAATTGAATGTTTTTTAGATCATTCAAATCGGATGCTCCGTTCTCTCAAAAACTCGATTTCTATTTTCTGCACTCTTTGCTCCGTATCTCCGAAACGGCTAGACCTGCCTTTGCCAAAAACTAATCAGCTCTTCTCCCTATCAATAGGAATCGAATGTTTTTTAAACCATTCAAATCGGTTGATCCGTGCGTCCGAAAACGTGACTGGATATTTGTATTCATACATACATACACACACACATCCATATTTTCTGAGGTATGCCAAAATGTTCAGAAACCTTCAAAACTTCGAGAAATGTAAAAATTTTCAATTTCGATTATATATGAAATAAGAACAAATCTTTGTGTATAATATTTTTCATAAAATAATAATACCTCACATTCTTATATTATTTCCCTTTCGAGAATTAATTATACATTAGGTAGTTTGATTAGCATACTCTTATTTTTACACAATTATAGGGTCATAATTGTATAAAAGTTATATTGTAATACTAAATATTTTTTAGCTGATTGTATACCATTGAAAGAGCTCATTTACGAACAAACATTATCGTATACAGAATATAGAATACAAAATAGCATATAAGAAGTAGAATAAAAGAAAATGATCACTTTTTTCGACCCAAATCTTTGTATTAGTAAAAAATCTCAAGCAAATATCTGCACATGTTAACACATTTAACACCAGTTTAGGGAAGTCGTATATGACAAATCCTGTGGGACAACTCCCCTCGGATTCACTCCGAGGGAGGAGTTGTATCGGAGTGATAACTAAGGAGTGAGTTACCCATCTCTAATATGTATTGTATATTTGCAGTACCACCAGAGCAACTGAGTATCTTGGACGAAGATGGATCCCACATTCCTCATTATGTTTTGGGACCTTATGACGAAGGAGATAATATTAATGTGACTTGCGTTGCCACAGGAGGTAAATAATATATATATATATATATATATATATATATATTTATATAAATTTATCTTTTCTCAGGTAAACCTTCCCCAGCAGTCACCTGGTGGCAGGATAACACCTTGTTGGACGATTCCTATTCAACTTTATCAGAAGGACGTGTTAAAAATGTTCTTCAGCTAAAAGGACTACAAAGGAGACATCTCAACAGTGTTTTTACATGTCAAGCGAGCAATAATAATCTAACTACACCTATTACCAGTGATATTTCTTTGGACTTGAACCGTAAGTAAAATGAGAAAGTGAGATAATATAAAAGTAGAGGAATGAAATGGCATTTCTTAAAATTAACATATGGAATAAATTCAGAAAACTTAAAGTATTGCTTTGTGTAGACAGGGCTATATTTTATATAGGATATATCTAAGATTTTGCAATAAAATTGTCATTACCGTTGAAATACTTTTGCACTATATAAGAAAAATAAAATTTCTTGAAATGTTTAATCCATTTGATTTTTAACTGTTTGACATTTTATTTTAACATTCGACAAGAATTTTACAATAATTTGTTGATATTTTTCACCACTATTTTGGAAACTGTTGAGAATCAAAATTGTTCAGAAGTAGTACTTGTGGTCATTCTCATAATTGTACTAGAAATCTGTCTATTTCATTTTAGTCACCGGTGTCATTTCTATAATTTTGATTAAATTTGTATTCAAAATATTGAGATATGTTTCTTATATATATATATATATATATATATATATATATAGATATAAATTATAATATATATAATATTTGTATATAAATATTTGTTTTTTTTTTAGTTCGTCCCCTTTGGGTGAAAATAACCTCACCAAACAGACCGATGTCTGCAGAAAGTACTTATGAGGTCACTTGCGAAATTGTGGGTGCTCGACCAAGACCTGTGGTGACCTGGTGGAAGGCCAGTGTGCCACTTCGAAATCACAAAGAAGTAGTAAGTATATTTTTTAGATATAACAATAAAAATATGCCATGATTTTATATGTATTAGTAATTATACGGTTATATTCTATAAATTTTAATTTTTTCAGAATGAAGGAAATAAAACAATATCGATTTTAAAGTTTGTTCCAACAATTGAGGATAATGGAAAACATTTGTCATGTCGAGGTGAAAGTGTGATACCTGAGAGCGGATTAGAAGATGGCTGGAAATTGGATATACACCGTAAGAATTATATTTATATATACGAGGTCTGTTCAAAAAGTACCCGGAATTTTCGTTTTTTCAAAAAAATATTTATTTATTCGTCTACATTAATGTGGTCCCCTTCAAAGTAGTCCCCCCCAGATATAGTACACTTATGCCAGCGTTTTTTCCAATTTTCGAAGCACCCTTGATATTCACTTTTTGATATGTCCTTGAGCACTCTCAGCGATTCGGCCTTTATTTCTTCAATCGAGGAAAACCGCCGTCCTTTCATGGGTCTCTTCAACTTTGGGAATATCTGGTGAATTTTTGCACTTTGCAACACTTTATTTCATTTTTTACGCAAAATTTAATACAAATTCTTTGACTTTTCAATTCTTCCATTGTAAAAATCGCCGAGCTCAGAAAAACACGTCGAACCTTAGCGACTACCACAGACAAAGTAAACAGTGAATATAGCTGAAAATTTCATCATACTTTAGGGGCATGTATACCAACACAATAAAAAAAAATTTTGACAATCAGACACTCCAGACCCGCGAAATTTAATTATTAGTAATTCCGGGTACTTTTTGAACACACCTCGTATATATATATATATATATATATATATATATATATATGTGTGCATATAATTTTATTTGATTTTAAAAGTCGGGCGTTACATTGATAAAAATAGCATAAGAGTTTTTAGAAATTTATTTAAATCCATACATTTTGTTTGTATGTAGGTACTTCATTCAGTGACAATCAATTTAACTATAAAAATTAAAACTAAATAAATAATATGTAAGGAATTTCATAGAAAAACAATAATAATAATAATAATAAAACACTTACAATTTTGTATCTTAATATAACAGATGAAAACATTATTAATCCATGGTATGAGTATGTGCACAGTGGTAAAATATATATTTTTTAATATCACAAATGACAAAACACCCAAATAAGCATGAATAACTTTTAATAAGTTGTCGAAACTATGTATTTATTGTTCGGAATTTAAGATAGAAATGTCACGTTTTTCCTTGAAGCAGTTTTTAGCATGTGTTCAAATTTTACGGAAAATTTAAAAAACAATGGGATCTTTTCGTTTTTTAAGAAATTTTGACAAGCTATTAAGGAACCACGTGTTTGTTTCGTTCAGGGCCGTATTGTCGCAGCGTTTGTTTATGACTCTGTCGTTATGCAATTGCAAAAACAACCTCTAAGCGAATCTTCTTTTCAAACGTTCTTTTCAAAATGTAAAATCTATGTTATGATTTACTAATATGCTCGGTTAACATGGTCATTGTTGAACAATTCAATTGTAAGTGTTTTTTTCACTATTATTATTGTTTTTCTATGAAATTTCTTACATATTATTTTAGTTTCAATTTTTATAGTTAAATTGATTACCACTGAATGAAGGCTTAAATGATAGCCGAAACGTATGGATTTTAAATAAATTTCTAAAAACTCTCATACTATTTTTATTGATGTAACGCCCGACTTTTAAACTCAAATTAAATATATTATATCAACATAAAATTGAAGACTTTTCAATAAATATATATATGTATATATATATATATATATATATATATGTATATAATATTTTTTTAATTATATTGCAGATGTTCCGTCTGTGACCTTAGAACTTGGCAGCAACCAGAATGCGTCTCATGTCTATGAAGGAGTCGATGTCTATTTTGAATGTAATATTAAATCCAACCCGTGGGTCTATAAAGTCAGCTGGAGACATAATGTGAGTTGAAAAAAATCACTATAATATAATTTGCTCCGAAACTTTACAAGCAACTGCGCCCATGTTTCTGTTTTCTCTTTTCAGACATTTTTATTTCTTATTTGCATTCTTCATCTTTGTTTTTTCCAGTTTTTTCACTATTGGTATAACCAAATATTTCCTCTCTCATTATCTGTAGTACTGCTGTTTTATTTATCACTTTTTCCAGCAATTTTATCATTTCAGTTCTTCTCCAGCACCACATTTCGAAAGTTTAGAGATAGTTTTCGAATTGTTTCTAAGTTATTAAATGTCTTAGAATGCATTACTCCATTTTTCAAAATTACCTTTTTTATAACCAGCACAATATATCTTAATTCTAATTTTAATTTCAGGGAAATGTAATTTACAACAATATCGGCGCCGGTGTGATTATTTCGAACCAGAGTCTGGTGTTGCAAAATGTGGGCAGATCCAAGAGTGGGTTGTACACGTGTGTCGGAAGTAATCAGGAAGGGGATGGTGAAAGCAATCCGGTTCAGTTGGATATAAAATGTAAGTAGAAATATTTATAATAGTAATTGATAACTAGTGGTGTATGGCATCGTGCCTTAAGGCAAATTGCTGGAACTTCCCGTACCGTAATGAAATATTCGAGAAATTTTAAACGTTTTCAAATATATTATTACAAATACTCTGTAACTTTCATTATTTTTGATATCTTGTTTGTTATATCTGAGCAAATCAAATGTAAATCATAAATCATAAATCAATTTATCTCCAGAACATCCAGAACAATCGTCATTTCATTTCGAATTCAATGTTAAAAAAATAGTTGCCCAATTTACACAAAATTGCAAAATGCTCCGTCACAGTCTAAACGCACTTGGGTAAACATTTGTACCAGAGTGGCGCTTAAAATGTGCTTAGCCTGGGTAATTTTTTGAATTTCTAAAAATTGAAACAAATTTTTTATTTCGAAAGCAATTATTTTGTAAAAACAAGCAAAAAGTTTTTTGAATCATTCAAATCGGATACTTAGTTCTCTCAAAAATTGCCATTTTTCGCACATTTTGCTCGGTATCTCCGAAACGACTGGACCTGCCTTTTCCAAATAGTAATCAACACTTCTCCCCAGAATTACGAACTAAATGCTTTTTAGATCATTCAAATCGGATGGCCCGTTCTCTCAAAATCTCAATTTCTACTTTCGACACTCTTTGCTCTGTATCTCCTTAACGGCTGGACCTGCCTTTGCCAAAAACTAATCAGCACATCTCCCTATCGATAGGAATCGAATGTTTCTTAAATCATTGAGATCGGTTGATCCGTGCGCCCGAAAACGTGGACGAAAAAATGCGGACATACAAAACACACACACACACAGCCATTTAGTTTTTGAGGCATGCCAGTAAAATGTTCAGAAACCTTCAAAACGTCGAGAAATGCAAAAATTTTCATTTTTGATTTTCGGCCCATTACTATCGGGAAGTTTATAATACCTTGAAGGATCAGTACTTGAAGGAAGATCAATATGAGCGAATATCAAAGTAGTTATTATACTTAAGGGTAAAAAATAGTATCCTAGGAGATAAACAAACTGAATCTCGGCTTGGGAAAAAAAAATTACTAACAACTAATTTAAATAGCCATCTAAAAAAGTAGAACTAGAATTAGCCCATCTATCTGAGTCTTGTAGGAACTGACAAAATGAAAATTTTATAACAAAAATTGGAATCTTACCATAATGAGATATGGTCTTCATATCAATTATTTTCCAGATGCCCCAGTGTGTCGTCCTGGACAAATGCCCGTCTACAATGTCGCTCGCCAAGAAACCATTCAAGTATCCTGCGAACTACAAGCCAATCCTGGTGAAGTAACCTTTAAATGGCTCTTCAACAATACAAATTCAGAAGTTCTCAGTCTACCAATCAGTCAGATATCTACAGAAAAGACACACAGCATCATGCAGGTAGGGAAGTAAAAATTATAATAAACTAGTGGGGCGCATGGCATCGTGCCTTAAGTCAAATTGCTGGAACTTTCCGTACCAAAAATTATTTTTTTTTTTTAAAGATTAACATTTTTGAAAAAAATTTACTCTGAAAAATTAGACTTTTGAGAAACTATAAATTTTTGACAAAATTTTACTTTTTTTTTGAAAAAAAGACTTTTTGAAGAAAAGTGTATTTTGAAATATTTTGGAAATTCTGAACTTTTTTCCAAGCAATCGTACTGCTTTAACTGCATAGAGACGAAATATCGACACAGACACATACATCCATTTTTTCTAAGGTATGCCAAAATATTCAGAAACCTCTGAAACGTAAAGATCTATAAAAATTTTTCATTTTCAATTTTTTGCGATTACTATAACTTACCCTACGGGAAGTTAAAAATAATTATGTTGGAAATTGGTGCTCATTATATTTTTTCTTTATCAGTATACGCCGCAGAGTGAACAAGATTACGGTACTTTAATGTGCTGGGGTATCAACGAAGTAGGAACCCAACAGGATCCTTGTGTCTTCATGATAAACCCAGCAGGTAACTAAATAATTTTTAATCTTCTTATATATAAAAATGGAGCTCTCGATAAAATGATCCGCTAAAACTCGAAAACGGCTAAACCGATTTGGCCAGTCTTAGCCTTGAAAAATTCGTGCTAATCAGTAGGTTGCCGGAAAGGTGAGATATTATTTCAAAATCGCGTAGAAACTTTACATTTTTAATTTGAAAATTTTTGTAGAAGCGTAATTTGAATAAAACAATAGGCGGTGGCTAATACGTCAATTGTCAAATGTTTTTGACCGATGATGTTGAATTACATTTAATAGGATGTTTTACGTGATTATTATTTAATTATGATTAAGTTGTAGCAAGTATTTTTGTTTGTAGTTTTATTTATACACAAGAACGTTATTAAACGGATCGCAAGTGTTACTAAAAACTCAAAATATCAACTTTTTTGAAATGTTAATATGAAAATGCACTTTTTGGCATATTTTTCTCAAGCACGGTGCTCTGAAAGATCTCATTTGTATAATTATATACTCATTGGTATTTGTTAAACATTTTCTAGGTTATATTATTTTTTATTTGTGTTATTTTAATTCAGAACCTAAATTTGGTATCGATCAAAGGGACATTTTGTAGAATAACATTTTTCCAGTTATAATTTCCCAGAGTTTTTCAAAGAATAGATAGTAATATATGAAGGTCCGAAGTTAAAAAGGTCCACCACCGATGTGCAAAAAACCAGTAAAGTTAAGCATTGTTTAACAACAATATTTGAAAGTAGAGGGAACAAGATGTATAACCAGCTATAACCTTGATTTTCATGACCCTGCTATCGGAAGATAAACGGCAATCTTTGAACATCCATAATAAAAGTATTTTTTTCCGTTGGTAATTTTTAGCATTAGTAAAAATGTAATTATTTTGTAAAATACCTTTAAAATTAAACTAAGACATTAAACCTGTTTGCCACCTGGCCGTTCCAAGTTATTCCGCCTATAGGGTAAAAAGGTCTAGATAACAAATTTTTGAAAGACATCAAAAAAGCACATTTCTACAATGATGAAGTAGCTGGCAGTTTTACTGAACGTAGTCAGATAATTGTTCGTTTGAAATGTGTTATTTGTTGTGATATAATTGGTTTGGTTTTCATAACATAGTTTATATTTGCTCAAAGTCAAATTGGACCTTCGTGCCTCGCCCTGCTCTACATATATACTTTTTATTAAATTTACTTTAATTTATCGAATGTTACTTGAAACTTTTCAAGAAGCATGTCAAAGATGAAATATACTTAATTTATTTTCTATCTCTCCTCGCAGAAATTTGAAAATTTTATATATGTTCAGTAGTATTATTTACAATTATACACAAAATCCAGAATTCAAAAAGAATCTGAAAAACTTGAAACGTGATCAATAAGTCGAAAGACCAAAAAACATTGGGATTGGATTATACTATGTTTTCTATAGAAAGTGTATAAAACTTGCAGTTTGATTGTATTGACAGAATATAAACAAACTAATGGGCTTCATTGTTTTAGTAATACCTCATTGCATATAGCATTCAAACAATACATCCTTATACACTTAAAGTATTAATTTTTCAGATTCTCTAGAAAATGTTTAGAATATACCGTACTTAGCAAAACAACGCTTGCCGGGTCAGCTAGTATAACAATATTTAATTTTCTCTAACAACTATCCTTTACCAGGTAAACCCGATTCCCTATCGAATTGCACCATAGTGAACCAGACCGCGGAATCCCTTCACGTCGAATGCACAGAAGGCTACGACGGCGGTTTGCCTCAGCAGTTCCTGATGGAGGTGTACACTGTGCACACCAGACAACTTGTCAGCAGTGTCACGTCCAGGACACCATATTTTTCTGTTACTGGTTTGGACTCGGAATTGGGCTTCGATATCGTTTTGGCAGCCATCAACGCGAAGGGACGCAGCAAGTTGGCGCATTTGAACGCTTATGCTCTGAAATTTGCGGAACGACAAACAGGTAGTAAAGGATAATGGTAAAGGGTTATTAGTGCAGTAAACGGAGCGTTTTGGGTCTGAATTTGGGTTTTTTACTGTGCTCCGAATTGCATGAAATTTTGGAATTAGGTTCATCTTATCCTCAAGTTTAAAAGTGAAAACAATTCCCCCGGGGAATGACAATTGACACCCCTTCTTAATTGTGTAATTACATTTTTTCAAAATAACGTCCGAAATCTATAAAAGAACTATTTTTATTGACATTATTTTGTTCATTACATGATTTTCGTTAAAATGTATATTTTAGGAGATATTTGCAAAAAAACGAGGAAAAACACCAAAAATATAAAATATGAATCTTTAGTGACCAGTAATGAAAAGTATTAGTTTTTTTGAAAAACTATAAAAGACTTTTTTAACTTCCCGTAGAGCAAGTTATAGTAATCGCAAAAAAATCGAAAATGAAAATTTTTATATATCTTTACGTTTCAGAGGTTTCTGAATATTTTGGCATACCTTAGAAAAAATGGATGTATGTGTGCGTGTGTGTGTGTGTGTATGTATGTATGTATGTATGTATGTATGTATGTATGTACGTGTGTGTATGTATGTGCGGATACAAATTTTCGTCGACGATTTCGGGAACACGGATCAACCGATTTCAATAATTAAAAAAAAAAATCGATTTGTATTGATAAGGAGATGTGCTGATTAGTTTTTGGCGAAGGCAGGTCTAGCCGTTCCGAAGATACGGGGCAAAAAGTGCCAAAAACGGTTCCTCCGTTTTTAAGAGAACGGAGCGTCCGATTTGAATAATTCAAAAAAAACATTTTATTTGTATTGACAAGATGAAGAATCGATACAATTTTCATGAAGGTAGGTCCAGCGGTTTTGGAGATATATAGAGGAAAAAGTAAAAAAATGAGCCATTTGGCGGTCAAAAATGATCATTAGACATATGCACATCAAATTATCAGATATTTTATAGAGATTTTAACAATAAGTATAAATTTTGTTTACATTCCTATGGGATCCGTACCAATGCTTATCTGTTAGACGGCGTCGCGGCGCTTACGCGTTTCGATATTTCGTCTCTATGCAGTTAAAGCAGTACGATTGCTTTGAAAAAAAAGTTCAGATCTTCCACAATATGTCAAAATAAAGAAAAAAAATTTTTTATTCAAAAAAAAAAATTTATAAAAAAAGATTTTTTTTTTTAATTTTTTTTTTCAAAAAAAACTAATTTTTTGTCCAATTTATAGTTTCTCAAAAATCTTATTTTTTCAAAGTAAATTTTTTTGAAAAATGTTAATCGTTTTTGAAAAAATAATAATTTTTGGTACGGGAAGTTCCAGCAATTTGCCTTAAGGCACCATGCTCTAATTGCTTTAAGACAGAATTCCACTTACAGCTTGTTTTTCTTATAATTAGTTCTTCTATCGATTTCCGACGTTATTTTGAAAAAACGTAATTACACAATTGAGAAGGGGTGTCATTCCCCCGGAACCCGAATTGTTTTCACTTTTGAACTTGAGGTTAAGATAAGCCTAATTTCAAAATTTCATGTTATTCGGAGCACAGTAAAAAAATTCAGAGGTCACACCCTTTTTCCTCTCCGTTTACTGCACTTATGGTTTTGCAGGATTTTATATGTTCTATTTATATTTTTAGCGACTATTCCATCGATGCCTCATATGACGACGTTCATGGGTGCCCTGATAGGCGGTGTTTCTGCTATAGTGCTCCTAGCAGCCATCACGGTGATAACAGTAAGACTTCGTGGAAGATCTGAAGATATCGTGAGACCCCAAGATCATAGCCCTGATAGATCGGCGACACCTAGATGCAATAATGCCTATTTGGACCATCCTGTAGTTTTAGAGGACAACCGGAGCGACATGCTGGACTATTTGGAGGAGAAGAATCCGGATATTATACCTCAAGGTAGTTGAAAAAAAGTGGATTTTGAAGTTGATGTTTCATTTATTGTGGTGGTTATTTGTAGGTGGTGAAGATGTATGTTTAGAGACACGACCGCCTTGTAATTGGCTCGGGACAACGCAGAGGAGTCTTCTATATGGGGCGACTCCTGGTTCGAGTCAATGTCCGCCTTCTTTGCAACCGCCGCCTCCGACGGCGATGTATTTACCGTATAAGTCCTTAGAGAACTTATCACAGGTAAAATTATATATATATATACTAGCTGACCCGACAGACTTTGTCCTGTACCCACATCTACATTTTTTCAATAACCTATACTAATATTTACCATTCAGTTGATAATAACAATTATTGTTTCTCAAATTACTATTTACACCAATGTATGAGTGATGTTAAATGTAGTACTGTTTTAAATAAAATGATTATTCTCAATTCCCACAGTTAACACTTTAATTATCCATTTAACAAATATTAAAATATGTTCAATAAAATTGTATATTAAAAATTATACACTGCAAATTTATTTCCAATAGCTCAATTTATTTTAATGCCAATGGTTATACAATTTTTAGTCATACCTGTAGATGTGGATGTATAAATAAATGATTTTTTGTTTATTCACAACTAAAACATTGATTTTCCAAATTTATCACACGAAAAATCGTCTGCCTTTGTGATTTATAGCATAAGATATACATATTGGAAATTGAAGTCTTTTAGTGGTATAACAAATTCAGAAAGAATTAATGTATAGCATTCGCGTTATAGGTACAATATCACCTTGAATGTTTCTACCCAAAATAATTACTTCAATAATGTTGCCTATAATTTTTATAATTTCGTACCATATTTTAACTGCCTTTTAGTAATTTACGATCTACATTAATGTTTTTTCGCTAATAATTCAATATACATTATTACTTAAGTTTATATTTGAACCGAATTAATTTATCAAATCCTGTTCACATGTGCTCTATTCAACCTACGATCAACAAAATTATTGCAGTAAATGGAGAAAAAAAGCGTGTGCCCTGTGTTTTTTTTTGCTGTGCTCCAATTTTTATGATATTTTGAGAATATGCTAATCTTAATCTCAAGTTCAGAAGTGAAAACAATTTGCACTCCGTCACCACCCACTGGATTAATTGGATTATAACTTTTTTAATTCTGATTTAATCAGAACTTGTAATACACTATTTTAAAGATAATTAAATGAGCTACAATTTTCTTTATCATAAATTTCACCAAAGCAATAATTAGTCAGAGAAAGACCTTGAATTTCTATCTATATACCTTTCTACGTATCTTTTATTCTTTTAGAGATCTAATAATAAGAAATTGGTTGTTTTTTTTAAATAGATTTTTTTCGTGAAATTATGATCCTTTTGGAAATCGTTTGTACTAAAGTTGTATTTTCTAGAATCCATCAAGATCTCTTAAACCAAGTTGATTCTAGTGGGAATACGATTATTTTTAATTTTGGTGGAAATGGCACTCAAAAACTATTTGCTTTAAATGAAAAAAATATTGTATGCGTCTTTTATCTGCATGATAGCTCACTCATTTTACACGCAGAAATATTCATTTTAAAGCTTATTTTGAGTACTATAAAACCCCAATTTTATATCTAGCCTAATATTGTTCCAAGAACAATTTATAGTACACCGATTTATTAAGATTTTAATTGATATATAATTTTGTTCATTACGTGATTTTCGCTAAAATGTATATTTTTGGATATGCTTGCAAAAAATGATGAAAAACGCGAAAAAGAAAAACAAATTTTCATTGGCCAGTAACTTGAAAAGTAATTGTTTTTTTGGAAAACATTATTAAACATTTTTCTCTTTTAATTAATTCTTGTATCGATATCCGACGTTAGTTTGAAAGAGATACAATTGCACCACTGAAAAGGGACGTCATCCCCCCGGGAAGTGGCAAAGGAGTATAAATTATTTTCACTTTTAAACTTGATAGTAAGATGAGCCTAATTCCAAAATTCCATGCAAATTGGAGCACATTAAAAATATTCAGACCCAAAATGCTCAATTGTCTTGAGTGAATATTTTGTATCCAATGCCAAACATATGAATTTTTGACACAATGAAACTTCTAAATAATTGTTTGAGAAAGTAAATTATTTTTGTATCGTGATTTAGTAAAGTAAGGCAAAACACGACTGCATTAGTTAAAAAATAATAATCTGTCAAATTGAATTATATGTGCAATCACTGACAGTCCACAAACATCAGACGCAGACTGCATCACCTATCAGATGCATGTTGACTCTATTTTATATTATTTTTATTTTTGGCACCTCTCAGTTGCTTTTCGGCAGTAATAAATGTATACATTACATTTTTCTTATTCATAATCATAAATATATTATATTTTAATATTGTCTTAGCCTATAAGAGAATGGAAATGTTTGCGTAAATGAAAATTTTCATTTGTTTTCAATACCGAGCAATGCCTCAAATATTTTCAACGTCAATCAATGATAAGCCGTTTTTTGTAATTTTTTCTATTTATTTCTACAATCTAACACCATTTCTATAACACAAAACCAAACCAATTTTTTTTGTTTGGTGCATCAAATGTTAGAGCTGATTCTTATAGTATTTTTTGCGCCGATTTCAAATCTGCAAACCATTTTTTGTATCAGCTTGGAAAGAAGTTGCCGAAACCAGGTCCATTCTAGGTCGTCACGGAAAAGAACTTTTCACGGTGTCAACTAATGTCCCAACTAAAGCCGAATGGGTCTTGTAAGTTTGTATGAACGAGTAGGCATATTTCATTAAAATAACATTCTGAATTGTATTACTCGTTTGTACTTTCATTCCTTATATATCATATATATCATACCTTGAAAACTAAAGCTCATAGAAAAAAAACAATGTCATTTTTGAAATCAGCGCCCCAAATATACTTAAAAACAGCATTAAAATCTTTTGCACCATTTTCTTTGTTGGCCTGTGTAATTCAAAAAATTCTAAAAAATTTCCTTAGCAAACTTCAGAAAGATTTATCAAAATCCGAATAATCGTTTAGGAGGATTATTCTTTCATATACCATTACAGAAGAATTTTATATATAAGATATGTATGTATACATGTATATGACGTCTTTTCCCCTTTTCCAGGTGAACGACACGTCGTACGCGGAACTATACCTGTCGGCGCCAAGTCAAAGGGCCGTCTACACGACGAGTACGCTGAACCGGGCTCGGGTGTCGAAGTCGGGCATGTTCGGGCCGACGAGTCAGCCCCTGGAGAGCACCCTGTACGCGCAGATCAGCCTGAACAACGCGACGTGCGCCAACGATAATAACTTACTAAGTAAGTAAGGGATAATAGACAAATATATATAAACTAGCAAACTCCGTTTGGCCACCAGATGGTTTCGTGAGAAAGATGAAGAAATTTTTTGTTTGTTTTATATTTGAAAAGGAAAAATTTAATTTTATTGCACAACAGTAATGAATTTATTTCGATTACAAAAATGAAGTGTTTTTTAGTTGAACTTCTCTAAATAAATGAAAGTGAATCCGCAAATTATCCGTTTCATTGAAGTGCTCTTTGGTGAACCTCATTTTTTGCTTTTTGGTCTGACGTTACCACAAACAAAGCGGATGGTTTTCCAACTCGTGAATAGGCAACGTATAACTGCCGATGTGAAAAACAATGATTTTCTAAATAATCTATTTGAAATTTATCCCGCAAACACTAAGCGATTGGCCTTGCGACTTGTTATTGCGAACGCAAGGCGAACTGGAAATTGCAATCGTTTGAAGTCAAACGGCAGACCAGTCGGAATCATTGGTATGTCACCAAATCGACAGCAATTTTTTATTGAATGCTGAAATTCAGGGCGTGTACATCATTATTCTTTGCGGCAAGAATTGCTCGTTGACTTAACCAAGCATAATTCTGATAATTCTCGCTAATGCCATTACTCGAATTTTTTCAATTACGGTGCGTGAAGTTCCAGCAGCTTGCATTAAAGCACGATGCCATGCACAACTAATTTTCTTAGCTATAAAACTTGCGGAGTCCGAGACCTTTCCAACGAATGCAAAATTGTCGAAATCGGTTCGTGCGTTCTGGAGTTATTTCGTCAGGAAGGAAAACCCGACTTATTTTTATATTAGAAGATATAGGGTGGTCCTTAGCAAGGCCATTTTCGAATTTCTTTGCTCCCATGGGCGCCAATGCTTCCACATGAATAAAAAATGAATCTCTAATAGTATTAGCTCTTAATATAAACATTTAGATAGAGCGCACGCCAATTAAAAGTTTCATATATTTGTTATTAACATAGGTCATTAAGTAAATTCTTGCGATATTAGATATCATAAAAAAACTATTTATTTATTGGATTGATTGTTAGGAAAAGATTTTTTTTTCTAATTTTTATATTAGGACATTTTTAACTTTCCGTAGGGCAAGTTATAGTAATCGCAAAAAAATCGAAAATGAAAATTTTTATATATCGTTACGTTTCAGAGGTTTCTGAATATTTTGGCATACCTTAGAAAAAATTGATGTATGTGTGTGTGTGCGTATGTGTGTGTGCGTGTGTGTATGTGTGTGTGTGTGTGTTCGGATACAAGTTTTCGTCGACGATTTCGGGAATACGGATGAAGCGATTTGAAAAATTCAAAAAACATTTGATTTGTATTGATAAAGAGACGTGCTGATTAGTTTTTGTCAAAGGCAGGTCCAGCCGTTCCGAAGATATGGGACAAAAAGTGCCAAAAACGGTAACTCAGTTTTTAAGAGAACGGAGCGTCCGATTTAAATAATTCAAAAAACATTTTACTTGTATTGATAAGATGAAGAACTGATCAAATTTTCATGAAGGCAGGTCTAGCGGTTTCGGAGATCTAGTAAAAAAGTAAAAAAAAATGCAATTTGGCGGTCAAAAATGATCATTAGACATATGAACATCAAATTATCAGATATTTTATAGAGATTTTAACAATAAGTATATATTATGTTTACATTGCTATGGGTTCCGTACCAATGCTTATCCGTTAGACAGCGACGCGGCGCTTACGCGCTTTGACATTTCGTCTCTATGTCTCTATGCAGTTAAAGCTGTACGATTGCTTTGAAAAAAAGTTCAGAATTTCCAAAATATTTGAAAAAAAAGTAAATTTTGACAAAAAATTATAGTTTCTCACAAATCTAATTTTTCAGAGTAAATGTTTTTCAAAAATGTTAATCGTTTTCAAAATAATAATAATTTTTGGTACGGGAAGTTCCAGTAATTTGCCTTAAGGCACGATACCATGCGCCCCACTAGTTTATTATCAATTTAATCTTTGTTATAAATAGGTAAATAGTCTGAAATAATATTCATTATCATTGTTTGAATACATACCTAAATAAATTTATTAACTTTAAGGAATATTTTCCATGGTCGACTACGATTGGTTATTGCGAAATAAATAAATTAATTAATTAATAACAATAAAATCATAAGTAATAACAAATAAAATATAAGCAATCAATTCTATATTTTTAACATAAATATTTAAAAAAATATTAAGTTATTAAATAATAAATATTAAATTTTCTTCTCCCCCAGGACACCTGAGTCGACCAGGCGAATTATCGGAAGACCTGCAATGAATTTAGTGTTTTTTATATTAAAATTAATATAAAACTTATGAACAATTTTACTCATTTTTTTATACGTACTCAAAATACCATACTCAAATTGGAAATAATCTAGTGTTTAGTGGTTAATGTGGAATTATTGAATATTGAATAATAATAATAATATTAATTAAATAACTATTATCTACTGATTTGATTCTGGAAACAAAATGGATGGAAAAGGAGCAAGCAATATGGAAAGTTGATGAAGGAGGAGATTCGAAGAAAAGTTTTTGCATTTATTCCATACAATTCTATACAATCAACAATGTATTGTTTATAAACAAAGTCCCTTGCATAAAAGAGAACAACGATTTAAATCCGACAGGATGAAGAAAAAATTTTTGGGAAAGAGCAGATATATTTTTTTAATGCACTTTCTTAAAATGAATCGAAATGAAGTATTAATTGGACTTGTATTGGAGATGTGGTAATGAAATTTATTTATTTGTTTTCTTAGTGAAATTGTAATCTTGAAATGTGTTTTTAAAAGTTGTTGAAATGTTTTAAAATATTTGTTCTATGTGAGGGTTTTTGCAATGGTCGTTTGTTCTTTGATGAAATAAAATGAACTAGACTTTACATGCAGTTGTGTTTTAAATCTTTAATATATATATATATATATATATATATATATATATATATGATTTAGTAGTTAATTTTGATGTTGAAATATGTGAGTGAGTTCTTGTGGGCGATACATCAAACAAAGAAAAGCCAAAGATTTATAAAATAATCTTTATTTCCAAACGTTTCGACATTCAATTTAATGTCATCATCAGTGGATCTAAAAACAGTATGAAAATTAGTATATCTAAGTAATTATAATATATGTGGATTGGTAAAGTAACTATACAATAAGAGAAAAATTAACAAACAGCAACACTTAACAACAAACCAAATATAAAAGATAGGAAAGGTAGTAGAGACTAGATATATATATATATATATATATATATATATATATATACGAGTATATATATATATATATTAACAAAGTCTAATAATCGGGCATAACATCAATAAAAAACATGAATTTCTTTCAAAAATTTATTTTAAATCCATACGTTTCGGCTATAATCCTAGCCTTCATTCAGTGGAAAAATTAGTAGATCTTAGTGTTAAATTGGAAAATTTTAATATAACACTAAGATCTACTAATTTTTCCACTGAATGAAGGCTAGGATTATAGCCGAAATGTATGGATTTAAAATAAATTTTTGAAAGAAATTCATGTTTTTTATTGATGTTATGCCCGATTATTAGACTTTGTTAATACATATGTCAACATCAAATTCAGAATCATACAAAATATATATATATATATATATACATATATATATATGTATGTATATTTGTAAGATTTTTGCAGTCCAATCGTCGAATTAGAAAAAAAGATTAAATAACAAAATTATTTATTCCATTAAACGTTTCGACACTTGATGTGTGTCATCATTCAGTAATCTAAAAAACAATATTACAATAAATACAAAGTTGATGATAAATATAAATATATAAAAAAGAGGAAACTATACATACCAAACCAGGAAAAACAACAGAAAAAATTAATTGTGATGTAAAATTGATTGAACACTAAATTTGTGTAAAATAATAATATACTATTGTATTAACAAACGAGAAATTGAAGGAGCACATATTGCCCTCCTATATTTTATGTTATTAATTGCGGTGCATTATGGACACTGATCAAGGTTACAGAGCAAGTGTAGTGATGGAGTGAGAGCGAGAGTTGTGAGAAACGAAAGGGGAAAGAGAAACAGAGAAGAAATATAACGAATGAAAGATTCTAAAACTGTATAGATTTACTTTTCATGAAATTAATGATGACTTTGTAACTGTCACGTAAGAGATGTTTTACATCATAATTAATTTTTTCTGTTGTTTTTCCTGGTTTGGTATGTATAATTTCCTCCTTTTTTATATATTTATATTTATCATCAACTTTGCATTTGTGTTATATGTTTTTTAGATTACTGAATGATGACACACATCAAGTGTCGAAACGTATAATGGAATAAATAATTTTGATATTTAATCTTCTTTTTGAATTCCACTGTTGGGCTGCAAAAATATTACAAATATATATATATATATATATATATATATATAATTCAAGACTATTCAAAAAAATATATATATATATATGTATATATATATATATATATATATTGCATATTCCTTAAAGTGTTATTTGCAGCCAATTAGTCGAAATAAGAAATTCTTAAATGATTATTTATTCTATACGTTTCGATACTGTATGTGTGTCATCATTCAGCATGTTTAACAAATTCCAAAGTTTTAATTTGAATTTTGCTCTTATATAAACTCCATAGATACCGCCATTTAAGACCCGCACCATCCTATCTATACATCCATTATTGATCTCTATGCTTTACTACCATTACTGTTTGGTACTGTCAGTTGTCAGTCAACATAATAAATATTAAACACACCACCTTAAATCAGGCTAAGAATTTTGACATTTGCACATTTCAGCCAGCATGAAGTTGGCGACGAAATAGAAGTTAGCCGTCAAGTTGAAATGTATTGGATTCATAACTTTGACAGCTAAAACCTGTCAAGATCATTATTATCACAGCCAAACAAGTATTATTATTATTATGATTATTATATTGTCTCATACTAAGATGATAGCCTTTACCTTAGACAATATATTACGTTAAAATACAATATATCTTGTTCCCTCATAGCAAATATTGCAGAAAAAACGAAATATATATGTCAATTCCAAGACATGAAGTATTTCGATTTAGTATTATAACATCAAAAGCGTTTCAATTTTATTTCATTTACTGAACCTTCTATTTGTTTTTGTTGAGTTTCAGTTAGCTTCCACTGAATTAAGGTTAAGATCGTAACCAAACCCTATAAATATGTAACTGTATGATAAAATGTAACCCTATGCGTAAAACGTAAGCGTAAATAATTTTTTAAAACACAATTATAACTAAAACATTGTATAAAATCTAAGCTAGACTAAAATGATCTTTGAATGAAAAGAATCCTAAAACATAACCCTAAAATTAAAATAAGAACTAAATAGGCGCGTAATCAAGAAGCCAAAGCGAATAAAACTTGAACGGACATTAAAAAAATAAACACAAAAGAAATGAATCATAACGAAAAGCTAAAAAATATTAATATTAAATATGAAACAAGCGTACTTGATAAAAAAAAACAATACTCCGACGCAACGCTGTTATAAAAATGAACAAAAATGGTCGACGCGCTCTTGACATCTGAAATGCTTGACAGCTTGATATCTGTCTTCGCCGGCAACTTCATGCTGGCTGAATTGTGCGCAAGTGTCAAAGTCTTAGCTTGATTTAATGCCTCCTATATTAAACATTTCACAAACAGAGTTTTATTTATTGAATAAAACTATGTTTATTTAATTATAATATTTATTTATTTTAAATTCAGTTTATTGTTACGATGAACACGTCACTGACATGGATAAAGGATTCTATATAAGGGATATTATTAGAGGACTTAGGTGTTTCCTTGAAAATTGAAGTGATATTCTGCTTATGAATTTAGATATTGGATAAATTTAGTAATATAGGTGATAAGAAGTATGTCTAGGACAGAAAGGAAACCTGTTGTGGGTGCTTTGCCCCCTTGTTATATTCCTAGTAGACTTGAGGAAAGGAGGACAAGAGCAAGGATACTTAGGTAAGATTTAATTTATTTAGTACCTTGACTTACTAGTGTTTTAATATATGAGAACATTGACAAACTTTGTCTGTAGAAAACTTTATCTTTGTCTTCTAGAAATCTTGTAATTTTTTAAAACCTTATAAAATATCCTTTAAAATCAGTTAAACATGCTAAATGATGACACAGATACAGTGTCGAAATAAACATTTCAAGAATATATATTATTACTATTCTATTTTCTTTTATACTTTCAGACAGGAGAGACAAAGGAAACCAGACAAGCCTGAAGACTTTGTTTTGTACGAAGACTCTGATAGTGACGTTGAAACTCCTGCACAGCAACAACGAATATTGAGGACATCTTATAACTTTGTTGATTTTGTCCGAAGTAGGGAACTACAATTAAAGGAGGTAAAAAAATAGTTAACTTACTTTATAATTGTGATCTAGCAATTATAAAATACAAGATGTCTTCTTAATTACTTGTGTGCATTTGTACTTATATTAGTTTCAATAATTAAAAGAACAATTCTTTAATAGATTTATACTTATACACCTAAGTCTGTTTTTACACGGTCTTTTTGTACACGGTTTTGATATAACACGGTTTGAAAATTGAATATTTTTAATTTTTTTACACGATTTTATTCCATTTAGCACGATTTGAAATTTTATGTACTTTAATTTTTTTGTCAAATTTAATTTTTGCGAAGTATGTTCATATCACAAAAAAGTATTTATGAAAGAAAAAAGTCTGAAACCATCGATAGTATCGATAGTTTGCGAACACTAGCTTAAAGATTTAAGTGAATTTTATTTTTTTACCTTAAAAATTGAATAACCTATTCTTTTCGTTCACAACATAGTTTTTTAGTTCCTGAACTTGTCATACTTTTAATTTATATTACTTTTAAGATTAGAGTGCATATCTTTTTTATCATTAATTACTATGCTTGTGAAAATAAGCATTATATATTTGAATTAATAAAATAAACATGAATTCTTGTTCTTAAAAATTCTTGTTTTTCACTAATTTTAATAGATTTTAGAGATTAGGAATAAATCACCCATTTTTGTATAAGATCAATGTCTTTTTTTACACGTTTTTTTTTAACACGGCTTCTTCTGGAACCAATCTACCGTGTAAAAACAGACTTAGGTGTATTATTATTTTACAATATACCTAAATCGAAAGAAAAATTTATGCATAACAAAGTAAATGTAATTGTATCATGAAGATATATGTATTACTATTTTATAAACAACTAGATGACCCGACAGACGTTGTTCTGTACCCATGTCTACAATTTTTAATATAATATACTAATATTTACCGTTTACCTAAAAATAATAATTATTGTTTTTTAAATTACTCTTCACGCTAGAATGCATATACACTTATAATATGAGCGATGTTAAATGTAGAACTGCTTTAAATAAAATGATGAGTCTCAATTCCCACACTTTATTGGAAATTGAAGTCTTTTAAACGGTATAACGTAACTATAACCATAACATTACACTGATACTTCATGTTGGACTAAATTAATTTAATTTTTAATTATTTAAGATATCTAAAATTGTATCTTAAACTTCTCCTAATCAATATCGTAGGGGCCGAATTGTATGTATTCATCTCTACTTTCCCATTTGTTGTTCTAAAGTAAAATTTGTGAGAATTTTAAAAATATTGTGGAAAGATTAGTAAAAGAAGCAAAGAAATTATATATTGAAAAAAGAACTATATTGAAAATTTAATATCCGAATCTTGTGTTGGCGCCTCCTAAGGCATGCGCTCGTATTTTGGCTGATAAATATTTAATTTCATATTTTAAGTGAATTAATTTGTCATATTTGTACATATGTGTCTAATTCAATCTGCCATACATATACTGTATTTTACATTATTTTAATTTATGGCACAACTCAGCTGCTTTTCGGCAATAATAATGTAGTCTTTTCAATTTTTTATTCATAATCTTATATTTATTACATATATTCTAATATTACTAGGTTTATAAGTAAATTAAAATTTTTGGCAGATTATAGTTTTCATTTATTTTTACTTATTTCTACAATATTTCACATACATCACAGTACTTTATAATCACATACATCCTAGAAAATTTCCTTAACAAACTTCAGAAATATTTATCAAAATCCGAATAATCGTTTAGAAGAAGTATATAGTGAGTGCTTGTAATTTAATATGATCTTTAATAGGAATAAAGCTCAAATTGATTGTACGTATTAGTTAGAAAACAATAGTAAGAGAAAAAGAAAAGGGCTGTTTTTAGGGGTTTTCCGGCAATTATTCAAATTTTTCTCGCCGTGAGAACCATCCTTGGTATTCAACAAACATTTAAAAAAAAAAGAATTGACCGAATTGGTCCAGGCGTTGTTGAGTTATGCGCTTACCAACACATTTTGCAATTCATTTTTATATATAAGATTATTATTCACTTAACATGAAAATTAGGAATTAAGTTAAAGTAAATTCAGTATCAGTAAATAGTTTTCTGTTCATTTCAGGTTCGAAATGTGAGACTCGATTATGCCAGTCGTCACATTCTCACACATGAAATGTTTAAAGAGACTCCTTTGAAAATCGGTGTGGTTAATAAAGTGTTTTGTTCACAATGGCTTAGTGATCGGCAAATTGTGTTTGGGACAAAATGCAATAAGGTAAAACTTTTATATTTCGAATGTATTGTAGAACTTTCTAGTTAATTTTAAGTTGAACATATCTTTCTAAATAAATTATTTTATAAGTTAAATTTTTTTTAATTCTTGCTTAAGGGGCACAACTAGTGTGAAATTTTCAAAAAATCGAATTTTCAATTTTTCCATATTTCGATAGGTTATACCTTTAAAAATAACATACCAAAATTTTAAATCGATATCTTAAATAGTTTTTGAGTTACAGCCATTTAAAGAGTATATATATAGTATATAGTATAACGATCATTTAATTTTTAAACGCGTTTTTCTCGAAACAACATTTTCCGAATTTGCTGCAGCGATTACTCAAAAACAAATGATCCGATCACTATCAATTTTTTTTTACATGTTCTATATATAGTTCTCAGTAAAATGAACTATCGATTTTTTGATCGGATCAAAAATCGAATTTTGGCAGTCCAAAAATGACCAAAATTTTGGGTAAAATTCGACTTTTTTTAAAAAAACGCCGTCATTTTGTCAATTTTTGTTTTTTTTCTTTATCGTAGTTCATTTTACAGACAATATTATCTAGTTTAACGAGATTTTTTTTTTAAATTTTATCCACGTGGAAGGCCGGAATCGCTGCAGCAGTTAAGGGCCTTTTTTTGTCGCCCCTTTGGAGATCGACGATAAATTAAAAAATATTTAATTTTTTTCTTCAAAAATTTTACTATGTATTCTTAAAACATGTATAAATATATTCCCAAAATTTTGAAATGATTGATAAAGTAGTTTTTTTAATATAAATTCTCAAAAATCACTTTTTTTTAGGCGGTTACACTAGTTGTGCCCCTTAAATTAAATATGTATAATTCAAATTTACGTGTTTCATTCAAGACATATCATTCAATTAATGAATTTCTCGCTCATAGTGTTTAAGTTTCTTAATTTGAGATTTATAAATATACATACTTTTAGTTAATGGTTTACGATGTCAATACATGCCGCCTGGACAATATTCCCACTATAAGGGGAAGATCTACCACACCGATTCAACAAGCTGGTATACATGCAGTGCAGATTAATCCATCGAGATCTCTATTGGCAACTGGTGCTAGACATACTTCGGATATTGCCATTTATAGGTAAAATAATAAATAATGGTTAAATACATCTATTTCTTTTAATAATAGAGTAGTTATAGTAATGGGCCGAAAATCGGAAATGAAAATTTTTGCATTTCTCGACGTTTTAAAGGTTTCTGAACATTTTACTGGCATACCTCAGAAAACTAATGGATGTGTGTGTGTGTGTCCGTGTGTGTGTTTTGTATGATTCCTATTGATAGGGAGATGTGCTGATTAGGTTCTGGCAAAGGTAGGCCCAGCGGATTCGGAGATACAGAGCTAAATATGCAAAAAATGGGAGTTTTTGAGAGAACTAAGCGTCCAATTTAAATGATTCAAAGAACTTTCTGCTTGTTTCAACAAAATAATTGTTTTTGGAAAAAAAAATTTTGTTAACTTTCCGTAGGGCAAGTTATAGTAATCGCAAAAAATCGAAAATGAAAATTTTTAATTATCTTTACGTTTCAAAACCTTCTGAACAGTTTGGCATACCTTAGAAAAAATGGATGTATGTGTGTGTGTGTGTGTGCGTGTATGTATCTGTGTGCGGATACAAATTTTCGTCGACGATTTCGGGAACACGGATGAAGCGATTTGGATAATTCAAAAAACATTCGATTCGTATTGATAAGGAGGCGTGCTGATTAGATTTTGGCGAAGGCAGGTCTAGCCATTTCGAAGATACGGGGCAAAAAGTGCCAAAAATGGTAACTCGGTTTTTAAGAGAACGGAGCGTGCGATTTTAATATTTCAAAAAACATTTTACTATTGACAATATGAAAAATTGAACAAATTTTCATGAAGGCAGGTCTAGCGGTTTCGGAGATCTAGTGAAAAAAGTAAAAAAAAATGCTATTTTGCGGTCAAAAATGATCATTAGACATATGCACATCAAATTATCAGATATTTTATAGAGATTTTAATAATAAGTATAATTGTCTTTACATTCCTATGGGTTCCGTACCAATGTTTATCCGTTAGACGGCGACGCGGCGCTTACGCGCTTTAACATTTCGTCTCTATGCAGTTAAAGCCGTACGATTGCTTTGAAAAAAAAAACAGAATTTCCAAAATATGTCAAAATAAAGAAAACATTTTTTTTTCAAAACAAACTCAATTTTTTTTTTAAAAAAAGTAATTTTTTGTCAAATTTATAGTTTCTCAAAAATCTAATTTTTCAGAGTAATTTTTTTTTAAAAATGATAATCTTTTAAAAAAAAAAAATTGGTACGGTAAGTCCCAGCAATTTGCCTTAAGGCACGATGCCATGCGCCCCCCTAGTTTCTAATTTTTTTTTTCAAAAAATATTTTTGTAATTTTGGATTAAAAATTCAAAAAATTACCCAGGATAAGCACAGTCTAAGCGCCACTCTGGTGTAAATGTTTAGCCAAGTGCGTTTAGACTGTTTATGTAGGAGCACTTTTTCAATTTTGTGATAAATCGTATTGAAAAATGTGAAAATGCCGCCAAGCTAAGCACAGTATAAGTGAAAATGTCGCACAGAATTATTTGCAAATGCGTTTAGACTGTGACTATAAGGGAGCACTTTTTCAATTTTGTGTAAATTAGGCAACTAAACTATTTTTTTGAATTTGAATTCGAAATAAAATAACGATTGTTAATGTTCTGGAGATAAATTGATTTATGATTTATGATTTACATTTGATTTGCTCAGATACGAGGTCTGTTCAAAAAGTACCCGGAATTACTAATAATTAAATTTCGCGGGTCTGGAGTGTCTGATTGTCAAAATTTTTTTTTATTGTGTTGGTATACATGCCCCTAAAGTATGATGAAATTTTCAGCTATATTCACTGTTTACTTTGTCTGTGGTAGTCGCTAAGGTTCGACGTGTTTTTCTTGAGCTCGGCGATTTTTACAATGGAAGAATTGAAAAGTCAAAGAATTTGTATTAAATTTTGCGTAAAAAATGAAATAAAGTGTTGCAAAGTGCAAAAATTCACCAGATATGGCTCCGTGTGACTTTTTCCTATTCCCAAAGTTGAAGAGACCCATGAAAGGACGGCGGTTTTCCTCGATTGAAGAAATAAAGGCCGAATCGCTGAGAGTGCTCAAGGACATATCAAAAAGTGAATATCAAGGGTGCTTCGAAAATTGGAAAAAACGCTGGCATAAGTGTATTATATCTGGGGGGGACTACTTTGAAGGGGACCACATTAATGTAGACGAATAAATAAATATTTTTTTGAAAAAACGAAAATTCCGGGTACTTTTTGAACAGACCTCGTATAACAAGATAGCAAAAATAATGAGAGTTACAGTATTTGTGATAATATATTTGAAAACATTTAAAATTTCTCGAATATTTCATTGGGAAGTTCCAGCAATTTGCCTTAAGGCACGATGCCATACACCACTAGTTTATTTTGCTATTTCTTTCCCCTCAGATTGCCAACCCTAGATCCAGCTTACATCGGCGAAGGCGCCCACAGAGACTGGGTGTTTGACATATGCTGGTTAGACGATCAGTTCCTGGTATCAGGATCGAGAGACACCAAATTGGCCTTATGGAAGACACCAGACGATGACGATTTCGAACCTTACAGTTCTCTTTCGACACAATGCAGTTCACAGAATGCGGAACAAATGGAAATCGGCCCTGCACGGCCTGGACATGCTTTTCTTAAACCGCTAGTAGTAAAGGTTAGTAATAGTAACATAATTATAATAATATAAGGTTGTCAAATATCTCCCTTCCGTCTTTTTGTATTATAAACCAAGAGCAAAAAAGCGGAAGGGAGATATTTGACAACAAATAGTAATGATAGTAAGAGATATATGAATTGATAAATGCTTTGTTTCAGGAATGCAAGTCTGCACAAAAAGTTCGGGCGTTGTGTTTCAATAAGAAGTTGAAAGAAATTGCTGTTCTGTCCGTGAATGGGTATATACATATATTTTCAGCAGAAACATTTGCACAGGTAATAAATTATACACACACGCACATACATATGTATATATATATATATATATATATATATATATATATATATATATATATATATACTAGCTGACCCAACAGACGTTGTTCTGTACCCATGTCTACAATTTTTTAATATGATATACTAATATTTACCGTTTACCTAAATATAATAATTATTGTTTTTTTAAATTACTCTTCACGCCAAAATTCATATACATTTATAATAAGAGCGATGTAAAATGTAGAACACTATATTGGAAATTGAAGTATTTTAAACGGTATAACATAACCATAACCATAACATAACACTGGTACTCCATGTTGTATTAAATTAATTGAATTTTTTATTATTTAAAATATCTAAAATTGCATCTTCAACTTCTCCTAATCGATATCGTAAGGGTCGAATTGTATGAATTCATCTTTACTTTCCCATTTGTTCTTATAAAGTGAAATTTTTAACGTATTTTAAAAATATTGTGGAAAGATTAGTAAAAGATGCAAAGAAATTGTATATTGAAAATTTAATAATATCCGAATCTTGTGTTGGCGCCCCCTAAGGCGTGCGCTCGTATTTTTCGCATGCATCGTATTAAAGGTAGGACCGGCCCTGATTAATACTTAATTTCATATTCTAAGTGAATTAATTTGTCATATTTGTTCATATGTGTATAATTCGATTTGCCATACATATACTGTATTTTATATTATTTTAATTTCTGGCATATCTCAGCTGCTTTTTGGCAATAATAATGTCGACATTTAATTTTTCTTCATCATAATCATAAATTTATTATACATATTCTAATATTGTCTAGGTTCATGAGTGAATTGAAATTTTTAGCAGGTGATAGTTTTCATTTATTTTCAATGCAAACAATGAATTGTCGTTTTTTGCAATTTTTTCCATTTATTTTTACAATGTTGCACATACATCCCAGTTAGAGGTGGGTCGTTGACGGTTTTGCCGTCAACGAAACGAAACGGTTATCGGGGTTTCGTCAACTAGTTAAATAACTAGTTATTTTTCAACTATAGTTATTTTTAACGATTCAACGCTGGCAACGTTAAGAAACTGATAGTTGAAATAACTGTTTCATTGAAAGTTGGTAATATGAAGTTTGTTCTTATAAAAGTCAAGTTGACGTTGGATTTGATGAATAAAAAGAAATAAATGTGAATTGTCACATTTATTACACACACACACACACACACACACACACATATATATATATATATATATATATATATATATATATATATATATAATAAAGGTTTAATTTAAAAAACTTAAATATTTTCATTACAGCAAAGCCATATACTAAAACATCGAATTTACATGTTATATAAAAATAGCAATATAAAAATGTATAGTTATATAAAATGTTATGAAAAATAAAAAAATCAATTTCAGGTTTAGTTTAAAAAAATTATTACAAGACAAATGCTATGAGATTTTTATGAAAAATATTAACCATTGAAAACTATAACAAATGTAACTGATTTTCTAAAATTAAACGATTTGGCGCGTGTTGCAAGTTTCTTTTAAGATGTACATGTACATTTGCAATATTATAAAAGCAGTAGCCTAACAATAAGCGATTTTCATAGTATTAGTTGATCCTTTCCGACGCAGGTACCTGCCTACGTTCGTTTTCGACAACGAACGAATTCCTATATCGTTGAAAAAACTAACTGGCCGCCATGTTTTCAACTGCTTCGAAACCAGTTGATTTTCAACTAGTTATTTCGTTGCGACGAAACGGTTAGTTAGTTAACGAAGAAGAAACGGTTGAAAATAACCGTTCGTTGATTCAACGCCCATCACTAATCCCAGTACTTTGTAATCACATACATCCTAGAAAATTTTCTTAACAAACTTCAGAAAGATTTATCAAAATCCGAATAATCGTTTAGGAGGAGTATACAGTGAGTGCTTGTAATTGAATACGAACTTTATGTAATAGCAATAAAGCTCAAATTGATTCTACGTTTTGATTAGAAAACGTTTGTATGAGAAAAAGATAAGGGCTGTTTTTAGGGTTTTCTAGGCAATTATTAGATTTTTTCTTGCCGTAAGAACCATCCTTGGACTTCAACAAACATTTTAAAAAAAGAATTGGCCAAATTGGTTCAGGCGTTGTTGAGTTATGCGCTCACCAACACATTTTGCTATCCATTTTTATATATAAGATATATATATATATATATATATATATATATATATCTTATATATAAAGTTCTTCTGTAATGGTTTATGAAAGGATAATCCTCCTAAACGATAATTTGGATTTTGATAAATCTTTCTGAAGTTTGTTAAGGAAATTTTTCAGGATTTTTTTAATTATAGAAATATAGTTAGATTATAGAAATAAATGGAAAGAATGACAAAAATCCGCATATCATTGTTTGACATTGAAAATATCCGAGGTATTGTCAAACAAACATTAAAAACAAATGAAGACTGTCATCTGCCAAACATTTCAATTCACTTATAGGCTAAGTTATAAAGGTTACTGCACCGTGTTGTTATTTAATTTATAGATTCCTGACAAAATAATTAATTATAGAGAATATAGACAATAATATATATATATATATATATATTTAAAATTTGATTTTGATTTTTAATGTATTATTATTTTTCCAGAAATTATCTAGGAAATTACCATCGACACAAGACAATGTTTGTTTAACAATTCAAGAAGAATCAGGAATGTATGCGATTGGGTGCAGGTCGTATACGATATTGCTGGATTCAAGAACATTACAGGTAAAAATAGTTTAGTAAATTATATTGATTATAAAAATATTATGATTCATTTATCTACCGGAACCCTTTTAATGTATAATTTATATAATCTAATTAAAACAATGCCTTATTTGATTCTGATTAGTTTTAGGTAAAAATCTACTGAGCCGTTTTCTTGTAATTAACTGTTGAAACAAAAATTCAAGCTGATTTTTATGGAACTTTTTTTGGCGATATATATCATGGTCTTATAGAACTTACTGAAATATTACGGCCTTACGACAAATAGTTTAATTTTAAAAATTCATCAAAGTTTGAGAAAATGAGTAGTTTTTTTTGCGTTTGTTAAAATTAAAATTAGACGATTTACTTAGTATAACGATAGAGTACCTGATGGTCTTATTGAGCATACTAAACCATTAAAGTCCTACGGAAACTGGTTTAATTATGAAAATTATTGATTTGTGAAAATTTGCTTATAGAAAATATGTGTAATAAATCCACTGGGAATACTTTTAATCACTCATAAATTAATTTGTTTATTAAATCGATTATTTACACATATCGGAAAGTTCATGTAACTTGCCTCAAGGCAAAATACCAATACTAACTAGTTTTTTTTTCAGTGTTAGTCTAATAAAAAATAAATTGCTCTCCTTTTCAGGCTGTGAAGAAGATAACATCTCGATATTCAGGTTGTGGAATTCGTTCAGCAAGTTTTCAACACGACATGTTGACAATAGGAACCGGTTTAGGAATGATTATGTTCTATGATATACGAGCAGGAAAATACCTTGATAGCAATATTAATAGTTCGCGAACGGTTGTGCTAAAAGCAAGTAAAGGATATGTGGTAAGTAATAAATTTATATATATATATATATATATATATATATATATATATATATATATATATTGTCAAAGAATCAGAGTCCAAATCTATTAAATATTTGATTTTTGGCACTTTTATTAATTTTTTATCAATTTAGGCATATTTTTGATGGCAAAACAACGTTTGCCGGGTTATCTAGTATATATATATATATATATATATATTAATTTGGAAATATGAACAAACAACACTCTTTTTTGCACTAATTTATTAAATAATAATTTTCACAAACGTTTCGAGACTTGGTTTGTCTCATCATCATTGTGTTATAATTTAAAATTTAAATATATATATATATATATATATATATATGTATGTATGTATCTATATATATATTATATATATATATATATACTAGCTAACCCGGCAAACGTTGTTTTGCCATAAAAAATATGCCTAAATTGATAAAAAATTAATAAAAGTGCCAAAAATCAAAGATTTAATAGATTTGGACTCTGATTCTTTGACAAATAGTTAAAAACTTGTTATAATTTTCAAAATTATTTGACATTTCATACTTCAAAAATTAATTCACTCGCATCATAGTTTTTTGTTTATTATACTTCTGCCATGTCATATATGTCAATAAAATTTTCTTTAAAATATTATTTATTTGTTAATAAATTAATAATTATTTTAAGTCATCAATGAATAATTATATAATTGTTAAATTCATAAGATTGGCTAAATCAACACAGGAATATTGTGGAAATAAATATTTTTTTACATAAAGATCTGATTTTTGACATTTGCATTTTATTTCAAATTAATTATAACTGTCAAAATATTTTCTTTTCGGTCAAAATTTAATATAATATGATATAATATTTAGTTTGTCTAGTTTGTTTTTGTTAGATTCCAATGATATCCTCAGATTGTACTATTCCATTTAAGAGGTTACAATTTCCTGTAAGATTAGCATTTGCGATGATAATCAAAATATATCTTAACTGATATATTAATAATAATATTATATTTTAATTACACAAATTTCTTTATACTCTGATAAATGATTCCAACGCATCATAGTGTTTTGTTTATTTTAATTTTGTTTATGTCATTTTTTTTTAATTAAAGAATAAATTAAATTTTAGTCTAAATCAACGCAGTATCTTTATATAAATATACAATTTTTTATATAAATATTTGATTTTTTTCATTTGCATTTAATTGAAAAGTAGTGAATGTCAATTTCATATATCCAATATGCACTAAATGTATAAATGTCAAAATATTTCCTTCTTGGTCCAAAATTAATATAATATGATAATATTTATTTTACAATAATGTTTTGTATCTATAATTTGCTTGGCAATATTGCCTATACCATAACTTGGAATAATTAATTTATTTGCTTCTTATTGAAGTAAGTCGTTAAACATTTTTTTTGTGCAAAGTCAAAATTTTGTTTATGATTAATTTTAAATTCAATATGCCGCTTTTTTATTGTGATCTCTAATCTATAATGTTTTGATGAAGTTTTGGTTTCCGAAATAATTTGGTAAGCTAATCAATTAAATACAAATTGTAAATCTATTTATATTATTATTTTCATAAATATTGACAAATGACATTTGACGTTTTTCATGTAAACATTTATTTAAATATATAAACATTGATTTTTAATTAGATTTAAAACTATAAATTGTGATTTTGAATATAGCATTTCATCTAATTAGGATATAAATGTTGTATATATCTATATATGTACACGTTTTTGAATTATATTTTTTGAACTGTCAAATTTTTTTTTCAAAAATCATAAATCTTTTTTTCTCGAATTTTCCATAAATTTTGACATTTTGTCATTTTAGGGTTTTGTTTTTTTTTTGATCATTTTCTGTCAAAATCTTTAGAAATTTATAAAAATTTATATATTTATATTTTAAATTTACTTTTCAAAGTTTCCTATAATCTAAGTTGGATATATATGCACACGATGAGCCAATAAAATTTAAAATCGGTTCAGTAGTTTGGGCGTCCATCGCGAACCAACATCGTGACACTGATTTATATATATATATATATATATATATATATATATATGTATGTATCTTATTATTCTTTTCCCCAGTCTCCAGATGAGAATATCGAAGGTCTCCAACACGGTAAGTACCAACCAGCAATCTACACCCACTGCTACGATGCCAGTGGCGTCCGATTATTCGCCGCAGGCGGTCCACTTCCTACGACACTGGTAGGAAACTATGCAGGTCTATGGCAGTAAGAGGTATGATGATAATTAAATTATTAATAAATAAATGAAAATCGGCTTTGCGAAGGAGATTAGATCTCGAGCCATCAATATATGAGAATGAAGATTGAAAATAGTTTTAGATTAGTGGAAAAGATTTATAAGATGATTTATATTTGCATGGACAAAAGATTGCACTTTTGTGAATCTTTTTAATTAATTCGATTATAAATTTTAAATTGTATATATTTTAGAAAATTAGTCGTATATCTTTATCGTTAGGATTAAAAAAAAATATGATGTGTTGTGATTGAAAAGCATCTATACTACTTTTAAGTAATTTTATTAATCAATATTATTATGGATGATGTAATTAATATTATACACTGAAATAAATATTATATATATATACATATTAGGGTGGACCTTAATATGGTAATTTTAAAATTTCCTTGCTCCCAAGGGCCCAAATGGTTTCAAATTGATAAAAAAACAATACTCTGAAAATTTTAGCTCTTAACATTAATGTTTAGATAGAGCGCAATTCAATCAAAGTTTTGTATGAAAATAGCATGGAAAATTTTTCAAAAATTTTAAAAATGTTTTTAGATATAATTTAGCGAACAAATGAATGAGTTATATTCAAAATTTGTCGCTAGGTTATACTAGAATTATTATAATTTGATCTGTAGAGCGTCGAATTTTGAATAAAACTCATTCATTTGTTTGCTAAGTTATATCTAAAAAACATTTTTAAAATTTTTGAAAATTTTTCCATGCTATTTCCATACAAAACTTTGATTGAATTGCGCACTATCTAAAAGACAAAATTAAGAGCTAAAACTTATAGAGGATATTTTTTTATCAATTTGGAAGCATTTAAGCCTATGGGAGAAAAAATGTCCATATTAAGGACCACCCTAATAAATAAATAAATATATATATATATATATATATATATATATATTGCATGGTTCTGAATTTTATGTTATCATATGTATTAACAAAGTCTAGTAATCGGGCATAACATAAATAAAAGACATGAATTTTTTTCAAAAAATTATTTTACATCCATACGTTTCGGCTATAATCCTAGCCTTCATTCAGTAAAAACTAAGAATAAAATTAAAAACTAAAACAATTGAATTGGAGTGAAAAGAAAATTATGAAGAGTGAAAAGTACTCACAATTATATATAAAATAAATTTTTGGAAGAAATTCATGTTTTTTATTGAATGATGTTACGCCCCACTACCAGACTTTGTTAATATATATGTATATTATGGTGGTCCTTAATATGGACATTTTCGAATTTCTTTGCTCCCAAGGGCCCAAATGCTTCCAAATTAATAGAAAAAAATTCTCTAAAAATTTTAGTTCTGAATATTAACATTTAGATAGTCCGCAAATCAATTAAAAGTTTCGTATATTCATTATTAAGTAAATTCTTGCACCATCTGTGATAGCAGACGTGTAATTTTGATGGCAATTTATTACTGACAATTTGAGTGTCTACATCACCAATTAAATAAATATTTTGCTACAAAATATTTAAAAAATATTTGGTTAAACAGCTCACATGGATTTAATTAGATGTTAAGTGTTTTATGTATATTTTTAACAAATGTTCACAAATAGTATCACAGATGGCGCAAGTATTTACTTAATAATGTATTGACGAGACTTTTAATTGAATTGCGGACTCTCTAAATGTTAATATTAAGAACTAAAACTTTTAGAGAATTTTATTTTATTAATTTGGAAGCGTTTGGGCCCTCGGGAGCAAAAAAATTCGATAATATCCATATTGTGGACCACCCTCATATATTTTATAACTATCTATTGCACGTTGATAAATATATACGACTGATACAAAAAAATGGTAAAATTTTTGTATACTATACAAAATTTTAAAACATATTTTATTACTTAAATGTCAGTGTAGTGAAAAACTTAATTATTAATTATTGAAACTCACTTAATGGGTTAATGGCAATAGTATAATATATTAAAAATTTTGAAATATTTGTCAATAATCAAATATGTCAATGACAAATGTATATTATAATTTGGAGAAATTTATTTTATTGGCAAATATGTTGGATAATTTCAGACACGTAAAGTTGGACAAAAATAGTAAGAAATAGTGGATATATATATATATATATATATATATATATATATATATATATATATACATTTCAAAGTAACTAGCAGTCCATTCGTCGAAATAAAAATGTAATAAAGTATTTAAAAACTTGCATTTATACGTTTCGACACCGGATGTGTGTCATCATTCAGCAACTACAATAAATTTGAAAAATTTAACTAATAATAAAAACAAATATAAAATAATTATAAACATAAAGAAACATTAAACATACCACCAGGACAAAAACACTCCAAAAAAATATTTAAAAAAAATTAAAATTGTAACATATTAGAAAAGGACATTTTTTGGAAAAATAATGAATATAAAATTAATAACAAACTTTTCTCAAAATGTTTTTAATTTTGTAATTATTCATTATTTTTCCACAAAATGTCCTTTTCTAATGTGTTACAAGTTGAATTAAAAAAAAAAAAGTTTTTTGAGTGTTTTTGTCCTGGTGGTATATATAATGTTTCTCTATGTTTATAATTAATTTATATTTGTTTTTATTATTAGTAAAAATTTTCCAATTTATTGTAGTTGCTGAATGATGACACGCATCTGGTGTCGAAACGTATAAATAAAAGTTCTTAAATACTTCATTACATTTTTATTTCGACGAGGAATTCATCCATACATTAAAAATAAAAAACATTTTAAGAATTGGATTTGCATGAATACAAAAAAAAGTCTTCTTAATATAAGAAATAATGATTGATAAAAAATAAACAAAAAATGATGGAAAAATTAAAATAAAAATAATAATAAATGAACAATTAAACTAATGTACAAAACAATAAAAAACTGAAAGTAACTTATCTGTAAAATAATTTAAACGAAAATACACTTAAAAAAAAATATATTAAACTAAAGATAAGCAAAAATAATATCAAGATATGAGCATTCGATTGTTTGCAAAAATTGTTTTTACCATGTTCTTTTAATTACATTTTTAAGTACATTTTCAAAATTCATTCATTTTTTTTTATCTATGTTTTTATCTGGTTGCTAATAATTTTAACAAAAAAAAACACAATTAATACTTTTATATAAAAAAAATAATTAAAATTTAATATATGAAACTAGAAATTAGCAAAAACAATATCAAGATTCGATTGTTTGCAAAAATTGTACATTTTTAAGTATATTTTTAAAATTCATTAATTTATTTATATTTTATCTTTTTATCTGGTTTGTTTTAAACTGGTTTAAAACCATTTTATCTTTTTATATGGTTTATTTCATTTATTACCTTCCTAAAAATTATTTTTTTATAGGGTTTTATCATTTTATCTACTTTTTACTAAATATTTATTTTATTTTTTATTACTATATTTTTCATTTTACATTTCTAAGTGCATTTCTAATTTAACTTTATTATATATTAATTCATATTTTAACATTGCACTGGAAATGAGTCTAATTAAAGGCTAAATAACTTATGAAACTTTTTTAAAATTATAAAATTAAATTAATAGTTTATAAAATAAAGATATGAGAAAATATAAATACACACACACACACACACATATATATATATATATATATATATATATATATATAATTTTATTCAATTATCAATTATTTACAAAAATGCTTGACTTCTGTTTTTATTTAATAATTGAGTGTTTTAAATTATATATATATATATATATATATATATATATATATATTTATTTATTTATTTATATATACAAATATTTTTTGTCCAACTTTTCGTTTCTGGAACCATAAATGTCCATTTTTAGATGTAAGTTGTCAAACCATGTGATTTTTAATGATGGTGTATCGAAATGATAGAAAAGTGTTTTATATTAAGATAAATAATAATAGTGAATTTTAAATATAATATAATAAATCATATTTCTCTTGATAACGTATTGTTTTATTTATTCATCAAATAAAAGGTGAAATTTTATAATTTTCTTTAATTTTTCCAAACGTTTCGACATAAAACTTTATAATTTGTCTTATAAGGTTTTTTTTTAAACAGAGTAATTGAATAAAACAGATTTAAAACAAAATATGAATAATTTAAATGAATTACTGAATATTTTTAGAGGAGCAGCTTGTAATTTTGATTGGCTCTGAGGTTCAAAATGTTGCTTTTCAAAATTATTCTGTAATTTAGATAAATTAAACAAAACACGAAACGTACATGAGCTCAGCATATATTCTAAATCGCTTAAGGGGGTTGTTTGGTTTTTATTTTTTTTTTCGATTTTGAGATTTTTTTTATATTATGAAAGCTAAAAACCTTAGAATTATTAAAAAAAAACCTGTCAATATCTATTTTTTGACGAAGTTATAGATATATATATATCCCTATATGTATGATCCTCTGAAACCAGTTTTTTCATCGCTCCGCGAGCTATTGTATGCCAGCTGCTCTCTTTTTCATTATAATACCTCATGCACATGACCTTTGTAATGTGTCAGCATCTTTGAACACCATGGTGTATCAAGTACATTAAATTAAATGGTGTATTTAGTACATTATATTAAAAACTTTAAATACGTTTTTCTCAAAATGACTATAATATATTTTAGTATGTTATTTTAGACTATAAAATCTATCGTTATAAAAAGGTTCATCAAATTCTTAAAAACCAAATAAAGGTTTCAACATTTATTTATCTAGAAACGACCCGACAGATTTTCACCAAAAACTAATTAGAACGATTCCCAATCTGTACCTCTCGAACAGTTTTTGAACTTTTAAAATCGGTTCATGATTACGCGCTAAAAGGTGTATGAATTTTTTTTTTCACTTTACTGTCTATTTACAAAGTTTCAAGTTTTTTGAGAAAAGTCAAAAATTGCCTCACATACCCACACACATACTTTTTCCAAATATTGATCTTATTCGATTCAGAATGGCTTGGAACGTCGAGAAAACATAAAATTAGCAAATCGGATTTTTTGATGAAAACAAACTTTTCTTGCGGGAACTTAATAAATATATAAATTGTGTGTAATATATGTGTATAATGAATATACTTATATGCATACATAAATAAGAAAATAACTAGTGGTGTATGGCATCGTGCCTTAAGGCAAATTGCTGGAATTTCCCGTGCCGTAATGAAATATTCGAGAAATTTTAAACGTTTTCAAATATATTATTACAAATACTGTAACTTTCATTATTTTTGTTGCTATCTTGTTATATCTGAGCAAAACAAATGTAAATCATAAATCAATTTATCTCCAGAACAATAACAATCCTTCGTCATTTTATTTCGAATTCAGTTTCAAAAAAAAAAAAATAGTTGCCTAATTTACACAAAATTGAAAAAGTGCTCTCGTATAGTCACAGTCTAATCAGCATTTGCAAATAATTCTGTGCGACATTTTCCCTTATACTGTGCTTCGCTTGGCGGCATTTTCACATTTTTCAATAGTTTTCGTTTTCACAAAATTGGAAAAGTGCTCCACATAGTCTAAACGCACTTGGGTAAACATTTGTACCAGAGTGGCGCTCAGACTGTGCTTAGCCTGGGTCATTTTTTGAATTTTTAATCCAAAATTACAAAAATATTTTTTGAAAAAAAAAATTAGAAACAATTTTTTTTTCCAAAAGCAATTATTTTGTTGAAACAAGCAGAAAGTTCTTTGAATCATTTAAATCGGACGCTTAGTTCTCTCAAAAACTGCCATTTTTTAACATTTAGCTCTGTATCTCCGAAACCACTGGGCCTACCTATGCCAAAAACTAATAACCACTTTTCCCCGTCATTACGAACTGAATGTTTTTTGTATCATACAAATCGGATGATCCGTTCTCTCAAAAACTCGATTTCTATTTTCTGCACTCTTTGCTTCGTATCTCCGTAACGTTTAGACGTTTTTTTGCTAAAAACTAATCAGCACATTTCCTTATCAATAGGGATCGAATAAACCATTTAAATCGGTTGATCCGTGCGGCCGAAAACGTGGACGAAAAGTGCGGACATACAAAACACACACACACACATCTATTTAGTTTCTGAGGTATGCCAGTAAAATGTTCAGAAACCTTCAAAACGTCGAGAAATGTAAAAAAAAATTATTTTCGATTTTCGGCGCATTACTATAACTACCCTACGGGAAGTTAAAAATTATATATAAACTCAAAATAATTTTCAAAATATAAGTATGTATATGAGTTTGGTAAAATAGTGAGGGTAAACGCGCGCCCTAACAGTTTGATCAATACCAGTTTAAAAATCTACACCGAGGCTTTAGTTACCATATGAATGGTGAGGTGACCATAAACACAACTAAGAGGTAAATAAATAAATTTTCTTGATATTATTAAAATTATATAAATAACAATATTGTTAAAATTTACTTATACAGTAGAACTCCAATTATCCGAACTCCGACTATCCGAATCGCCGATTATCCGAATCACTTTCAGAAAAAAAATTGTCCAAAAAAAGTCTATGTGCGCTATTATTCTTCCACCAGCAAAGCCAGTGTGTAGGCACATTGTTTGTTTTGATTTGACGGAGATGTTTACAAAACAATGATTTTTATTTCTAAACTTGTACATGAGTACATTTTATTTATATCTAAAACATGTGAAAATGTCATGTTTCTTTCATTTAATTCAATAAAAAAATAGTGCAATATTAAAACGTAACTTTTTTTCTCTCCAATGGCAATTTTAAAATAAAAACTCCGATTATCCGAATATTTGATTATCCGAATGGGTCCCGGTCCTCATTAATTCGGATAATTGGAGTTCTACTGTATTAAAATTTAACGGTCTTATAATATTTTTTCGAATATTATAATACTTTTTTGGTCTCTTTCCGAATTCCAAAGCAATCTTTTTTAGCCGGTATTCCAAGTTTCTGATCTTTTTTTATAAGAAAGTTGTATTGCTCGTTAATAGTAGTTTGTTTCTTATTGTGAAGGCTTGTAATTCATTTTTTAGATGCCTGTAGATCCAGCAATAGAATGTTGGCATGGTGCAGTTGTTCGGCTGGGCGAAACCGTCAACCAGGATGTGGCGGTTAAAACCTCCGACCAGGATTCGCAGGTTCAGTTGGATCGGCAGACAGCCAGGGAACAAGTGGCCGACACCTATATAAGGTAATAGATATAATAGCCTAAGATAAAAAGACGATTATTTTTATTGATTAATATTATTTTATTGAAATAGTCAAAAAACGACGACTAATTATGTATATGTATGTATAGACCTCATCAAAAACGTATCTGCTATGTTAATGTAATTTAAGGCTGACAAATTATATATCAGAACTAATTAAGGGACTACAAAAATTTTTTAAGATATATTTAATGTCATATCAGTATTTAATATAGAGCTTCTTCAGAATGTTGATTGGCATTTAAAGTTATATTTTTATTATATAAAGAATTTAAATCATAGCCGAAACGTTATAGTTTCGGTTTATATTTTTAGCAATAGATCAAAAATAAAACCATATCAAAATTTTTCTAACAAAACATGTCGGTCTGCCAGAAATATTAATGTTAATGAAAACTTTAATATATGTTACATTTATATAAAAATTTCTAATGTTATGTTTGACAATAATCTAAAAGAAATCTTTATATTTAATGGTAAATATATTATTTTGTTATGTACAAATAAAAATAACATTTTAATAATAATAATATTAAATGGTAGTCTAGTCCCGTAGACAGGTCCATGGTGTAGGGACACCACAAATCAATGATACTTTTTCACTCCCTTGTTAATCTCCCATAGGGTAGTTATAGTAATGGGCTGAAAAACGAAAATAAAAATTTCTCGACGTTTTGAAGGTTTCTGAACATTTTACTGGCATACCTCTGAAAAAATGGATGTGTGTATGTGTGTTTTGTATGTCCGAATTTTTTGTCCGCGTTCTCGGGCGCACGAATCAACCGATTTGAATGGTTCAAAAAACATTCGATTCCTATTGATAGGGAGATGTGCTGATTAGTTTTTGGCAAAGGCACGTCCAGCAGTTACGGAGATATGGAGCAAAGAGTGCAGAAAATAGAAATCGAGTTTTTGAGAGAACGGATCATCCGATTTGTATGATCCAAAAAACATTCAGTTTGTAGTGACGGAGAAAAGTGTTTATTAGTTTTTGGCAAAGGTAGGCCCAGTGGTTTCCGAAATGCAGAGCTAAATGTTAAAAAAATGGCAGTTTTTGAGAGAAGCGTCCGATTTAAATAATTCAAAGAACTTTCTGCTTGTTTCAACAAAATAATTGCTTTTGGAAAAAAAAATTATTTCTAATTTTTTTTTTCAAAAAATATTTTTGTAATTTTGGATTAAAAATTCAAAAAATTGCCCAGGCTAAGCACAGTCTAAGCGCCACTCTGGTACAAATGTTTACCCAAGTGCGTTTAGACTGTTTATGTAATAGATCACTTTTCCAATTTTGTGAAAACTATTGAAAAATGTGAAAATGCCGCCAAGCTAAGCACAGTATAAGTGAGAATGTCGCACAGAATGATTTGCAAATGCGTTTAGACTGTGACTATACGAAAGCACTTTTTCAATTTTGTGTAAATTAGGCAACTATTTTTTTTTGAAATTGAATTCGAAATGAAATGACGATTGTTAATGTCCTGGAGAAATTGATTTATTAACTTCCCGTAGGGTAAGTTATAGTAATCGCAAAAAAATCGAAAATTTTTATATATCTTTACGTTTCAAAGGTTTCTGAATATTTTGGCATACCTTAAAAAAATGGTTGTGTGGTGTTTGTGTGTGTGTGTGTGTGCGGATACAAATTTTCGTCGACGATTTCGGGAACACCGATCAACCGGTTTAAATAATTCAAACAACATTTTACTTGTATTGACAAGATGAAGAACTGATAAATTTTTTGGGAAGGCAGGTCTAGCGTTTTCGGAAATTTATTGAAAAAAGTAACAAAAATGCCATCTGGCGGTCAAAAATGATCATTAGACATATGCACATCAAATTATTAGATATTTCATAGAGATTTTAATAATGTGTATCAATTTTGTATACATTCCTATGGGTTCCGTACCAATTTTTATCCGTTAGACAACGATGCGGCGCTTACGCGCTTCGATATTTCGTCTCTATGCAGTTAAAGCAGTACGATTGCTTTGAAAAAAAAGTTCAGAATTTCCAAAATATTTCAAAATAAATTTTTCTTTAAAAAGTCTTTTATTTTAAAAAAAAAAGGAAATTTTTTTCAGAGTAATTTTTTTTCAAAAATGTTAATCTTAAAAAAAAAAAAAAATTTTGGTATGGGAAGTTCCAGCAATTTGCACTAGTTTGTGGTTCAAATGACGCATTTGCCTTTCCAAAATTCTGTTCCTTCGACTTTCAATTCCCCGTATTAACTCTTCTCACGTAAATCATCAATCATCCCAATCATCTTCTTCCCAATTTTTTGCAAAATGAGCCTGACCCACTTTCTTTTTCCTTTATATATGTGCAGTAAAAATTTTCTTATGTTTCATCATAGGTATATAATGGTGGCCAATTATCTGGACAAATGCTTAGACATTATAGTGCAGCCTCAGAAAAGAATCGTCTTGAGAAGACTGCTGGATGCAACTTTGGGACGCGTCATAGAACTAAAACACGATTTGGTGAATGCTGATATTTCTGAAACTGGACACGTTGATGATAGATTGTCTAGGTAAAAATTAATACAAATAAATTTATATACAGACTAGATGATCCGACAGGCGTTGTCTAGTCACCCATGTCTACAATTTTAATGCCAAAGGCTATCCAGTATTTTTAGTCATTTTGTAAATGTGGATGTATAAATGAATGATTTTTGTTTATTCACGACACAAACATCGATTTTCCAAAATTTGTCACACAAAAATGATCGTCTGTCTTTGTGATTTATAGCATAAGACATACGTATTGCAAATTGCAGTCTTTTAAACAATATAACGAATTCAGAAAGAATCAATATATAGCATCCGCGGTAAAGGTACAATATCACCTTGAATTTTTCTACCCAAAATAATTGTTTCAATAATGTTCATTATTTTAACTGGCTTTTAGTTATTTACGATCTAAATTACATTTTTCTCACCAATAATTCAATATACATTATCATTTATGTTCATATTTGAAGTGAATTAATTTGTCAAATCCTGTTCACATGTGCTCTTTTCAACCTACGATCAACAAAATTATTGCAGTAAATGGAGAGGAAATAAACGTGTGTCAGAAAACGACATTAAATAAAAAAAACATTGCAAGCGTCTTTTATCTGCATGATAGCTCACTCATTTTACACGCAGAAAATACTCATTTTAAAGCTAATTTTGAGCACTATAAACCCTCATTTTCATATCTAGCCTAATATTGTTCCTAAAACACTTTATAAAACATCGATTTATTAAGATTTTAATTGATATAACTTTGTTCATTACATGATTTTCGTTAAGATGCATATTTTCAGAAATATTCGCTAAAAACGATGAAAAACGCTAAACAAAAACAATTTTTTTGTAGCCAGTAACTTGAAAAGTAATTGCTTTTTTGAAAACCATTATTAAATATTTTTCTCTCCTAATTAATTCTTTTATCGATATCCGATGTTATTTTGAAAAAAGTAAAATTACACCACTGATAAGGAATGTCATCAACCTGGGAAGTGGCAAAGGAGTATAAATTATTTTCACTTTTAAACTAGAGAGTAAGATGAACCTAATTCCAAAATTTCATGCAAATTGGAGCACATTAAAAATATTCAGACCCAAAACTCTCCATTGACTTGAGTAAATATTTCCTATCCGATGACAAACATATGAATTTTTGACACAATGAAACTTCTAGATAATTTTTTGAGTAAGTAAGTTATTTATGTATTGTGATTTAGTAAAGTAAGGCAAAACACGACTGCATTTAGAAGTTAAAAAATAATAATCAGTCAAAGTGAATTATAGGCTAAGTTTGATGTGCGATCACTGACAGACGCATGCGCAGACTGCATCACCTGTCAGACGCGTATTGACCGTAAATCTTATATTATTTTAATTTTTGGCACATCTCAGCTGCTTTTTGGTAAAAATAATGTAGTCATTACATTTTTCTTATTCATAATCATAAATATATTATATTTTAATATTGTCTTAGCCTATAAGTGAATGGAAATGTTTGGCAAATGACAGTCTTTATTTGTTTTAATGTCAAACCATGCCTTAAATATTTTCAAGGTCAAACAATAATAAGCGATTTTTCGTAATTTTTTCCATATATTTCTACAATCTAACTATATTGCTACAATTCAAAAAATCCTGAAAATTCCCTTAACAAACTCTAAAAAGATTTATCAAAATCCGAATAACCGTTTAGGAGAAATATCAAATCATACACCCGTACAGAATAATTTTATATATACAAGATATGTACATTATTATTATCTAGGATGAATGCAACCCCTCAAGATGCCGAATCGAACATCCCTCGTTATGTGAGACGAGACCGCGCCAAACAAATCGCCGAACAAAAAAATACGATGGACCAAATCCTTAAAGGTTTAGGCTACATCGACGGAGACGAAGATTTACCGCCGATGACAGAACTGGAGGCCATCAGGATTATACAGACGCACGAACGGGCGAGACAGGGACGAATCAGGTAGATAGATATACAATAAGTATACAGGGTGTCCCAGAACTCAACGGGGGATAGCAGAAAGGGTATGGGCGTGTTTCCATACAGAATTGGCCGCACCCTAAATGATTTTGATGCCATTTTATAGGTATTTTCGATAAAATACCAAATTTCAAATCCGTAGCTCATAACTTGGCCGAGATATCAGTGAAAACATGTAATCACAATATTAATCGAAAATGAAAATATGTATATCTCTTTACGTTTTAAAGGTTTCTGAACATTTTGGCATACCTTAGAAAAAATGGATGTATGTGTGTGTGTGTTTGTGTGCGCGTATGTGTGTTCGGATACAAATTTTCGTCGACGATTTCGGGAAAACAGATAAAGCGATTTGAATAATTCAAATAACATTCGATTCGTATTGACAAGGAGACGTGCTGATTAGTTTTTAGCAAAGGTAGGTCTAGCCGTTCCGAAGATACGGGGCAAAAAGTGCCGAAAACGGTAACTCAGTTTTTAAGAGAACGGAGCGTTCGATTTGAATAATTCAAAAAACATTTTATTTGTATTGGCTAAATGAAAAACTGTTCAAATTTTTGGAAAGGCAGGTCCAATGACTTTGGAGATATGGAGGAAAAAGTAAAAAAATGAGCCATTTGGCGGTCAAAAATGAACTTTAGACACATGCACATCAAATTATCAGATATTTTATAAAGATTTTAACAATAAGTGTATTTTTTTTACATTTCTATGGGTTCCGTACCAATGCTTACGCGTTAGACGGCGGTTCAAGCAGTACGATTGTTTTGAAAAAAAGTTCAGAATTTCCAAAATATATCAAAATGAAGAAAACATTTTTTATTCAAAAAAATTTTATGTTTTCAAAAAAAAATTTTGTTTAAAAAAAAGTAATTTTTGTCAAATTTATAGTTTCTCAAAAATCTAATTTTTTGAAGTAAATTTTTTTCAAAAACGTTAATCGTTTTTAAAAAATAATAATTTTTGGTACGGAAAGTTTCAGCAATTTGCCTTAAGGCACGATGCCCTAATTGCCTTAAGACAGAATTCCACTTACAGCTAGTTTATTTAATATTTCTAGGACCACAGTCAAAAATAATTACACAATTGCTCCGAGTTTTCAAAAATTAAGACCTTTGCTTTAACTATAAATTTAAAATTTTTAAAATCGGTCGACATTGAGTGGCGTTTCTTTAAAAAAAAAGTACAAAAGTGTGCAGGCAATTTTCATCAAAAGTTGGCACATTTAATCAGCATTGTAAAATAGTAAAATACATGATTGATTCATAATAAATAATTTCAATTTGTAGGACAGTTATCACGTTGAGTTCTGGGGTACCCCGTATAAAGTTTCAATCCAGAGTGACTTTTTTTATTTTTTTATCCTAGGGCTCAATTTATGCGAGAAATCCGTATTTTGAAAGAAAAGGGCAAGCAAGACGAGTCAAAAGAACGTCAAGACACTGCCCTTTTGGCAGCTTTGAGGATTCAGAGAAATTGGCGCGGTTTTGCAGCCAGAAGACGCATCAGGCAGCGCAAAATTGATGAAATGCTTCTCATAGGAATGATACCGCCTTCGGAGAACGATGATCGAATTATAAATGAAGCAGAAAAGGTATTTGGATCTCAAATCTTCATTTTGTTCAATTATTTACCCAAAACATTTTTGAAGTAAAACTTCTTTAGGCGCGACATGGGTGTAAAAACTTCATTAGGCGCGACACGGGTGTAAATCCGTACAAATGCAACGAAAACGCCGACGCTAGTAAGCGCAGCTATCGCAATTATTCGATTTAGTCTGCGAGCAAAACAAAAAATACATCAAATGTCAAATCATATGTCAAGAACAAAACAAAATGTGTCGACTTTCACTTGAGTTTTGTATTTAGCTCGTAGTCTCTAAACATTTTTTGAAGTAAAACTTCTTTAGGCGCGACATGGGTTAGCAGTATAATTCGTGAGTTAATAAAAATGTCAGGATCGGCAAGATATTTTATCCCCTCCCCCATAAATAATTGTAGTGCAAATGATCGCAAATAAATAATGAAACTGAGGAAAAATCTGCGCTGCGTAAGAAATGATAGCTTTGGCTATGTATGTTTTGTGTGTGATCGACTTTGGCTTCAAAGTGACTTAGAAATATCAAATGATGCTCAAAAACAAATTCTTAATAATGTTTTTTGAATATTGATTTAAATAATCAGGTTGATGCCAAACTTGTCGAAAGATATTAAATTCAGGTAAAATTCCCACTTTGTGTAAATTTAACGGGTTTGTATTTCCACCTATACCAAATTATCTACCTAAACTAGATACTGTATCTGAAAGGTTAATTTCACCTAGGTTGTGTTTCATGCAAATTAGACGATTGCGACATGCAAATGGACAATTTGGAATGTTTGGCCAAATTATAAATGTGCCTGTTGACATTAATAATATGGTTAATTTATTATCTCGTAATATTGATGATGATCATTGCATTAACGTTCACATAAAAAAGCAAATGATTCATAGATCAAGCTTGATAAATAAAACAAATATAAAAGTATGGCTTCAATTTGTTGGGCAAGACGGATAATACAGCTGTTCGAGGAATGAGATTATATCGTCAGCGAAAACGTAAAAAAAATACAAACAGTAAATGAATGTATGTTAATTTTAATTACATGAAGTTCTTCAAACACAATTGTTACAGGGTGAGTTAATTTGCAAAAACAATATTTGTTTAGGCGTTGTTCAACATAATCCACTGTGTGAATGAATATTATAGAATTTATTAATCAGCAATTACTTTAAAACGATCATGTCATATTTCAAGTACGACTTTGATTACATTATTGTTTGTAAATATTATACATATTTTTAATGTAATCATAAATATATAATTTATAATTTATCATTATATAAATGTGTATAATGATTGACGACACTAATAAATGTGTGCATCACGAGTGTTACAATATTACTAATAAGCATTATTCAAAATTTTTATATGATGTATTTATTTTTACTCAACTTCAATTTGCTACAATATAATTGCAAATAAGTTTTACTTCAATCGCGTGTGATCCTTACGCGCACTCTTTTTTTTTTCTTATCAGGTTCGTCTAAAGAAAGTTGAGCTCCAGGATCTTTATCAGGCCGAGTACGAGGCTGCTTTGGAAGACACAAAAAATCTCATTTTGCGCGAACAAGGCGAAGCCACCAAGGAAAGAATTTCCGATGAATTGAGAACCTGGTTCAAGGACACGCACACCAATTGCGGAAAATTACCAGAATTTCCATCTGAGGAACACGGTGGATCCAGATTGATATTCAGCAGACAAGGTAGTCCATTTAAATACAGGGATACAAGGTAACCCAGAACTCAACAATTTTAATTCTATAAGGTACTGAAAGTGAAATGAGCAAGTCCTTCTCCTCTCGTGATTCAAAGAAAAGCAGAGAGAAAACTAAATCCACAAAAAGCAAATCTGGTAAAGATATGGTCGAGGAAGAAGAAACTGATATCGAGGGCTTCAAGATAACTCAATCGATGTTTTTGCCAGAAATCAAGAACGGAATAGAAGAGTAAAGATAGTATATGAAATTATAATTATTAACTTTCCGAAGGAGAAGTTTATGTTTTCATCAAAAAATCCGATTCGCTAATTTTATGTTTTCTCCTCGACGTTTCAAGCCATTCTGAATCGAATGAGACCGAATTTAAGGAAAAAGTATGTGTGTGTGTGTGTGTGCGTGAACAGATTTTTTGCCGTAAATCGCCATTTTCTCAAAAACGGCTGGACCGATTTCAAAAATTTAAAAGCCATTCGATGTATCTCGATGAGGACTATCGTTTCTGAGTTTTGTGCGGCGATCGGCCGGGCCGTTTCTTTGTAAATTGCAGAAAAGTGAAAAATTTTTCGTCTACGTTTTAGCCCGCAATTCTGAATCGATTTGAAAATTCAAAAACCGTTCGAAGATATTGGTTGGAAATCGTGCTGATTAGTTTTTGGTAGAGATCGGCCGGGCCGTTTTCTTGTAATAAAGTTAAAAAAAAAATTCGACGATTTTTCTGATTTTTTTTGACGGTAGATACCATTGTTTTCTAGGTCATACTAAAATATTACGGCGCTACGACAACTCGTTTAGCTTTAAAAATTCGTCAAAGTTTGCAAAAATTGGTAACGTTTTATTGTCATTTGTCAAAATGAGATCTTTGATCGACGTTTTCTCAAAAACGCCTTAACCGATTTCAGAAATTTAAAAGCCATTTGATGTATTTCGGTGAGGACTATCGTTTGTTAGTTTTGTGCGACGATCTGCCAAGCCGTTTCTTTGCAATTTGAAAAAAAGTGTTAAACTTTTCGTCCACATTTAAGCTCATCCTACCGAACCGATTTTAAAAAATCAAAAACTGTTCGAAAGATATTAGTTGGGAATGACGCTGATTAGTTTTAGGTGAAAATCTACCGAGCCGTTTTCTTGTAATTAATTGTTGAAACAAAAATTAAGCCAATTTTTATGGATTTTTTTTTAGTGATATATACCATGGTCTTATAGAACTTACTGAAATATTACGGCCTAACGACAAATAGTTTGATTTTAAAAATTAATCAAAGTTTGAGAAAATGAGTAGTGATTTTGAGATTTGTTAAAATTAAAATTAGACTATTTACTTGGTATAATGATAGAGTACTTGGTCTTGAACATAATAAACCATTAAAGTCCTGAAAACTGGTTCAATTATATAAAATTTGCTTTTAGAAAATACTCCGAGTCAAAGTGTTTGTATGTGTAATAAATCCACTAGGAATACTTTTAATGACTCATAAATTAATTTATTTTTTATTGATTAAGTCGATTATTTACACATTTCGGGAAGTTCATGTAACTTGCCTCAAGGCAAAATACCAAACCAACTAGTTGCTTTTGTATTAAGTTTGTGTATTTTGTGGTAGATATGAAGATACATGGGCTAACAGAGATGAATCGGATAATCCTGAACAGAGACACTGTCAGCATTTGGTTTATCAGCAGAAAAAATATGAAGTTGAGACAGAATTGAGGAAGATTGTTGATGATATGATGAGGAGCGAGTTGGAACAACTCCAGGTTAATAATTTATCCACTACTTGGGATTTAGCCTTACTACCATGATTTATTTCTATTATTTCTATTTCTTCAGTTGGCTTTAGAGAAAGACCGCGGCAAGAAGTCCAAAAAAGCCCCAAAAAAGAAATCAAGAAGAAGTGGCAAAAAGGGCAAAAAGAAAAAAGAAAAAGACTTAACTCCAGACAGAACCACAGCCTCGTTATTTGAAGAACTTGTAACAAACGGGATTATTAGAAAGTATCCAGAAGTTTTTATGTCATCGTTCTTAGGAGAAAGGTAACATAAAACAATATCTTGCATTTGATTTGTTTTTATTAAATATGAATTTAAATTTGTAGGTCTATTGTTCAGCCTGTTCCTGGTAGAGAAGGCATTGGTGATATTCGACAAGCTATTAAGGAATATTGCATACTGCCTTTGGGATCTCAAACGATTCATCAATGTGCTCCACTAGTTAAATCAATATTGATATCAGGTAATAAATATATTTTTTAATATATATATATATATATATATATATATATATATATATATATATATAGATTGATTTCTTGGAGGGCGTAACTTTCAAGTGAAAAATAAGTAAAGTAAAGATTTTTTTTCAAACATCTTTATTCTTCCATACGTTTCGACGTAAATTCTACGTCATCTTCAGTGGTTTTGAATTATTTATATTATCACTAACACATATTAATATAAATTGTACAAATTAATAATTAAAGACAAATATATAAAAAAAGAGAAAATTATACATACCAACCAGGAAAAACAACAGAAAAAATTATTTATGCTGTAAAATTGATTGAACACTAAATTTGTGTAAAATAATAATATAATATTATATTAACAAACGAGAAATTGAAGGAGCACATGTTGCCCTCCTATATTTTATGTTATTAATAGCGGTGCATTATGGGCACTGATCAAGGTTACAAAGCAAGTGTAGTGAAGGAGTGGGAGCGGGTTGTGAGAAACGAAAGGGAAAAGAGAAACAGAGAAGAAATATAACGAACGAAGGATTCTAAAACTGTATAGAATTACTTTTCATCTAATTAATGATGACTTTGTAACTGTCATGTAAAAGATGAGAGGAATTACGTTTGTTTACACAAGAAGTATTATTTTATATATTTATATTTATCATCAACTTTGTAATTATGTTATATGCTTTTTAGATTACTGAATGATGACACACATCAAGTGTCGAAATATTTAATGGAATAAATAATTTTGTTATTTAATCTTTTTTTAATTCAAAGATTGGGCTGCAAAAATATTACAAATATATATTTATATATATTTATATGTGTGTTCATTTATTAACTTACAAAGGAGATATGTTTGTCAGAAATTCTGTCAAAAGTCTTAGTGGCTATTTATAATACTGGTTATAGCATAATTGAACAAATTTTATATATTACTACTTATACTATTTTATGCTTTAATTAATTCTATTTATTAACGCATATGGGAAAGTTTGTGCAACTTGCCTTAAGGAAAAATACCACTTAAAACTGGTTTTATTTATTATTGTTTTTTATATTCTTAATATTATTTTTTATTTGAATTTCGCGCTTGACAGTTTACCCTATCCATTTCTATTACATAGTCCATGTAATCATCCCTCATTTACATGATCCATGGCTGAATTTTGACATTCGATAAAAGTCGTTGCTCAACGTTTTCTTCCTGTGTGATATAAAGTGAAATATATTTAATAAACGTGATAAAAAGGCGCAAAACGACTGTGTAAATTATTTTAAATCAAATACGAACTCGTATTGTGTTAGTGAAGTTATTTAATCACACACAAAAATGTCTCAAGATATATCAGGATGGAAGAAACCCGACGAGGTTATGCGCCTTCACAGGATCAAATTAAAGAAGAAAGCTTTACAGGCACGTATGAACACTAAAACACAAATAGATACTAAATTAGATATTTGCGAACCGCAATTTGTTCGTGAAAAACGTAAAAATCCGTTTTCGAAAGAAAATGCACAAGTTGACAAAAGATGCAAAACTGTTGAGTCCACAGTTCTTGCAGATTCTTGCTCCGATTCAGCATTGTTTAATTTAATTAACAGTGAAAGTGCACAAAAACCTTGTATCAGGGTCCAGGAAACTGCTGCAGAAATCACACCGACTATAGCTGAAAATTATTTACAAGTAGTTGTTAACCAAGATGTACCCGTCACAAAAATTGAGGGTAAACCCAAACCACCAATCGATTGGACGTTAAAATCGAAGTTAAGGATTTTAAGTCCAACCGTATTACCTAGTCATCCAAAAACAAGTCAAGAAGCTAGCGGTGTGACCAGTTTCGTACGTTGTTTACATACTTCTGAAGATTTACCTGCAAATCAAGGTGGTGGCTTGGATACTTCCTTAGGAGCACGCATACAACAGTCGTGCTTGTATTGGATACACCCGACTATACCAGGAGAGAAACTATTTCCAAGAAAACTCCGAAATTCCTCAGTCGTCGCAGGTTTACCTTTACAAGCTATGCTCACCGAGTGGTCGGACAGCTTTAGATCCTTATTTCAACTACTACGTGCCAAACAATGTCCATTTTTTTACCTGTGTGCAAACTCTTTTACAGCCTTATTTCGTGCAGGAGGCATCGGCGGTCAAGTAGAACCCCATGCATTAATCACACCAACAAGCCAAGGCTTGCGCCAGACTTTAAAACAAGAAGATATCGAATTCAAGATGCCTTTAAGGAAAAATGATAATTACTTTAATGACTCAGGAGACTCCGGTTTGTCTCTTTCGACCAAAGAGAACAGCAGCAGTAACATAGAATCATGTGCTGACGACGATGATGACGATGATGAGATTACACAGGAACAATGGTTGGAAAGTTTAGGCGTAGATGACATAGAAATTAAAAAAATAAATTACTCACAAGCTCGCAAGGATCATGCTACAGAATGCAAAACAGATTTCAGTGATATATCGCTGATACTAATACAAGGCCCTGACTTACAAGCTTTATACAACTTTTTATTAAACTCCAAAAGTACAGTCGGTGGTGTCGGTGTTATACCTCCAACTCTATTAGCACCGACAGCCTTTGTGGGGGCCACTTTAAAAACCCTACAAACGAGATTCAGCAGAGTTAAACACGATGGTGTGGATCACCACAGTATTGAGTTACGGGGACCGATTTTACCAAATATTATATCTAGTCTATGCAACGATTTGAATAGTTCAAGAGATTCGTTTTCTATTAACATGGGTTTAGTAGCGGATACAAGGGCTTTGACAAAGGCTGCTAAAGTTATAAATGTAGATACACAAGAGGGTAGTTCTGTTTTTGGGAAAGAAAACTTGTCGAGTTGTGGGCTGTCCAGGGATTTCTTGGATCAGATTTGTTCGTCAGATAAGGACACTATTTTAAGTACTGAACAGTTGAATTATCAAAAAGATATAGGATATACATGGACTTAGTAATAAAAAATTTATTCTTTTTTATTGTAATGATTTTAGTACAAATTTTAGTTTATAATATTTATTGTTGGTGATAAAGTTTTTAGATATTTATGTTTATTTAAATTAATGAACTTCAACTCAGGATTAAATTAAATTTGTTATGATATTATGATTAAACTTTTACATACTAGTTACTTTACATAAGTTAGTTTATATTTTGTACCAAACTTATATTTTTATAATACATTCTTAAGACTATTTATATATTTTGAATTTTTACTTTTTCTAAACTTTTATTTAAAATTTATTGAATTTTATATTTTTATAAATATTTTATATATTTATTTAAAATGTGATTTTTTTGTTAATTAAAATTTAATTAACAAACTTAATTGCCTTGTAGTAGACTTGGTGGTAAATATAAATATAAATATAAACTTGGTTGGTAAATATAAATATTTATATTTATATTTATATTTATATAACGGATATTTATGATATTGTTTTTAAATTTTTAAAACTGATTCATGATTTTTGGCTAAAACATGAAGAAACTATAGTTGCAAGTAACATTTTACCTTGAGGCAAAATTAAAATGTTCAACTGCTTATTTTGAAAATAAACTAGTAGTGCATGGCATCGTGCCTTATGTAGACGGTGTGTGAAAAAATGCTTTTACAAAAAATTTCGTAATTTTAAAAATTCTCAAAACAAAAAATTCTAAATTTGCAAAAAAAATTAAAATTTCAAAAAGTTTAGTCGAAATTTTTCATAATTTTCAAAGAAAATACTACATTTTCTCACAAAAATTTGAGAATATTACAAAATGTTCAAAAAAAGAAATCGAATATTTAAAAAAATTTCCAAATTCTCAAAAAAATTAAAAAACGATTTTTTCTTAAGACAAATTGCTGGAGCAACAAAAGGAAAGGAGTTTAAAAATTCTCAAAATAAAAATTCAAAATTTGCAAAAAAAAGTTAAAGTTTCAGTTCAAATTTTCGAAATTTACACAATAATCAAAAAAATGCTACATTGAAAAAATTAAATAATATATAAAATTTTTCTTTAAAAAAAAACATTTCTCACGAAAATTTGAGAATATTACAAAAATTTCAAAAAAAGAAATCGAATATTTAAAAAAAAATCCAAATTCTCAAAAAATTTAAAAAACGATTTTTTCTTAAGACAAATTGCTGGAACTTCCTTTAAAAGGAAAGGAGTTTAAAAATTCTCAAAATAAAAATTCAAAATTTGCAAAAAAAAGTTAGTTTCAAAAAGTTCAAATTTTCGAAATTTTTCACAATAATCAAAAAAATGCTACATTGAAAAAATTAAAAAATATATAAAATTTTTCTTTAAAAAAAAACATTTCTCACGAAAATTTGAGAATAATACAAAATTTTCAAAAAAAGAATTCTAATATTTAAAAAAAATTCCAAATTCTCAAAAAATTTAAAAAACGATTTTTTCTTAAGACAAATTGCTGGAACTTCCTTTAACAGGAAAGGAGTTTAAAAATTCTCAAAATGAAAATTCAAAATTTGCAAAAAAATAGTTAAAGTTTCAAAAAGTTCAAATTTTCGAAATTTTTCACAATAATCAAAAAAATGCTACATTGAAAAAATTAAAAAGTATATAGAATTTTTTTTTTAAAAAAAACATCTCCCACGAAAATTTGAGAATATTACAAAATTTTCAAAAAAAGAAATCGAATATTTAAAAAAATTTCCAAATTCTCAAAAAATTTAAAAAACGATTTTTTCTTAAGACAAATTGCTGGAACTTCCTTTAAAAGGAAAGGAGTTTAAAAATTCTCAAAATAAAAATTCAAAATTTGCAAAAAAAAAGTTAAAGTTTCAAAAAGTTCAAATTTTCGAAATGTTTCACAATAATCAAAAAAATGCTACATTGAAAAAAATAAAAATTATATAGAATTTTTCTTTAAAAAAAAAAATCTCCCACAATAATTTGAGAATATCCAAATTTTCAAAAAAAAAACAAAAAAAACTTCCAAATTTTCAAAAAATTAATAAAAAACGATTTTTTTCAAGACAAATTGCTGGAACTTCCCATGCCATAATTGAAATTCTTTAGAAGTTTTACAACTTTTTGAAAAATTTGAGAAAAAAATAGATATTTGAAAGTTTTAAAAAAGTTGAAATCTTTTAAAAATTTGATCTTTGTTTATTTATGGTTATACCAAAAAATTCGTAATTTTGAAAATTTCAAAAAAAAATTCAGAATTTTCAAAAAAAATTAAAGATTCAAGAAATTCAAATTTTCAAAAAAATTTATAATTTTCCAAAAAATGACTACATTGAAAAAAATCAAAAAATAAAGAAATTACAAAAAATTGATTCCTTATAAAAATTTGAGAACATTATCAAAAATTTCCAAATGTTCAAAAAATTTAAAAAAATCGAGTTTTGCCAAAAATTCCAAAAAAATCGAACTTTTAAAAAAGTTCTTGACAACCCTACATATTAGAGCGAGTTTTTTGACGACCCCACAAATATAAAAAAAATAAATTTATTTATTTAAATGGATGTATGTGTGTGTGTGTGCGGATACAATTTTTCGCCGACGATTTCGGGAACACGGATGAAGCGAATTGGATAATTCAAAAAGTATTCGATTCGTATTGATATGGAGACGTGCTGATTAGTTTTTGGCGAAGGCAGGTCTACCCGTTCCGAAGATATGGGGCAAAAAGTGCCAAAAACTGTAACTCAGTTTTTAAGAGAACGGAGCGTCCGATCTCAAAAATTCAAAGAACATTTTACTTGTATTAACAAGAACTGATCAAATTTTCATGAAGGCAGGTCTAGCGGTTTCGGAGACCTAGTAAAAAATGTAAAAAAAAATGCCATTTGGCGGTCAAAAATGATCATTAGACATATGCACATCAAATTATCAGATATTTTATAGAGATTTTAACGATAAGTGTAAATTTTGTTTACATTCCTATGGGTTCCGTATCAGTGTTTATCCGTTAGGCGGCGGCGCGGCGCTTACTCGCTTCGATATTTCGTCTCTATGCAGTTAAAGCAGTACGATTGCTTTGAAAAAAAGTTCAGAATTTCCAAAATATTTCAAAATAAATTTTTCTTCAAAAAAAGTAAGTTTTTGTCAAAAATTTACAGTTCGTCAAAAATCTATTTTTTTCAAAAATTTTAATCTTTTTAAAAAAAAAGTTTTGGTACGGAAGGTTCCAGCAATTTGCCTTAAGGCACGGTGCCATGCGCCCCACTAGTTTAAATGTTTTATTTATTTGGTAACGATGTACATATACACATACTAATGAAAATATATAGTTTAATTATTCTTTGAGAATCAATCAATCATAAACCTCAGAATTTTTCTACGCGGACCATAGTTTAAGAAGCAATTGTTTAAATTCATGTATCGGTTGAGCCGTTTCTCAAACTGAGTGAACATTCAAATTAAACGTTATTATTCATCGTTTATTAAAATTTAATTTACAAATTTATTTGCTTGTAGTACACTCGGTGGTCATAACAAATAGTTATGACATAATTTTTGAAAATGATTCAGGATTTTTGGCTTGGCCAATTTTTTTCCCCCAAGGTCCCCAAGGCAGTGGTAAGAAAATGCTGGTCAACGCAATCTGCACCGAACTTGGGGCCACATTATTCGATTTGACCCCTGGCAACATTGTGGGCAAATATCCCGGCAAAACGGGCCTGGTGATGCTGATGCATTTGGTCAACAAGGTGTCGAGGCTTTTGCAACCTTCAATTATCCTGATGGAGGACGCAGAGAAACCGTTTGTGAAGAAAATTCCTAAGACTGATCGGACCGATCCGAAGAGGCTGAAGAAGGATTTGCCCAAACTTGTCAAAGGTAATAAAGGAAATATAAATTCGATTTTAAATATCTCTTATCGAGCTCTCTTGCATTTTACTGTTCGAGAATTTTTAACTTCCCGAAGAAGAAGTTTATGTTTTCATCAAAAAATTCGAATTGCTAATTTTATGTTTTCTCGACGTTTCAAGCCATTCTGAATCGAATGAGACCAAATTTGGAAAAAGTATGTGTATGTGTGTGTGTGTGTGAACAGATTTTTTGCCGTAAATCGACGTTTTCTCGAAAACGACTAAACCGATTTAAAAAATTTAAAAGCCACTCGATGTATCTCGATGAGGACTATTGTTTGTCAATTTTGTGCGACGATCGGCCAAGTCGTTTCTTTATAAATCGCAGAAAAGTGAAAAAATTTTCGTCTACGTTTTAGCCCGCAATTCTGAATCGATTTTGAAAATTCAAAAACCGTTCGAAAGATATTGGCTGGGAATCGTGCTGATTAGTTTTCGGAAAAGATCGGCCGGGCCGTTTTCTTATAATAAAGCTTTAAAAAAAAAAAATTCGACGATTTTTATGATTATTTTTTTGACGGTAGATACCATAAGTCTTCTAGATCATACTAAAATATTACGGCCCTACGACAACTGGTTTAGCTTTAACAATTCGTCAAAGTTTGCAAAAATTAGTATGGCCTTTTTGGCATTTGTCAAAATTAGAACTTTCATCGACGTTTGCTCAAAAACGCCTGAACCGATTTCAGATATTTAAAAAGCATTTGATGTATCTCGATAAGGATTATCGTTTCTCAGTTTTGTGTGACGATCGGCCGAGCCGTTTCTTTGTAATTTGGAAAAAAGTGTTAAACCTTTCGTCCACATTTAAGCTCATACTACCGAACCGATTTAAAAAAATCAAAAACTGTTCGAAAGATATTCGTTGCGAATGATACTGATCAGTTTTAGGTGAAAATCTACCGAGCCGTTTTCTTGCAATTAACTGTTGAAAAAAAAAAATTAAGCCGATTTTCATGGAACTTTTTTTGGCGATATACATCATGGTCTTATAGAACTTACTGTAATATTACGGCCTCACGACAAGTAGTTTAATTTTAAAAATTCATCAAAGTTTGAGAAAATCAGTAGTTTTTTTTACGTTTGTTAAAAATAAAATTAGATGATTTAGTTGGTATAACGATAGTGTACATTGTCTTGAACATAGCAAACCATTAAAGTCCTACGGAAACTGGTTCAATTATAATCATTGATTAATTAAAATTATTGATTTTTGAAAATTTGCTCTTAGAAAATACTCAGAGTTAACGAGTTCGTTCGTTCGTTTGCAATGATGTGTAATAAATCCACTCGGAATACTTTTAATCACTCACAAATTAATTAACTTCCCGTAGGGCAAGTTACAGTAATCGCAAAAAAATCGAAAATGAAAATTTTTATATATCTTTACGTTTCAAAGGTTTCTGAACATTTTGGCATACCTTAGAAAAAATGGATGTATGTGTGTGTGTGTGTGTGTGTGTGTGTGTGTGTGTATGTATGTATGTGCGTGTGTGTATGTATGTGCGGATACAAATTTTCGTCGACGATTTTGGGAACACGGATCAACCCATTTGAATAATTCAAAAAACATTCGATTTGTATTGATAAGGAGACGTGCTGATTACTTTTTGGCGAAGGCAGGTCTAGCCGTTCCGAAGATACGGGGCAAAAAGTGCCGAAAACGGTAACTCAGTTTTTAAGAGAACGGATTTGAATAATTCAAAAAACATTTCACTTGTATTGACAAGATGAAGAATCGATAAAATTTTCATGAAGGTAGGTCTAGCGGTTTCGGAGATATGGAGGAAAAAGTAAAAAAATGAGCCATTTGGCGGTCAAAAATGATCATTAGACATATGCACATCAAATTATCAGATATTTTATAGAGATTTTAACAATAAGTATACATTTTGTTAACATTTCTATGGGTTCCGTACCAATGCTTATGCGTTAGACAGCGACGCGGCGCTTACGCGCCTTATATTTTGTCCCTATGCAGTTAAAGCAGTACGATTGCTTTGAAAAAAAGTTCAGATCTTCTACAATATGTCAAAATAAAGAAAAAAAAAAATTTCAAAAAAAAAAATTTAAAAAAAAATGTTTTTTTAATTTTTTTTTTTTTTTTCAAAAAAAAGTTATTTTTTGTCCAATTTATAGTTTCTCAAAAATCTTATTCTTTCAAAGTAATTTTTCTTCAAAAATGTTAATTGTTTTTAAAAAAATAATAATTTTTGGTACGGGAAGTTCCAGCAATATGCCTTAAGGCACGACGCCTTAATTGCCTTAAGACAGAATTCCACTTACAGCTAGTTTATTTTTTATTGATTAAGACGATTATTTACAATTATCGGGAAGTTCATGTAACTTGCCTCAAGGCTAAATACCAAACCAACTAGTTCATTATCATTTTCTAGGTATATGCAGTGAGGACCAAATCATACTGATAGGCATATCGCGCAGTCCATGGGATGCTGATCAGAAATTGCTGGCACAAACTTATACCAAATTCATCACCATTCCAAGACCGAGTTATGGGTGTCTATCATATGCCTGGAAGGAACTTCTGAAGCCCTATTCAGGAATCAATAAGCAATTTGATACTTCAGTCATGGCCAGGATATCCGATGGATATACGATTGGTAAAATATAAGAAAAAAATTATCATCAATAAAATAAAATTTTATTATAAATAAGTATCTGAACATTTTGACATACATTAGAAAAAATGGATGTACGTATGTGTGGATACAAACTTTCGTCGACGATTTCGAGAGCAAGGATCAATCAATTTGTCGACCAAGTTTTTCATTTGCAAATTACCACGAGAGTATCTGTATTGACGAGCTTTGTGGACATTTTATTACTAATGTAATTTAGTAACTACTAATCTTATATATAAAAATGGAGCTCTCGATCAAATGACTCGGTAAAACTCGAAAGCGGCTAAACCGATTTGGCCAGTCTTAGTCTTGAAAAATTTGTGCTAATCAGTAGGTTGTCGGAAAGGTGGGTATTATTACAAAATTGCGTATAAACTTTACATTTTTAATTTGAACATTTTTGTAGAAGCGTAATTTAAATAAAACAATGGACGGTGGCTAATACGTCAAATATCAAACGTTTTTGACAAATGATCTTCAATTACGTTTAATACAATGTTTTTCGTGAACATTATTTAATTATGATTAAATTGTAGTAAATAGCTGTGTTTGTAGTTATATTTATATACAAAAACGTTATTACACGGGCTGGAAGTGTTACTATAAACTCAAAATATCAACTTTTTTGAAATGTTAATATGAAAATGCACTTTTTGGCATATTTTTCTCAAACACGGTGCTCTGAAAGATCTCATCTGTATAATTATATACTCATTTGGTAGTTATAAAACATTTTCTAAGTTATATTATTTTTTATTTATGTTATTTAAATTCAGAACCTAAATTTGGATCGATCAAAGGGAATATTTTGCCGAATAACATTTTCCCAGTTATAATTTCCCAGAATTTATCGCAGAATAGATAGTAATATATAAAGGTCCGGGGTTAAAAAGGTCCACCACCGATGTATCAAAAACCTGTAAAGTAAAGCATTGTTTAACAGCAATATTTGAAAGTAGAGGATAAAAGATGTATAGCCAGTCAGAACCTTGATTTGAAAACGGTAATCTTTGAAATGGGGGAGATAAACGGTAATTTTTGAAAATCCATAATAAAAGTATTATCTTCCGTTGGTAGTTCTTTAGCATTAGTTAAAAATGTAATCATTTTGAAAAATCCTTTAAAATTAAAATAAGACTTTAAACCTGTTTGCCACCTGGCCGTTTCAAGTTACCTATACGCCTATAGGGTAAAAAGATCTAGATAACAAATTTTTGAAAGACATAAAAAAGCACATTTCTATAGTGATAAAGTAGAAGGCAGTTTTACTGAACGTAGTCAGATAATAGTTTATATTTGCTCAAAGTCAAATTGGACTTTTGTGTCTCGCCCTGTTCTACATATATACTTTTTATTAAATTTACTTTAATTCATCGAAATACTCAATTCATTTTCTATCTATCCTCGCAAAAATTTGAACATTTTATATAAGCTCAGTGGTATTATTTACAATTATACACAAAATCCAGAATCCAAAAAGAATCTGAAAGATTTGAAACGTAATCAATAAGTCGAAAGACCAGAAAAGACTTGCATTGGATTATACCATGTTTTCTATAGAAAGTGTATAAATCTTCCAGTTTGGTTGTTTTGATTGACAAAATGTAGACAAACTAATGGGGTTTATTGTTTTTATAATATATCATTGTATATAGCATAAACAACTGTCAACACAACTTTATATACTAAAAGTATTAATATTTTTGATTCCCTAGAAATTGTTTAGAATATACCTTACTTAGCAAAACGACGTTTGCCCGGTCAGCTACCATATTGATTTCTTATTTCAGGTTCGATAGCCGAGTCCGTCCGCGAGGTGATCACCTGCAAGAGGATGCTCCAGTTGAGAGTGCGCCCCCTGGCCTATACGGAGCTGATAAATGCTCTGAGCTCCCGGGACCCCGTCTACCGCGAACAGGACGAGGCCTTCGCCCAGTGGCTGCTGAAGACTCCTTTGGGTAAAAGGAAACAGCGTATGGCCGAGATGTTGGAGCAGGCCAAGATGGAGCAGGAGAAGAACGCCAACAAGTAGTAATAATAGTAGATACATTATGTACTATTAGTCGAGTCTAAAAAAGCATAGACAAAAATAATTATATATACATATATAAATATACTAGCTGACCCGGCAAACTGTTGTGCAGCCATAAAAATATCTCCAGAAAATTTTTAGCATAGATAATAACTGACTGTGAATGTGGAAGTATGGGGTATATAATTAAATATAATATTATATAAGTGATAGGGCATCAAATAATCACATGAGGTTTTTAGGGGGAGGGGAAAGGGGGTATAGTAATATATCACGTGTATTTATTTTTATAGGTCTTTTTTTTTAATCCAAGTATTTAAAAAACACTAGTGGTATATGGCATCGTGCCCGTGCCTCAAGGCAAGTTGCTGGAACTTCCCGTACCGTAACGAAATGTTCAAGGAATTTTGAATGTTTTCAAATAGATTATTATAAATAAATATTGTAACATTGTCTAATATATTTATAGGAATTATATAAACTGAATTGCAAAGTTGAAATTATTTGTTTAAAGTTAGACCTTTAGTCAGAATTAAAATTGAAATCTGAATATTTTTCGATAAACAAACAAAAATGGAAAAAAAATATTTTTTTAGAAAAAAAAAATCGAAACAAATCTTTTTTTCAAAAGCAATTATTTTGTTGAAGCAAGCAGAAAGTTCTTTGAATCGTTCAAATCAGACGCTCAGTTCTCTCAATAACTGCCATTTTTTGCACATATAGCTCTGTATCTCCGAAACCGCTGGACCTACCGTTTCCAAAATCTAATCACCACTTTTCCCCATCATTTCGAATTGAATGTTTTTCGAATCATTCAAATCAGATGCTCAGTTCTCTCAAAAACTCGATTTCTATTTTCTGCACTCTTTGCTCCGTATCTCCGTAACGGGTGGGCTTACCTTTGCCAACTACTAATCAGCACATCTCCCTATCAATAGGAATCGAATGTTTTTTGAACCATTCAAATCGGTTGATCCGTGCGCCCGAAATCGTCGACGAAAAATTGTATCCACACGTACATTTTTTCTGAGGTATGCTAAAATGTTCAGAAACCTCTGAAACGTGAAGAAATGCAAAATTTTTAACTTCACGTAGGGCGAAAATGCAAAATTTTAGAAATCTTTACGTTTCAGAGGTTTCTGAACATTTTGGCATACCTTAGAAAAAAATGGATGTATGTGTGTGTGTGTGCGGATACAAATTTTCGTCGAAGATTTTGCGAACACGGATCAATTCAAAAGGAATTTTACATACGGAAAGTTAAAAATAATTATCAACAAAAATTGATTAACAATTAAAACAACTGCTCTAAATATTATATTGCAAAATGATGTTAGAGATCTCACTATTGGCAGATTGCTTTAAGAAATAATATGAATCGTATATGCATTAAGCTTAGGTTGAGGTTTAAAGGCACTTATAATTTTTTATTTATATTTTTTTGTAAGGTAACTAATTTTTGAAAAAAAATCTATTTATCCTTTTTTTAATATAATACATACTCTGATGTGTCTAGTCCTTTTATATGTGTTTGCTTAAATTTAATTAAATATATAAAAAGCATATGCTATAAACTAAATCTTATATTTTAGCAAGTTTATTACATGTAATTATCTATATTATTAAGTATCTTTTATAATACAACCATGATAATAATTTATTTTCAATTATTTATATTTAAATGTTTTTGTCACTAAACTTGAATGATACTTATTCAGGTTTTATATGTGTTTAATATTTTATTCTTTACAACATAATAAGCTGTTTCTTTTGCAATATTATAGAAAAAAAATCAAGTGAATTAGTTCATTTGAACTTGAAAACACCTTGCGGGTAAATACTTGTTTTTAGAAGTTAAAGAATAGTTTTTACCCAAACACAGTGCAAGACTACATTTGCTGATAAAAAATAATCAAAATTAACAAAGTGGATAACAGATGGTATGCATAATATTTTAATTGTAAATAAATTATATATATATATATATATATATATATATATATATATATATATACATACATACATATAATTGCGTTATTAAAACACTTGTGCAAATAAACAAAGCAAATACAATTTCTATTATACACACAGACAGTGCTCATAACATATGTTTTCATCAGACTTATTAAAAATTTTACAAACGTGATTAAATTTTTTGTTTTCAAGTAATGAATAATGCAGCTGTTCAGAAAGAAAAAGTATGATAAAGAACAAGATGTTAAATACACACCTGCAGAAGTTACAACTGAAATTCTATTTGGACTAAATAATAAGGTAATAAATGAAATTATTTATTTTTTTGTTGTTTTTATTATCAATTCTACTACAAAATATATATTTATGCAAGCCCGTGGGCTGCTTTAATACCTTCCGCTACTTCTAATTGTTGTTTAAATAGTTCTTTATGCGCTTGCAATCCTAATTGCAATTGGCTACGTTTCACCGAATCCTGGTTTATATAATCTTCAACAAATTTCACACAATCGTCATAAGTTTTTAAATCTAAATCGCTCTCTTTAGCAGCCGTCATAGTTTTAATAAAATCTCTATTACCGGCATTACTTTTGCACTCGGGTTTGAATTTATAAAACAATGTAACAAGACGTACCGCATCAATTATAGTGTTTGTACGTATGAATTCTTGTAAAATATCATCGATATTCTTTATCCAGCACAAGTAGAATGTCATAGGTCCGAAATGCCTTGTGGAACGCAACGCTTGAAAATGTTTCTTCTCATTAATATGATCATAAACCATTTGTGTGTATTTATGAAAATCTACATCGTTTGGATCGAATTGTAAGCAGATTCTATCCAAAATGAATTCATAATGTTCGTTGTTGAGAATTGCTTTGAAGTTTGATTCTTCAAACATTTTTGGTGGTGTTATTTTTCTACCAGGTTGTGGGAAGTAAGTTTGGTTTATACGTTTACGGATTGCAATGCTTGCTGGTTTTAAATTTCCATCAGTGTCTCTGATGATGATGAGGCGATCGGAATCTTTGACGTCGTATGTTATATCTGTGAATACGTAGTTGGCTGTGTCGTATCCTTGTAAGGCAGGATCTTGGGACAAAACACGATCATCATCTTTCTTAATCTGTAAAAGATACATAATTTACTATAAATTTTAACAGTATAACATTTGAGAAATATTTACCTTAACAACTGGAGGCATTTGTAGGAATCTTTGTGCGCGTTCTTTAGATTCCTCAATAGACTTTTCTAGTTCTTCTGTTGTCATGAATTTGTACTCAGGGGGCTGCAGACATATTTTACCTACAGTTTTTTTGCGAAACACTTTTGATAAGTCTGCTCGCGTTAGATCCTTAAGTAGACTTTGCACTTCAGGATTTACAAATAAAGGCGCAGGATCTTCAGCATCTAATAATAAATGTAATAGAAATAAATATTGGAATATGTACATAACCTAAAAATTATTATTTACCGTAAGCAGTTCCTGCAAGGTTGCGTGTACATGCATATTGAAACACACGAAGGTAGTCTTTATTTTTTAAAGAATTATTAAATAAAAATAAAGCTTTCCTTTGTAACATTATTATATATTTTTTAATTTAACTATTTGTATGTGCTCTTGTGTAAATGACAGCTGAAGTTATGCAACACTACGGCCATCTGTTTGTCTCACGTGGCACCGTTATTAGCTAAGTTCACAACCTTAAATGAGTTGTCAAATTACAGCGCCCTTCGTTATCACAGTAACAAATCCGACAGCCACGTCTGTCTTATTTTTATGTTTAATTAAATTTTAACAAATATTTCTATATATATACAAAGTTATAAGTTTATAAAATGGTACGTTACTCTATTTATATCTATTTAATCATACATCAATTATATACATAATACTATTTGCTGGTGCTCCAAACAAGATTTGTGTGCTAGGTTACATCTTTGACAGGCTCATGTTTATTTTATATATTTCATTTAATTTATTTATTTTTAGCCCCTACGCTTAGATATAAAACGCCAGATTACGGCACGTTCTGACAGAGTCAAATGTGTTGATTTGCATCCAACGGAGCCCTGGATGCTCTGTTCTTTGTACAATGGAAATGTCAATGTGTGGAATTATGAAAACCAAACTATGGTCAAAAATTTTGAGGTAAATGAAAAATCAACATTCTTATAAGAATTATTTGTGTTTTACTTATAAACAATCTAGTAGTAATAATAATGTTATAATACTGTTGTTCAGTTTGACAGCAATTAAGATTTAACTACTCGTTGATATTTTTGTTCAGTAGTGTGTAATAAAGCTTAATTTAAGCAAAGTGATTAAACTCAAGTATTATTTATAAGTAAAATAATATAATTTTGTGTGATTTGTTGATAATTTTATATGATGCAATATGTACAATATTTGAATCACAAAATGTAACACAAGTGGACTAGGTACATTCAATTTACTACAAAAATTACCACAAAATTGTGTCCAAATATCCTAAACACTATTATATATTCATATATTATTTTCATTTTATTTTAAATATATAGCCCACAGATTTCTTCCAAGAGGACTCATAAATACAATTATTGTACATAATGAATAACAATTAAAATATATACAAAATTACAATACGTATATAGTTATTAACATAAAATGCTTAACATAAAATTACATATAATGCAGAATGTAACAATATTATTTATAAACAGAATAAGATAAAATAATGAGATATTTGAAAAGAAAATAAAAAGGTTAACTTGTGCAGATGGAGATTATTCGATTATTAGGTGAAGTGTTGTGAATATCTAAGTATTTCGTTATTAATTAAGTTAAAGTTAGAGGACATAAGTAAAATAGGCGAATTTAAGAGAGAATTAGATTTAGGAGTAGGATAATTGAAAAATAATTGTAAACGCTAGATAGCCTTGTAACATCAAAGGATAGTTGGTTAAGAATAAGAGGACAGTCTATAGAATTATTGCAAAGTTTTAATAAGAACATAATTGTACAGATAAATCGACGTGAGGCAAGGGAAGGAATACCAAAATCTTTTAGTAAAGTGTTGTGGTCCACGCTCAGGGTAAATTTTATATATTTTATAATAAAGATATTTCAGAAATATTCCCTGAACCTTCTCTATCGCATCAGAGTTGTTTATTTGATACCAAACGATTGAACCATATTCTAATTTTGAACGTACATTAGAATAGTACATGCAAAGAAGTGCTTTATTTGAATTGAACTGTTTATCAAACCTAAAGATTTATGTGCTCTATTACAAATATCAGTTATATGATCTGTGTGTGAAAAACAAACCAGAATCAAATAAAACTCCCAAGTCTGAAATATTATTACATCTATCAATGCTGGTGTTAGAAATTTTATAATCAAAATGTATTGGAACGCGCTTATGTGAAAAACTAAGAATCTTGCACTTTGATATATTTAAACGTAATTTGTTATAGACACACCAAGAGTGGATAGAGTCAAGTTGAGACTGTAATAATAAGCAGTCATCAATAGAATTTATTTTGAGATATAGTTTGAGATCATCTGCAAATAATAAATTTGGACAGCTAATAATATCAGATATGTCACCAATAAAAAGAATAAATAGTAGCGGACCAAGAATGGATCCCTGAGGAACACCTGAACTGAAATTTTCAATATTGCTCAAGACCCCATTAAGATAGACAAACTAATATATGTACTTTAAATTAGTTACAACCAAGACATAACATTGTTTTGCTTTTATTAATTTTTATAATTCAATTCATTATAGATTTTCCTCAACAATATTGATTTTCACTCTACAATTGTATACATACTAGATGTTCTTTTAATTTTAGGTGTGTGACCTCCCAGTTCGAGCAGCCAGATTTGTGGCCAGAAAGAATTGGATTGTTACTGGTTCTGATGATATGCAGTTGAGGGCTTTCAATTACAATACATTGGAACGTGTTCATGCTTTAGAAGCTCATTCGGACTATGTCAGATGTATTGCTGTTCATCCTACACAATCGTTGTTATTGACTAGCAGTGGTGAGTAGATGATAAAAGAAGACATTTAGTGAAAGAATATTTATTAACCATAATATATAACAATTTTTATAAAAATTATTTATTCATGATATATTTTAAAATCATTATAGGATATTATTTATTCATATTAGTTAATTTCTCATTATATTTTTTTTATAATTTTTAGTTATGTTTTGTAATGTTTTTTTTAATAATATGTAATATATTTTTATAACTATGTAAGATTGTTCAATTCCATAATGATCAAATAATTTATTGTTGCCTAAATACTTTAATTACTATACTATTTCTATGATTTCTATTATATTGTAATATAATTCAATTGGGAGTTTTTCAATATCAATAATCTATGTATTATTATTTTCTTTTCAGATGATATGTTGATCAAATTATGGAACTGGGAGAAACAGTGGGCTTGTCAACAAGTCTTCGAAGGCCACACACATTATGTAATGCAAGTTGTATTTAACCCGAAAGATAACAACACATTTGCTAGTGCTTCTCTGGATCGAAGTGTTAAGGTAAATAGAATTTATTAGATTATCTTATATATGTATGTATGTATATATATATATATATATATATATATATATATATATTAATGCACTACACTCATCTTTGTAGTATTTTATTTAATTTTTGGCCTCATACTACATGAATAAATTCACTTCAAACTCGATCTTTCTAATTACCACTATTTAGTTTAATTTTTCTAATTACCACTATTTAGTTTAATTTCATACTTCGTAAAATTCTTATATGCTTGCTTGCCAGTAGAATCTTTTTCTTATAATTCACAATTTAATTTAATTCACCAGTTAGAATCATTTTAGTAACATCAATAAAATTTATGTATTTTTTAAAAACGTTATTTTAAAATACGCACATTTCAGCTATAATTACAATAATGTTTTAGATATAAAAAATAGAAAGTAAAATATACTTACAATGCAAAAAGTTTTTTTGCGATTTGCTTTGTAGACATTGAACTTACTTGTACTACAGATAAATAAATTAGTAGCAAATTGGTATCAAGAACCATAAACTATGTTTTATATCTTAATCATTCTAATCATCCACTTACAATGAAAATAGGTATCATAATAAATCTGACTGACCACATAATACTTCTGTGAGACAAAACATTTTGGAACAACATCAATCTAATTACAAAAATTCTAACAGATAACTCCTATCCCTTACAATTTATAAACTTTGTAACTAGCACGTACCTTTTGAGTAAAACTGACAATTCCAGAGTACATAATGATTTACCTGACTTAGAGACTCATTCTGGTGTAATATGTTTGCCATACATTAAAGTATAAAAACTTTTTTATAAATCTGTACACCGACTTGTAAGCAATTTTAGTACAACGACGAGTACTATTTTTACCAAAACCAAAACCCCTTTTGACATCAAACGATTTAAGAAACTCGTTTATCAAATAAATTGTCTGGACTGTAATTTAATTTACATAGGGGAAACGAGCCAGAACTTACTTAAACGTTTAAAACAACGCGAAAATAAATTAAACTAGTGGTGTATGGCATCGTGCCTTAAGGCAAATTGCTGGAACTTCCCGTACCGTAATGAAATATTCGAGAAATTTTAAACGTTTTCAAATATATTATTACAAATACTGTAAGATTCATTATTTTTGCATTATCTTGTTATATCTGAGCAAATCAAATGTAAATCATAAATAATTTTATCTCCAGAACATTAACAATCGTCATTTCATTCCGAATTCAATTCAAAATAAATAGTTGCACAAAATAATTTACACAAAATTTAAAAAGTGCTCCCGTATGGTCACAGTCTAAACGCGTTTGCAAATAATTCTGTGCGACATTTTCACTTATACTGTGCTTAGCTTGGTGGCATTTTCACATTTTTTAATAGTTTTCACAAAACAGTATAAACGCACTTGGGTAAATATTTGCACCAGAGTGGCGCTTAGATTGTGCTTAGCCTGGGTAATTTTCTGAACTTTTAATCCAAAATTACAAAAATATTTTTTGAAAAAAAAACTAGAAACATTTTTTTTTTCCAAAAGCGATTATTTTGTTGAAACAAGCAGAAAGTTCTTTGAATCATTTAAATCGGACGCTTAGTTTTCTCAAAAACTGCCAATTTTTCAACATTTAGCTCTGTATCTCCGAAACCGCTGGGCCTACCTTTGCCAAAAACTAATAACCACTTTTCTCCGTCATTACGAACTGAATGTTTTTTGGATCATACCAATAGGATGATCTGTTCTCTCAAAAACTCGATTTCTATTTTCTGCATTTTTTGCTCCATATCTTCGTAACGGCTGGACCTGCCTTTGCCAAAAACTAATCAGCACATCTCTCTATTAATAGGAATCGAATGTTTTCTAAACCATTCAAATCGGTTGATTCGTGCGCCCGAAAACGTGGACGAAAAAATGCGGACATACAAAACACACACACTCATACACACATCCATTTAGTTTCTGAGGTATGCCAGAAAAATGTTCAGAAACCTTCAAAACGTCGAGAAATGCAAAAAAAATTAATTTTAGATATTCGGCCCATTACTATAACTACCCTACGGGAAGTTAAAAATCCCAGACAATTTAAAACTATGCTTGCGGACCACATCAATACTTTAAAAACACAATATAGACTTTTCTAACCCGACTGTACTACAATTCGAACAAAATTTATTCAAACGAAGAATTATAGAAGGATCTTTTTTAAATATTTATAACAATAAGACATTAAATAAACGGAATGAACTCAACACGCTGTGCGACACAAATCTCTTTTATTTAGATAGTATTTCCAAATTTCTCACAAAACAATAAAAACGACGCGCAATTCGTTTCACACATGTGTAAAATCTTGGTAAAAATATTTAAAAAAAATCTTCTCTCCATTATATTATAAACTTTCTTCTATCTCCTATTATTTCCTTTCCTCTCAGGTTTGGCAGTTGGGCAGCAGCCAGCCAACTTCACCCTCGACGGTCACGAAAAGGGCGTAAACTGCATCGACTACTACCACGGTGGCGACAAGCCCTATTTAATATCCGGAGCCGACGACAGATACGTCAAAGTTTGGGATTACCAGAACAAGACTTGCGTTCAGACGCTCGAGGGACACACACAGAACGTGTCGGCGGTCTGTTTCCATCCAGAGTTACCCATTTTGTTAACGGGTTCGGAAGACGGCACCGTCAGAATTTGGCATGCCGGCACCTACCGATTGGAGTCTTCGTTGAATTATGGCTTCGAGAGGGTCTGGACCATCGCTTGTATGAAGGGCAGCAATAACGTCAGTCTGGGGTAAGATAATGGATTGATGATTGTTTATAGTGCAGTAAACAGAGCGTTTTAGGTCTGAACTTTTTTACTGTGCTCCGAATTGAATGAAATTTTGGAATTGGGTTCATCTTACCCTCAAGTTCAAAAGTGAAAACAATTTGGATGACACCCCTTCTCAATTGTGTAATTACATTTTTTCAAAATAACGTCGGAAATCGATAAAAGAGTTAATTATAAGAAAAAATGTCTCTTATAGTTTTTCAAAAAAACTAATACTTTTCAAGTTACTGGCCACTAAAGATTCATATATTTTTGGCCTCTTTCTTCGTTTTTTTGCAAATATCTCCTAAAATATACATTTTAATGAAAATCATGTAATGAACAGAATAATGTCAATAAAAATCTTAATAAATCGGTATTACATAAAGTGTTCTAGGAAAAATATTAAGCAAGATTTGAAAGAGCAAAGTCGTTTTTCATTTCGTTTAAGATTTAATTGTTGTATTTAAAGCCATCTAGTGTCGTGGTTTTACATTTTATGCATTTCGGTGAAATTGGGTTTTATAGTGCTCAACATAAGCTTTAAAATGAGTGCTGTTACAAGTTTTTTACGTGTAAAATGAGTGAGCTATCATGTAAATAAGAAGTATATACGAAGTTTTTTCTTCTAAATCATATGGTTTAATGAGCGCCATTTCCACCAGAATTAAAGTATTAATTCACATTCCATCTGGAATTTACTTCATTATAGACATCTTGGTGGATTCGAGCAGATTCACTACTTTAGTACAAACTAATTTCAGAAAACTCACGATTTTATAAAAACTTCTTTTTTCCAATTTGCGCATTTTTTTCTTATAATTAGTTTTTCTATCGCTTTCCGACGTTATTTTGGAAAAATGTGATTACACAATTGAGAAGGGGCGTCATCCCCCCGGGGGGTGATGGCGCAATCCGAATTGTTTTCACTTTTGAACTTGAGGGTAAGATGAACCTAATTCCAAAATTTCATTCAATTCGGAGCACAGTAAAAAAATTCAGAGGTTATACCCTTTTTTCCTCTCCGTTTACTGCACTATTATATTTGGTATATAGTGCAGTAAACGGAGAGGAAAAAAGGTACAACCTCTGACTGTTTTTTACTGTGCTCCGAATTGCATGAAATTTTGGAATTAGATTCATCTTAACCTCAAGTTCAAAAGTGAAAACAATTCGGGTTGCGCCACCACCCCCCGCGAGGTTTGCGACCCCTTAATAAATAGGTGGACATTGAGCCGTTTTATCGCTAGAAAACGTTTTTAATATTTAAGGATATAATTAAAAAATATTATTTAATACATTTACCTTGCAATAAAATCATTTTTAACACTGTGAAAACCCTAAAACCCTTCAAAAAACCTCTAAATTAAAAAAAAAATACACTTAAAAATAAATTTCGGTATTATATAATAAGAATTACGTATAAAGTAAATAATATTTTATGTTTTCTATCTTGATTATCAAATTTTTAACCCTTCTTAACTTCCCGAAGGAGAAGTTTGTTTTCATCAAAAAATCCGATTTGCTAATTTTATGTTTTCTCGACGTTTCAAACATTCTGAATCGATTGAGACCAAAATTGGAAAAAGTATGTGTGTGTGTGTGTGTGCGTGTATGCGAACAGATTTTTTGCCGTAAATCGACGTTTTCTCGAAAACGGCTGGACCGATTTCAGATATTTAAAAACCACTCGATGTATCTCGATGAGGACTATTGTTTGTCAATTTTGTGCGACGATCGGCCAAGCCGTTTCTTTGTAACTAGCAAAAAAGTGAAAAATTTTCGTCCACGTTTTAGCCCCAATTATGAATCGATTTTGAAAATTCAAAAACTGTTCGATAGATATTGGTTGGGAATCGTGCTGATTAGTTTTTGGTAAAGATCGGCCGGGCCGTTTTCTTGTGATAAATTTTAAAAAAAAAATCGACGATTTTTATGATTTTTTTTTGACGGTAGATATCATAGTCTTGTAGATCATACTAAAATATTACAGTCCTACGACAACTCGTTTAGCTTTAAAAATTTTTCAAAGTTTGCAAAAATTAGTATCGTTTTTATGGCATTTGTCAAAATTAGAACTTTCATCGACGTTTGCTCAAAGACGCCTGAACCGATTTCAAAAATTTAAAAACCATTTGATGTATCTCAATGAGGACTATCGTTCGTCAGTTTTGTGTGACGATCTGCCAAGCCGTTTTCTTTGTAATTTGGAAAAAAGTGGTAAACCTTTCATCCACATTTAAGCTCATCCTACCGAACCGATTTTCAAAAATCAAAAACTGTTCGAAAGATATTAGTTGGAAATGATACTAATTAGTTTTAGGTGAAAATCTACCAAGCCGTTTTCTTGTAATGAACTGTTGAAAAAAAAATTTAAGCCGATTTTCATGGAACTTTTTTTGGCGATATACATCATGGTCTTATAGAACTTACTGTAATATTACGGCTTTACGACAAGTAGTTTAATTTTAAAAATTTATCAAAGTTTGAGAAAATGAGTAGTTTTTTTGACGCTTGTTAAAATTAAAATTAGACGATTTACTTGGTATAACGATAGAGTACTTGGTCTTAATGAACATACTAAACCATTAAAGTTCTATGAAAACTGGTTCAATTATAAAAATTATTGATTTTTGAAAATTTGTTTCTAGAAAATACTCCGAGTTAACGTGTTCACTTGGAATACTTTTAATCACTCATAAATTAATTTATATTTTATTGATTAAGTCGATTATTTACACATATCGGGAAGTTCATGTAACTTGCCACAAGGCTAAATACCAAACCAACTAGTTTCAGTTTTGTATAGTGATATCTTATTTATATGGTTTGATTTTTTTGTTAAGTAATTTATCTTATATTTATTGTTTGTACTAATTTTGTGTTTTCTAAATTTTTAGGTACGATGAAGGTTCAATAATTGTAAAAGTCGGTCGTGAAGAGCCTGCAGTGTCTATGGATGTCAACGGTGGTAAAATTGTATGGGCAAAACATTCTGAAATGCAACAAGCTAATTTGAAAGCATTACCAGAAGGTAAATGATTTTTGATGAAACTAATTATTCTTGCAATAATGTTTTTAGAGTTTGCTTATAAGTGCAAACATTTTTTATCAAAGTTTTCGGTAACACACTATTTTAAAAATTTAGGAAATTTTTATCATATATTTGGGAAATTCATTTATTTATATTTAACTTTACTAGGTATAATTTTTAAAGTTACATTTTTAATTATTACTATTTTTAATTTTTATTAAATGTTTAGCCAATTTTAAAAAAAATTGGAAATTTAGATAGAGGATATTTTTTATATTTAGCTATCAACTTTTTTGTTTCAGCAAAAATTAATGAAAAAAATAGTGAAAATTTAAAAAATAATAAATTCAATTTCTATTACTTCTTTTTTAATTCCCGTAGGGTAGTTATAGTAATGGGCATAAAATCGAAAATGAAAATTTTTGCATTTCTCGACGTTTTGAAGGTTTCTGAACATTTTGTTTTTTTTGAGCGCCACTCTGGTACAAATGTTTACCCAAGTGCGTTTAGACTGTATACGTATTGGAGCACTTTTCCAATCCGAATTTTGTGAAAAACTATTGAAAAATGTGAAAATGCCGCCAAGCCAAGCACAGTCTAAGTGAAAATATCGCACAAAATTATTTGCAAATGCGTTTAGACTGTGATTATACGGGAGCACTTTTTCAATTTTGTGTAAATTAGGCAACTATTTTTTTTTTGAAATTGAATTCTAAATGAAATGATGATTGTTAATGTTCTGGAGATAAATTGATTTATGATTTATGACATTTGATTTGCTCATATATTACAAGATAGCAAAAATAATAAAAGTTACAGTATTTGTAATAATACATTTGAAAACGTTTAAAATTTCTCGAATTACGGTACAGGAAGTTCCGGCAATTTGCCTTCAGGCACGATGCCATACACCACTAGTTATTAAATTTTATAGTTAGCAATATTTTTGATTAAGGCATTCACCGTGTATGTCATCATAACAATTACAAATGATTCCTTAAATAATGTATAACATTTAAACAATTTATTGAACCTACTATTAATGAATGAATGAATAATGAATTTGTACAAAATTGAACGATCTGCAATAGTTTTTAAATAGTTTATTTGCTATATATCACACACAAATTAATATATTGATTTGATATTGATTATTTACACTTTTTGGGAAGTTTCTGAAACTTGTTTTAAGGCAATATGCTACTTTCAGCTAGTTAAGAGTCAAATTTGTCTCACTAATCAATTTATATCGATTTGTTTTTTCCTCTTCAGGTACAGAAATAAAAGATGGTGAGCGTTTACCAGTTGCTGTGAAAGACATGGGGTCGTGTGAAATCTATCCACAAACAATTGCACATAACCCGAATGGAAGGTAAGAATTTCTCTAATGAAGAAATACAATTGCAACTGGAATTGAAATTTGAAGAAAATTTATTTTAACACACTATTCAATTTCAATTCAATTTCTGTAAAGAAAACATATCAAGTAATATACATCGTTTGAAAGGTCTCACATTTCTTAGTTTTTTTTCTATATATCGCAACTTCGAATTCCGCGCGGTGTGGCCTACAGGCAAGTTGCAATTGAAAAATTCAAGGAAAAGTGGAAAATATGGAGAAAATTATATGAACGCACTTAACGATTTATATATCATTTTATTTGTAATTTTATTCTGCATTTTTTATGCAAATACTATTTTTTCGTATCGTTTACCGTTTAGCTTGTAGAGTGCAATCTGTTTGAATATTCAATTGTTTAAATGCACAGTACGATATTGATTAGAGACACTTATCTTGCGACTTTATTTATTCTTCGCTAAAGAAAATCTTGATTTGCTTTGAGTTGTTTCAATTTACATTACTGTATATTTTTTTCTAGGTTTGTGGTTGTTTGTGGCGATGGTGAATACATAATCTATACATCAATGGCTTTACGTAACAAAGCTTTCGGTTCAGCCCAGGAATTCGTATGGGCCCAGGACAGTTCCGAATATGCCATCAGAGAGAGCACAAGCACTGTTAAAGTCTTCAGGAACTTTAAGGAAAGAAAATCGTTTACTCCGGACTACGGAGCAGATGGTAAATAATAAGTAACCGATCATTACCACATCATAGTAGATAGATAGATACTTCCCGTAGGGTAGTTATAGTAATGGTCCGAAAAACGAAAATGAAAATTTTTGCATTTCTCGACGGTTTGAAGGTTTCTGAACTTTTTTAAAGGCCATACTTCAGAAAACTAATGGATGTGTGTGTGTGTGTGTGTTTTGTATGTCCGCATTTTTTCGTTTTCGGGCGCACGGATCAACCGATTTGAATGGTTTAAAAAACATTCGGTTCCTATTAATTAATAGGGAGATGTGCTGATTAGTTTTTGGCAAAGGCAGGTCCAGCCGTTACGTAGATATGGAGCAAAGAGTGCAGAAAATAGAAATCGAGTTTTTGAGAGAACGGATCATACGATTTGTATGATCTAAAAAACATTCAGCTCGTAATGACGGGGAAAAGTGGTTATTAGTTTTTGGCAAAGGTAGGCCCAGCGGTTCCGGAGATACAGAGCTAAATGTTAAAAAAATGGCAGTTTTTGAGAGAACTAAGCGTCCGATTTAAATGATTCAAAGAACTTTCTGCTTGTTTCAACAAAATAATTGCTTTTGGAAAAAAAATTGTTTCTAATTTTTGTAATTTTGGATTAAAAATTCAAAAAATTACCCAGGCTAAGCACAGTCTAAGCGCCACTCTGGTGCAAATGTTTACCCAAGTGCGTTTAGACTGTTTACGTACTGGAGCACTTTCCAATTTTGTGAAAACTATTGAAAAATGTGAAAATGCCGCCAGCTAAGCACAGTATAAGTGAAAATGTCGCACAGAATTATTTGCAAATGCGTTTAGACTGTGACTATACGGAGCACTTTTTCAATTTTGTGCAAATTAGGCAACTATTTTTTTTTTTTAAAATTGAATTCGAAATGAAATGACGATTGTTAATGTTCTGGAGATGAATTGATTTATTTTTAATTTACATTTGATTTGCTCAGATATAACAAAGATAACAAAAATAATGAAAGTTACAATATTTGTATAATAATATATTTGAAAACGTTTAAAATTTCTCGAATATTTCATTACGGTACAGGAAGTTCCAGCAATTTGCCTTAAGGGGCACAACTAGTGTGAAATTTCGAAAAAATCAATTTTTGTTTTTGTAGATATTTCGGTAGATTACACCTTTAAAAATAACATATTAAAATTTCAAATCGATACCTCAAATAGTTTTTGAGTTACAGCCACTTAAAAAGTATATATATATAGTATATAGTATAACGATCATTTAATCTTTAAACGCGTTTTTCTCGAAACTGCATTTTCCGAATTTGCTGCAGCGATTACTCAAAAACAAATGATCCGATCACTATCAATTTTTTTCACATGTTCTATAAAATAGTTCACCGTAAAATGAACTATCGATTTTTTGATCGGATCAAAAATCGAATTTTGGCAGTCGAAAAACGACCAAAATTTTGGGTAAAATTCGACTTTTTTTAAAAAAAAACGCCGTCATTTTGTCGATTATTGATTTTTTTTCTTTATCGCAGTTCATTTTACGTTTATCTAGTTTACCGAGAATTCTTTTTTTAAATTTCATCCACGCAGAAGGCCGGAATCACTGCAGCAGTGAAGGGCCTTTTTTTGTCGCGCCGTTGGAGATCGACGATAACTTAAAAAGTATTTAATTTTGTTCTTCAAAAATTTTACTATGTATTCTTAAAACATCTATAAATATATTCCTATTATTTTGAAATGATTGATAAAGTAGTTTTTTAATATAAATTCCCAAAAATCACCTTTTTTTTAGGCGGTTACACTAGTTGTGCCTCTTAAGGCACGATACCATACACCACTAGTTTTATTTAAATTCCCTATAATATTAATAATGATGTTTATTAACAACTGAAGTGTTTTTATTACTAATTTTTTTATTACTGATTTTTCTCCTTTTCCAGGTATTTTTGGAGGTTTTATGCTAGGCGTACGTTCATCCTCCGGACTTTCACTTTACGACTGGGAGTCTTTAGAGTTAGTAAGGCGCATCGAAGTGCAAGCAAAAAATATATACTGGTCAGAAGCTGGTGCACTCGTGTGTGTTGCAACTGAAGACAGTTATTTCATCCTGAGAGTCGACACTGCTATGATTCAAAAATGTTTGGAAGCTGGTGGTATTGGTGAGGACGGAGTCGAGGATGCTTTTGAGGTAATTGCAAATATCTGAGGTTATAATTAACTTCCCGTAGGGTAAATTATAGTAATCGCAAAAAATCGAAACTAAAAACTTTTATATATCTTTACGTTTCAAAAGTTTCTGAACATTTTGGCAGACCTTAGAAAAAATTGATGTGTGTGTGTGCGCGGATGCAAAGTTTCGTCGACAATTTCGGGAACACGGTTAAACCGATTTGAATAATTTAAAAAACATTTCTTTCGTATTGATAAGGAGACGTGCTGATTAGTTTTTGGCGAGAGGCAGGTCGAGCCGTTTCGAAGATACGGGGCAAAAAGTACCAAAACGGTAACTCGTTTTTTTGAGAACGGAGCGAATAATTCAAAAAACATTTTACTTGTATTGACAAATTGAAGAATTTAATTTAAACATTTCTTTCGTATTGATGAGGAGAAGTGCTGATTAGTTTTTGGCGAGAGGCAGGTCGAGCCGTTTTGAAAATACGGGACAAAATGTACCAAAAACGGTAACTCGTTTTTTTGAGAGCGGAGCGAATGATTCAAAAAACATTCAAAAAACTACTTGTATTGACAATTGAAGAATTGATTAAATTCTTGGCAGGCAGGTCTAGCGGTTTTGGAAAGCTAGTAAAAAACCGAAAAGAAAGCCATTTTGCGATCAAAAATGTTCATTAGACATATGCACATTAAATTATCAGATATTTTAATAATGTCCTCGACATTTTCCACAGTATGGAATAACCGATTTGTATGATTGAAAAAACATTCGGTTCACACTCGATCGCGAGGCGTTTTTTGCAAAAGGCGCATCGTGCCGTTCCGGAGGTATGGAGCGCAAAGGGTGTAAAAACGGTTATGCAATTTTTGAGAGAACGGATCATCCGATTAGATTAATTCAAAAAACCTTTTATTAGTGTAGACGGTGTGCAAAAAATGATTTCACAAAAAATTTCGTAGTTTTGAAAATTCATAAATTAAAATTTCAACATTTTCAAAAAACTCAAATTTTTGTAATTTTTCATCATTTTCAAAAAAAAAAATCAAAATTCCGAACAATATCGAAATTTAAAAAAACGAGTTCTTACAAAAATTTGAGAATATTTCGAAATGTTCCAAAAAAAAAATCGGATATTTTCAAAAATTTCCAAATTCTCAAAATATGTAGGCGTTGTGCAAAAAATGCTTTTACAAAAAAATTCGTAGTTTTGAAAATTTTCAAAAAAAAAAATTGGAAATTTAAAAAAAATAGAGTTTCAAAAAATTTAAATCTTCGAAGTTTTTCATCATTTTCAAAAAACAATCTAAATTTTAATTATCAAATTTAAAAAAAAAAAACGATTTATCATAAATTTGAGTTTTAAGTCAAAAAATTTCAAATTCCCGAAAAATGTAAAAAAAACGATTTTTTTCAGTAATTCCAAAAAAGAAAAAA